GATAATCCAGACGAGGCTGCAAGTTAAAGTGGGATGAGAATAGTTTGGGTGCAAGCATCTGCTTTTTCCCTATGGCATAAAGATGAGTTAAAGGGATATTCCGGTGTAAAATTAATTTAGGGTTAAACACTCCGTAACACCGAGTTAGACACCCCTCGAGAGATGAATGTTGCCGACCGCTTGCTTCTCTAGTTATACCAACTTTAGTAACGACCGCAGGATAGCAATACACAACGGTCTGAGCCACAAATAATGCTCAGAACAGCACCTAACTTCATCAAAGGACATATAGGGTCCCAGCCATAATACTAGCCACCAAACATCTTTTTAGCTCTGCCTAATTTCTTTAGCAAGGAGACTAAACACAACTCACCTACTCTCTTCCAGCAGCCACTTGTTTGTAGCGAGACCTCAGACCAGTCCATTATGGACTACAGCGGGGTGACGCAGCTTAAGGAGGAACATTAATGATCATAGACAGCTATAGAGTGGCGCTTCGGTTGAGGTTTGTTTATGACTCCTCAGACCGCTGTGTATGGCTATCATGCGGTCGTTACTAAAGTTGGTATAACTAGAGAAGCAAGCAGTCGGCAACACTCACCTCTCGAGGGGGTGTCTAACTCGGTGTTACGGTGTGTTTGACCCTAAATTAATTTTACACCGGAATGTCCCTTAAAGATGGGGGCAAGCTGGATTTGAGTCTGCAACTTGACAGCTCAAGGTGACACAGGTGTCATTTTAGTGTGCACAATTTTTTTACCTGCATTATTGCAAATGTTCAGTAAAACACACATGTATGACTCATGTTATTCTTTTGGAGACCTGACACTGACCTGCAAAATCATCATAACATCAGCAAACTACTGGGTATTATAGAAGGAGTCAAACATCTCTTTACATTGAGCCAAAATCAGCTGATGTAGACAACTATTTAAACCGGTTAGAAAATGTAAAATTGAAAGTGAAACAGGAATGAGAGTTACAGATGGAGTCTGAAATCCTTTTTGTCTTTTCATTTCATCATTTTATAACTCTCTCTTTATCTTCACTTTTTCTTTCAATCGCTCCTTTATAGAGTTATTATCAAATCCAGATTTATTTTATAGTTATTAGATTTAATAAAATCCTAATTGTCTTGTTGCATTTATTATAAAATGATAGATACTGTTAGTGGGAAGGGGGTAGATTTTGCTCAAATCTCACGGTACAGCTTAAAACAGAGAGCGATCGGCTTTTGCCTGTAAAGTGCATGTGTCTTCATGCTCTGCTGCCTGCTTTAAAAGATCGAGTGTTGCTCTGTTCTCAGTTAAGGTCTTTGGAAGGTGAACAGTAATTGCTAAGGGAGGATTTAGCCTGACAGTGGAACAAAGCACTTCTTTTGTTTAGCTGAGGTAACTCATACTCTGCGACGGAGCGCTACTTTAGTTATAAACTTCAGACATTATCGTAACACATGGGCTGGGATTTTATTTAGTGTTTGTGAGGGTGTTGACCACAGGGAGACAGACAAACACACCGACAGGAAGGCAGATTTGAGCAGTAGACTACATCATGAAACTTCATGCTTTTTCTGACTCATTAGCTTCGGCTCTGGCCCTGTGGTCATGACATCATGGTGGCAGTATTAGCTTTTAAAGTCTGACTGTAGAGCGAACGAACCGAGATGCTCTTTAAAATGAGGATTCTTACGATCTGACTTCATCTTGTGGTTGACTTTTCAGGAAACCTCAAAAAGGTCCTCTCCTACTGTTAGACTGATATTTAACAGCCGTTTGTCAGACTGTTCTTTGTTTTACAATCACCTGTTAATTCAAATAAGCAAATACACAAGAATATTTAAGTTATATACAGATTTACAGACAACTGACCATACTATCCAGAAAAAGAAAACATTCTGCATGTAATCCAATAAAAAAATACAAAAACGAAAGTGTGTGAAACACTAGGAGACATGACTTTTCCGTAGTGGCCTAAAATGATCTTGTGACTCTAAAAGGAAATTTGTGTGTCGATCACTCAGGGGTAGACGGTAAGCTTGGCTCTGTTTGGTTGTAGATTATTTCAACACCCCTCCAGAGCCTTGTCTGCCCTGACCAGCATTGTTTGTGGAGAAGAAAGCTATCGGAGGATCTGCACGAGATTAGGGTTGCCAACTGTTCCTTCTGCACCTTCCTGTTTTCGCTGCAAGAATTCTCTTGGCAGGGGTGCAACCACGAAAAAGCACATAAGTGCACAAAACTCACATTTTTAACCCTTTCTGGTCAATGTCTTCTACTTACAAAACGCAACTGTTGGACCAAATGTTGACTGTACTTCTGAACGAGTATCATGTATAACTTTACTGCTTGACTACACATACAGTGTGTTACTGTCGCTGAGATGTCAAACTTGCTGCACATGCTCGAAAAAGTAAAAAAGCTTTTTTTTATGGAATGCTCTTGAGAGCATGTTTGTGTTTCTGTTTAGGGTTTGAATGTGAAATTAAAACCACTCTCATGTTGTAAAATGGAATACGAAGCCAAAAGCAGCAGCCGGTTAGCTTAGCAAGAACTCAAGAGGAAGGGGAACACATTGGCATCAAAACCACCTGTCCCCTGACCTAAAGCTACAACAGATTTTAAACTGTCTAATAAACTCTTCACTGGTTGAAATATTTGGGGTTACCTGCTTGAATTAAATCTAAAATGCTTTAACAGCATCATTCAAGTTTGTAAGGTAGAAATTAGGACCTTAGAGCAACGAAATGAAAACTAGTCTGGCCATGTTAAGATAATTTCATGATTTCTTTTAAAATGAATTACATAAACCACACACAATCTCATTATTGAGTTTGTGTGTTGCAGTAGGCAGATTTTTATATCCTTTTTACAGGGTTTTAACTATTTCATGTTTCAGTTTAGGCAACTTTGTTTTGTATTTCAATTCTGTTTTTTATTTGGGACTCATATACATTTGATCATTATGGACTACATCTTGTGATAAAGTTGCTAAATGTCTCTGTTGTGCGTGTTTATCATGTGGGTCATGACTTCATGCAGTTTGTGGAGTAAATATAAGTCACCTTCCTGCCATCTCTGTCTCGTCTGTCACTTTTTTGCTCTTCTGTTCCTTCAGTCTTCCTCACTTCTCTGTCTTTTCTTTTCTTCACCAGAAATCACCACCCTCCCCTCCCCTGCCCTCTTCTCCTTCGCCACTATCTAAATTGCAAATAGCAGCAGTACGGACTGCGAGAGGAGCTCCTCAATGTCATTAAAGCTGACCCTGTGGATTAACCAGAGAGGAGAGGAAGTGTGTAGAAACTACTGATCAATAACATGGCTGATCCTCTGGGCTCTCTTACCTCACTTTGGATTAAGATCTGATTATGTCGGCTGAAATGTCTTTACTCTGTTCTTGGACAACAAACAAATGCAACTGATGAAATGAAATAAGAAATTGTTACACTAAAACTGAATAGAGTAAGAGGGAGGGAAACCATACAGGAAAATCGAGTCACTCTGACGTATTTACTCTTGAGGACACAATAAAAAGACAGATATCAGACAGTTGTAAATCCCAGCTGCACCTTTATGGGGGCTAATGAGGGTTGATGGGTAAAGAGTTTGGCATTTGATGGATTATCAAAAAGGAAATGACGCCAGCATTTTAAAGCATGTCTGACACAGATTAAAATACTGTGCAAGTAAGAAACATATTGCAACAGAGACCCCCTATTTAACAGAGAATCCGTTTTCTTTAATGTATAATGGTTTGATAGTTTCTTCTCCTTTACTTTGCCTTTGACATCAGTAAGGCCCTGCTGCAAAACAGCTGCAGATCTCATGTGAGTGCAGCTATCTTGTGTTCCAAGTACCATTACTATGATAAATTCTTTCCACTGTTTATAAGCCTGAATGTTAAGCCTTTGAGCGACTAATGGACAGTAAGACCGAATAACAGATGATAATGATTAACGTTTGTTGATTAAACCGAACTCTGCTTTTAGCTCTTCCTGTTTTAAAATGTGGTGAGAGTGCTACATCAAGATTCGGCTCTCAACGTTACAAGCTATCCAAATAAACATCACTCTTTGTTCAGAGTCATCTGTAAATATTTGGCAAGTATAAACTGTACAATAAAATGAGGGATGGAGGTTTGATTTAGGAAGCAATAATCATGTTCTGTGCCTCTTTACACAATTTTTGATCGGCCATGAAAACAAAATGTTGACAAAAGCCTATGATAAGGAAACTACTGCCTGTGTTCTTATAGGACAACAAAGCTTTCTGTCTTCATGTTATTCAAGGAGTACATCCTGAGCAACATTCAAAGAGCTGAAGCTAGTCTGAACATTAAAATCAAGTATCTAGTGCCATCTAGTGGACTATAGTGTTGGTGCACTAACACTGCACAAGAATTACAATAATCTCTTACAGCTTTCTCAGTCGATCAGAATTGTAGTTCTCAAAACTACTTGTTCAATCATCCCATCATTGTGTCACTTTTGCACATTAAAAAAAGCCATTTGTCATTTCTTTGGACGAGTTACAACACAACATTATAATGTCTGACAACAGAAGGACAAGGAAAAGAACGGGGTCAACAGGCAGATAGAGGAAGAGGAAGAAGAGTGAGGCTGCTTGGCAGAAGTGTTGGGGGTTCTATTATACATTAAGATATATTAGGAGGGCACTCACCATGTTCACAGCATCATGCACAAGACAGAGGACCCGAATGAGAGAAAATGCTCCTTTATATACCCTCCCCAATTGGGTGCCACCATATGCAGGGGTGTTCGAAACATGAAACTTTATTTTTACTTATTTAAAACCCCAAAATCTCAAAATATAAATTGCAAAAACCCCAGACTACCCAACCACGTGCACCTATTACTTTACTTCGCCACATCCTCCAAGAAATTTCCCTAAAGGAATATTGCAAGTGGCCCTCTTCACCCCCCATACCAATCTATCAGTTGGAACCCTCCCTGCACGGTAAAAACGCTGTTTGTTTCCCCGGTACTCTTTCACCAGCGCACCCTGGATGTGGAGACAGAACGGCACAGGTATGTAAGTGTTTGGCATATTCACATGAGGTTGTACTTGATATTCACTAGTGATGGCGAGATGAAGCCTCATGAAGCATCGAAGCTTTCCATCCAATTACTCGCCTCCTGGGCCGAAGCTTCATGGTCGTGCTTCATTTGCTCTGTTGCGCCATCAAGTGGACAATAAATGTAAAACAGACAGAGTGATAAACCAAAGACACCCCGAGGCTTTGGTGCGCGAAGCTTTGAATCCAATGAATGAATGAATGGATGTGATGCCGTGTGTTTGTGATACAATACAGAAATGATAAAGTTATTAATATGGTGTTTGTCTTTAAGACACAGTTGCAGTGTCAAAAAGGGGAAGAGGACATAAATTATCGAGAGGGTTGTGATGTGAATGTGTTACTTAGTTTGTTGTTCGTACTTTTGTTACGGGGACAACAAATAAAACATAAACAATTCATTTATATTTATTTATTTTTATTTAAAAACAACTTTTCAACAAGTCTCGAGTCTATGGATTGTGAGTGGGGCAGGACTCCGTTGCGTTTCGCTGCCTGTTAAATCATCCGCCAAACCCGTGAACCGTTTCTTGAACCAGTCACGTGGTATAGCCGGGTAGCGAGGCTTCGGACGTCATCATTTTTGGCTCCACCCCTACATGAAGCAAGCCTCGATACGCGCTTCGCGGAAACGCCCCCTTCATTACTCGACACACGCTTCGAAGCCTCGGCACTGAAGGACACATCACTAATATTCACCTTCCCTCTTTTAATTTCCCCAACACATTTGTTCGGACTTTGCTAATTTACAGGCTACTATGTTTCTCATAGGTGGTGGTGCGGCTAAATCAACACGAACTGCGATCCTCTGTGAGAAACAGGTATACTAACGCACGTCAATAACCAAATCTGAACGAAAGTATTTTTACCGAAATACTTCATGGAAATGCGATCAGACTGAGACGCTAAGGCAGAAGAACTACCGCGTCAACAGTGTAAAGTGATCAATATGATGATTATTACTTCAAGGAAACGATAAATAAATGATCATAAATGTTCTTCGTTTAGCTGCGTCACCCCGCAGCAGTCCGTGGACTGGCCCGAGGTCTCCTACAAACAAGTGGCTGCTGAAAGAGAGCAGGTGAGTTGTGTTTAGTCTCTTTGCTAAAGAAATTAGGCAAAGTTAAAAAGATGTTTGGTGGCTAGTACTATGGCTGGGACCCTATATGTACTGTTGATGAAGTTAGGTGCTGTTCTGAGCATTATTTGTGGCTATAGAGTGGCTTTTTGGTTGAGGTTTGTATGTGGCTCCTAAGACCACTTTGCTATCCTGCAGTCGTTCCTAAAGTTGGTATAACTAGAGAAGCAAGCGGTCTGCAATATTAATCTCTTGAGGCGGTGTCTAACTCGGTGTTAAGGTGTGTTTGACTCTAAATTAATTTTACACCGGAATATCCCTTTAAAATGTTGCTGTTGTTGAATGTACTTGCTGGTCCACTGGGACACCTCAAATGCAATATCATATACAATAACTGGATGACAGAAAAACATCCTCTGGAAAGTCAGTAACATGATCGATCCTTCAAAACAAATCAGCTTGCTCATAAACAAAACCCAAACAATTCAAACATTTTCATTTTGAAGTCGTATCAAAGTCTATTGTTCTGGCTCACTCAAAATTGATGACTTCTTTTGTATTGAATCCAGAACCCAACTTCTTTCTTTTCAGCAGAAATCATTCAGCAGTTTTCACAGCGAGTAAATAAAGTACTTTATTTACTGTCTGGCCAACATCTCAACTTTCGTTTTAAGATCCAAGTTTGGTCATAATCTTTCAGAGCTATTCTGTTGGTGTGGGTACAAATCTTGTATGTCATGACTGTGAGCATTAACAGGCCCTGGCACATGACTAGGGACTGTGTTGTTCAACTGAACTGTGTTGACAGCATCCAGCCAGAGCTGTGGTTAACTGTCTTTATATAGCCCATTCATTCATTGCCTGTATGATGAAAAGTTAAAACAATGAGGATGTGGGACTCTGAATCAAAATATCAATGTTTAAATTGTATCCAGGGGAAAACGTGAAATGTGACTTTGGCAATGCTTCATTTCAAACAGCGACTCCAAAGATAAAGCTGCAACAGAAACAGTTTTACTACACCAAAAACAGATCAACATTACCATGAAACCCCAAAAGTTGATAATTGGAAAAGTCAATAACTGGACTCACCTTTCAGTGCTTACACTTCAGACTTGCACCAAAGGATCATGCTACCTATTCCCTTATCTGCTTCACCCTTAATCCCCACCTGCAGCATCTTGCATGTTGAATAAGTTTGTGTAGAGAAAATCAGTCATGTGTTTGTGTTTCAAAAAGTAGAATAAATATCACCCCATAATAAATTTCAGGGCCATTTTTTTTCCTGTGTCTCTTCCAGGTTTGTCTCAGAGCAAGATTTTCCTTTGACCTCACCGTGACGATTCTTACCATCCTGTGTGACACTTCATTAACCCCTTAGTAGAAGCGTGGATACCACATAGTATCTTAAGAGGTAACAAGTACTGCATGATAGTGGACTTCTTTATTTTTCTGCTCGACAACATACAAGAACATTCTCAGTCTACCTTGTTGTTACTGGAGGAGCTTTATTCATCACTGAGTAGTACTGTCACTGAGTAAAACATATTTGCTGCTCAGTTCATAGTTTTGTTGATATTAACAGAGAAATGAATTTGTGTGTTTATCTAAGGTCTTCAGGATTTCCTCTATGATTGTATTTTGTGTGTAAATTTAAATACTTGTACTGATTTGTTCTCTGAAACCTGTGGATTATTCTCAGGGAACAGAGTGAAATGTTTTCGTTCCTCAGAATCACTCATAAAAACTTTGATACTGTGAGATATATTCATATTAATATTGTATTACAACACTGTGACAAGAGATGGCATCTGTGGTAGCACATTCCTGCAATGGGAAAAAATGTCATGTTAAAGGTGCATACTTTTGTTTACAGTACTTTTTGTTTATACAGAGTTCTGGTTATAAGTGGAGCCAAAGACACAAAGCTGGCCTTGTAATCGACCTCATTTTGTGGACAGACAACTCTCACAGTTTTCAAAACTTTGGATTATATACATTTAATGACCATCTATTCTGTGATGATTCAGTAGATTGAAATGTGTTGTTAAACATACTTTTTTTTTTTTCTTAAATTTTATTATTGATATGCTGATCCTGCAATCACTGCTCACACAGTTGACAGCGTTTTCGTGAAGCAATAACAGTATCTTTTTATGTGAAAATACTACTGTACTGGAAATGTATTATTTTGAGAGGTAGTTTTTGATGAATTATCTGTGTATGTTTTTAATGAGGTTCATGCTAACAGAAAAGTTTCATCTTTACACTTCAGATGGCGCTCACTTAGGGTAAACCAGTATGCAGTATTTCCAATGCAGGATTACTGACTGTTTTTAGTGCCTTAAGCAGCTCTTCATATGTTATCCCTGACAGACTCTTGTTTTATTTTATAAAGCATATTCACATGATATAAAGTTGCTCTCTTTATATCTCTACAGAGTAAATATCGTGGTTAGCGTTATGTGTTTAGTTTAAATGTAGAACCAGAGCAGTCATCAGTACAGAGCGGTATTTGAACTTTCATCATGTGGCTTTGTGTCTCGACAGCATGTCTGACAAGTGTGCAGAAATAGTGGATAAATGTGTAATTCTTTGGTAAAAATAAAAATATTTGTTGTGTTCCAAGACGTGTGTTACTTTTTTTCATGAATCACACACTGTACCGGTTTCACCTACTCAAAAGTGCCTCTCAGCTGCAAACGGAACGCAGTGCACTTTAATTCTAATAGGGGGCAGCAACACAAAGGCATACAGGATAAGAAGTGATCCGAACAGCCTCCTGTTTAATCCTTGCTTGCTCTCCATTTAAAATGTATTTCCACCTTTTACAAATAATGGGGCCTTATCTAAGAGCTTAACTCAACATTTTAGGCCTGATTGGAGTTAAAATTCAATCCAAAATAATTTGGATGATATTCTGCTTTTCTCCTCTCTCCAGTTGAGTTGCACTGACACCAGTTGCATGAGTATCTGCAGCTGTTTGAATGAGAATGACGCATGCCATGGGAAGGTAAATCAAAGATGTTAGTAAAGCCAGGATGCTGATTTTGCCATATACAAGCTTTCTGTGCTCTTGCATTAATTGCTATCTTGAGTTCAAACTAGCGCAGCTGGAAGGATTTCAGTGATTAAGAGCATACCATGTCAACAGATTAGGGAGCAACTCTGTTGTGAGTGTTTAGGATAAAGTGTTGTAAAAAGTGCAATGAAATAATAACATCCAAAAGCAAAAGAACATTATCTACTTTACATCTTCAGGTCCCGTTGACAGTTTATATCTATAAAAATGCTTTACTGTTGCTTCTTCTTACCAAGCAAACACGCAGACCTCTGTTAATATCACAGCAGCAGCATTCACAGGATACAGAAGTAGTACAACTTTGTTCTTTATAAGGTTAAGAAATAAATGAAAGGAACAGAGGAGCTTTTGTTTCAAATTCAATGTTGACAAGATGAGCAACACAAACTGGAAGAACCAAAGAGAACATTAAAAACAGTTTTATGAGACTTATTTGATAAACAGCCTTATTTATTCCATTACCAGTGTATGCAAATCAGTAAAGGCTTTAAGAGGTCCATACTGTGCAACTACAACAAGACGAAACTGTATCACACAATTACTTTAAACACTGTTGCTATACTCTCTCAACCTAAAGTAGCTTATTTTCTGTCCTTTCTTGAAGTGGGTCCAAACAAAACTGTCAACTTTTGCCTTTACATCACTTGGTTCTTTGCCTTTAGCCTCAATCCTGAGACCTAAAATGTGTCTTTCAAGCTTGAACTAAAAGAAAATGTGTTTTTTTATTCTTCTTGTCCTACAAACTTTCCCCCATGCACTTCTGTTATCATGCACCAGAGTGGCATGTCTTGAGGGGGACAGTGACGTATTAGTTTCAATGGATGATTTCCAGAGAATAGTGCGGTGTGCTCAGTGGTCTCAGATCATCAGAATAAATAACACAGCTCAGAGGAAAAGAGGATGGGGTCATTATCTCCTCAAGAGAGAAGCTCAACTGCCTCAAAGACTTCTGAGGAGAAGTTCATGCTGACAAAAACATTGTTCTCCGTTCCCTCCATGTTGTCCTCCAAGCAGACGCTGTCCTGCTTGATGAGGCTGCTTTCAGATGTAGGACTGATGACGATGATGCGTGGTACACCCCGAGGCGTCCTGGGGTCAGCGGTCGATATCCTCCCAACACTCAAGGAATCAAAAGAGCTGCTCTTGTGGTAACTCGGCATGTTACTGAGAGTGCATTTTTCCTCTCCAGCGTCAGAAACCTGGTAGGTCAGACTGTGACTGCGCCTCCTGGCAAGGACTAGTAGGGGGACAGTGGCGATGGTAAGAGAGCTGGAAACCAATTCATGCTCACAGGTGCTCGATGAATCACACATGCTGGCTGGATGCTAGTAATGTAAAAAAATAATAAGGCGTACAAAAACAGTTTGACAAAAGAACATGAATGAGGGCATGCATTGTTCACTATCATTATGCAAACATCTCACCAGAATGACATAAGCAACGTTTGTGGTAGTTTCAGTGTATCTCACCTTCTCTGCTGCCTTTGTCTTAGAGGTCTTTAGCGATCGTTTCTTGTAGGTCCTGCCCCTGACAGACTGATTGTATGATGATGTGCTTCTGAAGGAATCATGTGACTTTCTTCCCAAAGACTCCATCTCTACATCCCTCAACACCTGCAGGACAAAATAGAGCTGCTGTGAGCATACCTACACAAAATTCAATGTCAATATTTGACTTTCCTCATAAGCATGTAAAATAACAGCAAAGAATGTCTTAGTCTGGCCTATTACACAACAAGTGGGTTGTTTTGTTTCCCATGTAGCCAAAAACTCTTAATTGTTATCTCATGAAAAAAAAAAACTTTTTTGGGTGGGTGATAATGAGATACATCAGTCTATCATTACAAGAAAAACAACTTTGTGTGACGGAGGAGTCGTGCCACATTGAGGGAAAAAAGATTATGGGTTTGAAGTGAAAGTGTTTTGAGAACAAATCCGTGGTATTTAGAGAATAAAGTCTTTGTATTACGAGAGGAGAAATTGTTTTAAAGTTGTAATATGAAGAAAACAAAAATACAATTGTGAGAAAGCAGGTCGTAGTTTTCAAGTGTGATGGGATTTATTCTGCCAAGGACAGAGAGCAGCCTGAGGCTTCCTGAACCAAAATGAGGAAGTTACACATTATAAAAGTTTCTAAAATAACTAAATCTTTTAGCACATCAGCACCACACTGTCAGAGGAATCTGGATTCTGAGTCGATTGTACAAGAAACGGTCTTTGTCAAGGCTGCTTGTAGTTTGTCCTTGTCAAGACAAACTACAAGCAGCCAGCGCAGGCATCTGCAACTGTGATCTGACCTTTGCTTTTGAGTTCAATTCCACATGATGATCCACATTACTCACAGCAATGCAGACAGCTGGCTACTCTCTCACTTACACCATATTTATGTTATTTTAGCCTACACATAGATTAACCATGAACTAATAAATTTGACTTCTGTCTTATGAAAATACAAAAAATTCTTGTAATACCATCACTTTTCTTTTCTGACAATTTTACTTTATAACATTATGACTTTACTTTTATTTATTTATATATATATATATATATATATATATATATATATATTGATTTTACTACAGTTTTTTTCCACATAATACTACTAATCTTTTCTCATAAAACAAACATTTGTTTTTCTTGAGACAACTATAATCTCATTTTGCAACAGCATTAGTTTCTTGTGACTTTATTCTCATATTTATGACTTTTTAAATGTTATTAGCTTTGTTACTCTGAGATCATAAAAAATTAAGTCAGGATGAAATTGAAACAAATAAAACTAACTTGGGATCATGGAGACGCCAAACTTAGTGTTTTCAGATAATCAGTTTAATAAGTTTAAATCTCAGTTAAAAACAATCATCATTCACACATTGTCATGGAAAAGCAGAGTAAATGAAATGATTGGATGCATGTCTTACCTTAAAATCTGTCAAGTAACTGAGCAACAGGATCAAGTTTTTATCTTTACACTTGCATATTCATGTTGATCAAGCTCAGGAAGGTTTTCTGTTTCTTAAAAGTTTGTATTGGGAGACAAAGAAACTGTAAAAACCCACTTAAAATTTGCAGCTCCTTATCTTAGCTCCTCCGTCACTTTATCTTTGTACCATATTCTGTCTTAACAGTTCTGAAGTTTACAAACACATAACTGGACCTCTATACCTACCCGCAGTACAGTCCTGAATAAAAACGGAATCTATGAAGTCCTAAGTAGACACGCATCCTTACTTTGTATTTACTTTTATCCGGCTATAAATGAATAGATTAAAATATTAAAAGTTGGAAACTTTACCATTGCAGGTGAGTTTGCAGAGCCTGTTATAAAGTGAGTCCTCGATGCTGTGGACTGTCTGCTGATGATGGAGTCCCTGAAAGAAGACTCGCTGATGGAGGAGGAGATGCATTCCTTTCGAGGAGTCGGAGACAGAAAGGACAGGCAGGGAAACTTCTCTGCCAAAGTCATCCTAGTGAAGCAATGAGACATCAGGATAACTTGAGCTGCCTTTTTTATTTACCAGAACTTCAGAGAAAACTTTTATCAGTACATTGAAAAATATCTTTCCCTTTTCGATCTGAATGTAACTTCTCATACAAAATTATATTAAAGGTAAAATAGAGGCGTGAAGGTAGAACAGAAACACAGGTCACTTCTGGATCACTCACCTGTATTTGTTGTGTATGATGGCATAGATGAAGGGATTGTAGATGGTGGAGGCTTTTGCTATGATTGCAGGGACAGCTTTAGAGTATGGAGACAGGATATTGGCATGCCTGCAAGAGACAGAGCAACATAAATTCATCTTGCAGTCTTTATTTAAAGCATGACAAAACAACATGCCCTAAACGTCTCAAAATTCCTGTCGTTTTTGAAATTTCATCCAAAATTCTGGGTTGTACCGGGTAAGGGATAAGCCAAAATGTGCCAGCTGCCACAGATGGGTGATTAAGTCCGTCTGATCGTGTGAATGTGTGAGGGAAAACATGTGTGGGTGTGTGGGGCTACCTTTGCCCTGTGAATGAGCTGGCTAAAAGATGTGATTTCAAAGTTACATAAGTACATCCCTACTGTATTTCCCAGGAGAAACATGTGGTTTAGTGAGTGTTGACAGGTCAGCTAAGCGGAGGAAAAGATATGAGCAACTTTCCCGTCTGTTGTGTCACTCAGCCAGCGATACTTATCCTCTAACTGACAAATATATTACATAATAAGACACTCAGTACCATTTTGGAGGGGTATCCGAGCTGCAGGCACATGAACTGTGCAGAATGGCAAAGAGAAAAATCATGTATAGATTCCTCTAGTCTAACGAAGCAGTAGGACTTTCTTGGTGGAGATGCTTTCTGAAAAAAAACCTTGACACCTTAGCCAGCCTTAGCCGCAGCAAAGAGTGTTATTTGAATAAGTTAACGCTGACCAATCAGGGATAAGACTGGCACAGTGGATGGATGATTTTGACAGAACTGCAAAAGGTGAGACGGCTGAGACAGATAATAGGAAAACAAAGACAAACTGAGGGTGTTTAAGTCCCAATTACCCTGACAATCACACAAAAGATGACAACAAACGGTTTTTGTTTTCCTAGATTGACCTTAGAAAACATAAAATCATTAATCCCTTTGACTCCAATCCCCTGCACACGCAAGTATTTTGTTAATGTCTCCTGTTCAGTCCTTTTGTCTTCACCTTTGCCAAGACTTGTCTTTGGCTTTGCAGCTACAGGGTACAACTTTGATTTTGACATTACTTTTACCATTTCTAATTCTATTCTGGGACCCAACAACACTAAAAGACAACATTTAAGGACCGAGTTCGACCCTGTGGTGGGTGGTGATTTGTAATTGCCTTTAATTTTGCTGCTTTCTCACTGAAACATGACGCCACTGTGACTTGTTGCAAATGTTGCCAAGATAGGAAAGAAATTTCTGAATGAAGAGCTGAGGGATGGGATACAAATAAAGTTAAAGGTAAAAATCTGTTCAGTTGATTCTAAAAACAGTTTTCCTCATCATGACGCTGGCTCTGTAACTCCCCTTAGGCTCTGCTTTGTGGACTTCCTCAGCTTGTAAATCAAATGCGTATGAATATCAGTGAACCTGATTTCTGTCTACATCCTAGAGTCTACAGATCATTGCATTTCTTGGCAAACTGTAGGGATCGTTGTCAGGTTGATTTTGACATATTGCAGGATGTGTTACATGTGGTCTGACTTAGAGGGCGCATCCAAGAGGGAATGTAACATCAGTATGAACCCTCTGTAAACATTTCACTCTAATTATACAAGTTTAACAGTAGTGGGATGTATTAAACTTGCAGCATTGGAAAAACAAATCAACTATGAACTACAGTATGTGTGCTGCTGAAGAGCAACCCATAGAGGAACCTTTGAGTTTTATCTACATGGTTTAATAAAAAATTACATAAAAAGCATTATTTGATCAAATGAGCCTTACCCTGACCAGGAAATAAGTGTGACACAGGCGTATGGTGACCAAGAGAGGACATAAACCACGATGACGACGAAGGCTATCTTCGCCAACTTCCACTCGCTCTTGATGGATTTCTGCTGGATCAGAGTTGATTTCCTCACCTGTGTACCCAGACGCTCTACTTCCCTGTTGGCGAAAGACAGAGGCAGGGTATTTGTGAGATACTGGTTCATGAGAAAGAAGAAAGAATGAATTCCGGCATGTACGTAATGTCTGGTAGGAGATGAAGGTACCTGCTGGTCTTTCGTATTGCCAGAAACATGAAAAGATAGCAGTAAGAGATGATGCCCAGTGGAATGAAGAAAACAAAACAGCACAGCATCATTGTGTAGCTCCTATTGGCCAAAGTGTATGTGACGTAATCCCATGTACAAGATGTCATCAGGCCTTCTGGGATATATGAGCCTGAAAGGGAAAAGAACATCAAAACATCAAATGGGAAATATGGTTTCTGGTAAAACATCAATGGTTTCTCATGCTCTTTGACTCTTTTTGCTTCGATGTTATGTCTTTGGAAACGTCAATGGACTCAATGACGTATGAATGTATGTAGAAAAGTTACACTGTGTATATTTGCCAAGAACCAAAGGCATAATGTGGTAATGTGCCTGTTTTTGTCTGCTTGTATAAAACTATACTAAAATTTAATGGCAAGTGAAGAAAACCTGGAAAAAATGAACTCACTCCAGCCAACTAGAGGTGCTAGGCTCCATGCCAAAGAGTAGAGCCAGACGAGGAAGATGGCAAACGTGGTTCTTCGTTTGGAGTTCCAGTGCATGGCCCGCAGAGGCTTGGTTATCACCAGGTAGCGGTCAATAGAGATGGCCAGCAAGTTGATCATGGAGGCAATGCCAAACAAGGCACCGCAGAAAGCATACATCTTACAGCCTGAGGGACAGAAACACACAAACATTTCAACAATTCAACAACAGCAGATTACTATCAGATACCTCCTTTGTCAATGTGACATTACACATAAATATGCATTTATTACAAAAAGGGAATTACCCATCTCTCCAAAGGCCCATTCCTTATAGAGACAGTTGATGAAGAAGATGGGGGACTGTGTGAACGCCATGAGGAAGTCACTGACCGCCAGGTTCATGATGAAGTAGTTAGGTAAACTGCGAAGCTTCTTGTTACTATAAACACAAACAGGGAAAGAATGGAAGTTTAAAGGTCAGTGTAAACGGATCTAGTTTTTTTTTAATCGAGGGTAGTTAAGCAACAAGTCGGTAATGTTAATGAACCATTTGGATAAGCCTTTCATATACTGGTGAAATGGTCGTTCATCTTAAACAATGTTATCCAGGTGCAGGTGCAGACCCAGTTGGTGGTGAGGAGTAATCGGAGACTTCCCGAGACCTCCAAAGTTCAACCTTTAATTGGCCATTAACCTCTTCAGTGACCACTTGTGTTCAAATCAACTATTGGTGCTGTGTTGCAGCATGGTTTCTTTGGGATTTTTTGCATTTAAGGTAAACATTTCCTTTGTTAGTCCCCTATATTGTTATTTTTTGACTCCGTTTACATCTTCTTTTTCAGGCTTATAAGATGCGGTCAGAAAATTGAAATGTTGCCATTAGGGGTGTCCTGATACGATATTGATATTGGATATTGGTCCGATATCAGCAAAAAAAACAAAACTAATATCAAATTATTTCGGCATGCATCTAAAATCTCAGATATTAGCACTCCGATACAAGCAGTCCATTCTAGACTCCACTACGGCACCTCTATCCAGCAGTGCCCTGATCAAGTAAGTTGAGCCCACAAAATCACAATGACAGTATGATTTTGTTGGCCATGCACAATTTTGTGCCAATATTGGATCAACATCGGTATAGTTCAATAATGAAGGCTACAATATCTGTAATGTATCAGAAGTCAAAAAGTCGTATTGGGACACCCCTAGTTGCCATCATATTTTTACAAAGAAGTCTAAATAGATATCATCAGTGGAGACATAAATGGTAAATAAATGCTTTTCATTCGTGTAAAAGTACACACATACTTGAGGCAAACCATGCATATATTGGTGCCCCAGTTAGTCGAACCCAGCCAAGAAAATCTGACAGCCAGCCAATAGTTGCATATTGTAATACAGAAAATGAAAAGCCTGTGTTTTTTTGTTATAGAAACGGTGTAAACAGAGCTGAGGACACAAAGTTCCATTAAACTTTCCACATCAATCAGCTCTAATCTCATTGTTTGTCTGGTCAACTCTATATGAACCTGCTTTCAAAGCAGCTTGATTGAGCAGTCTATCGACCTTCACTGTCTGCCTATACAGCCTGTCATTGATTATATTCGGTTTCTCTGTTTCCTTTTTAAAGACGCTTCTTCCTGTTGGAACACCAAAGAATCAGGCTTCCTGTGTCAGACAAGACATACAAATCTGCTTGTCTGTTGTTACATCACTGCCCGAGTGTGTGTGTGTGTGTGTGTGTGTGTGTGTGTGTGTGTGTGTGTGTGTGTGTGTGTGTGTGTGTGTGTGTGTGTGTGTGTGTAAAGGTGATGAACGTCTTAGTGAGTGGGCATGCTGCTCCAGCCTTTATTTCCTAGAAAATCATCATATCGGGTGTAATCTCCCATGATAGACCATTATATCACTCCCCACCTCTCTGGTAAGTGTGTGTGTATGTACATGTGTATATGTGTGTGTGCATGCTTGAGGCCATGTGCATGTGGGTGTGAGTTTTCTTGGAACTCATAACATCATGTGCATGTCTAATTCAGTAAACACACATGATGAGCGCAAACACAACGAGCCCATCTAATCTACCTCTGTGATGGACAGATGGAGTACAAAAGCTCCTGACAATTCCCAGAAAACGCAGACACACATGCACATACACACAAACGCACGCGCACACACACATCTGTTTCTGACCCACTTTCTGTGAAACAGTTTCAGCAGTCAAGGAGGTCAGTGGTAGTCCAAATTACAAAACACACAACACAAATATCCCTGTCCTGGATTCACAAAGTGAATGTTTAATATAACGGATAAATCTTATAGAGTGACGCTCAGAGTCCACTGTTAATATCTTTCATTTTGACTCTACCTGTTGCATCTTACCCCAGATGGACTGTTTTCAGAAAATTGATTTGAACTGGATGATCAGTTTTATTTATCACTAAATGTAAAATGCATCAACTTGCCCCTGCCAAGAAGTTGGAGAGTAGGAAAAACGTTGTTGTCGGAGTCTCCTGAGAAATGTTTTTTGCCCTTTCTTGATGCACAGGTGAATAAAATTGTCTTCAAACCTTTATTCAAATGTCTTACCAACAAGCGGGGCAAAATTTAGTCAAGAGAAAGACTCGTAAGATATATGTGGCGCCATGACAGAGTGTTGTTAACACTTGCTGACATCTTGAGCACCATTGTCTTTCTATAGGAGAGGCTGAGGTCTGTTGATGAAAACCTGCTGCACTCCAATAAGGGGGTAAGAAATGAAAGCAGACCTTGGGAGGAAATTCCAGCTCCAGGAGGAGATACTATCCTCAACTCTAAGACTAGACAACATCCTGAGGTCTCAGGATGGAAAGAAAGTAATCCTGGTGGAACTAAGTGCCCTGTGAGAGGAGAGCTGTGAGGAAGACGAGTGAGAGAAAAAGGCAAATAACAGCAGGAAGACACTCCTGTTGGCTCAGGGAGAAGAGGAAAGACATAAGCAGGGGAAGGGCAGCAACATGGTCACTATACTGCTGATCTGCCAGCTGAAGAGGGTTGTGGTCAAGGGTCAAAGCACTCTGTGAGGGTCGGGTATCATCTGATAACCTCTCCTACCAGCTGAGGCTAAATCTGTCGGAAATGGACGTCCTAAAAGCATTTCTGATTTAATATAAACCGTCAGTTTCCTTCATCCCAGTCCGATAAAGTTACACCATGAACAGGTCTCCGTTGTATCTCAGCGCTGACATAAAGAGCAACACTGGCACTCACACGAGTAGACAATTCAGACAATTTAAAGTCACTCGTTAACCTAACAAGTGTATCCTTGTTAGGGAAAAATGCATGAAGAGAAGTTGCAAAATCTGCCCTCCTAACTCCAACCAAGAATCATATGACAGTACTGACCACTGCTGCTTATATTACAACAATTGTAGCTCCAACACTGAGCGTGACACCACAGGAACATGGCTGCTACATGAATATAGTCTGAAGCTGTGGGTACAAACGATTAACCTCTCATCTAAACATGGTCTGTGCTTGCACCAGAAAACCATCATGGTGGGAGTCCGTATGCTGCACTTGAACTGCAAATGTACTTAACAAATCGATATGGTCTTGTTGCGTGAGTTTCATTGTTCACAGCTTGGTTATAATCTATAGTTTCAACTCCTCTTGAACCCCCTTTTTTTTTTTTAACACATTTTCTTCTCTAACTTGCGTCCCATGTGTCTTTATTTTGTTTATGATTTTGGGGATGTGCATTTAGATGATAAAGCGGACGTGGATTAGACCTTTTTTTTGTGAGATCCAGAGTCAACAGGTGTGAGATACGTTTTACCATTCATTGAGAAACATTTTCTTTGTGGTGCATTTATTGCTTAGGGTGCAAAATCTATACACCCTGTCAAATCAAGACCTTAAAGTATTGCAATGACAGTAAACTCATCTTCTTACCGGATTGGAAAAAAGAAACAAGGCACACAAGTTCTGAAACAACTTTCTAGAGCATGACAAATAACATTTAGGTACAAGAAGGAGTCATTTATGCAAAATGCTCTCTGGTTATTGTATTATTTTTTAAACAAATAGGTTATGATGGTTGCATAATATTTTAATGGAGTCTGATACTTCCCTTTCAAGTATGCTGGATAGATGCATGCACATAATGAATACAATTTTGTCTTATTTTCACACAACTGAGTTTATCCTTTGGCCCGTGCAGTTTATCCTCAGATTTTTGCAAACCCCTCAGAGAGTGAAAGGAAATCTCTGACCTCAATTCTGCAGAACAGGAGCAACAGTTTCTTCACTCAGAGAGATGCCTCAGTCAGAGTTAGAAAGGCGTTTTTTATCAACCACAAGTACACTAAATATGTATTACTCACTAAACACAGTATTTTAATGAATATTTGTCAGCCTTTCAACACACGCACACACAGACACACAACCATGTCTATCTGTAGAGAGCATGATTATAACATCTCCTCTGACACAGCAGCATTAAAAATGAAAATGAACTCATGCAGTTAAATGAAGTGTGGTTTTCGAATCCACTGAAAAGCACAAACACAGAAACAAGTCACACTCGTATTAACCCACCTGTAGAAGGCAAACATAACCAGCGCGTTGCCGGTGATGCCCAGCACCCCAATGACGAAGACGAAGAGGGCGACGATGTAGTGAGCATGGTCAGGCACATCCACCTTGTTATAGAAGCTGCTCTGGGTGTGTGCTTTCTCAGGCTCCATGCTCTCAGTGGACCACATGGTTCAAATACCTCATTAGGACTGACAACCTGGCAGGATGCAGCTGGGGAACCAGTTTGTAATCCACATTGTTCTGCAAGTATCCGACTTCCATGGTAGTGTAATTTCTCAATAGATGCACATAAGAGGTTCAGTATCTTTTGTACATCTCTTGCTACATTGAGATCTTTGCTGCTTGTCCTCAAGCGCCGACAGCCTGATTACTTCACATTACAAGCAACTTTTAAGAGACTGTGGCTCAAACAAAGAGAACCAGGTAACCATTGCTCTTCAAAAAATCTGAAACAGCAGATCAAATACGTTTCATTTCCCTCTGTTTCTTCTATACTGAAGAATAAACAATAATGTAAAACAATTTAAAAAAGTTTCTGTTTTACTTCTTTGTCCAGTGGTGTTGGTTGCCAGATGTGGTCCCTAGCTCCTCAAACTTTTATTCGCCAAATAACAGGAGAAAAAAAAGTCCAGTCAACAAGATCCACCTGTTACCTCCTCCAGATATTTCCTGTGGGACACTCTGGTTATTGAGTCGATTATATTCTCTGGTGAATTAAATCCCACTCGGTGCACAGTCACTCTCAGTCCACTTGGTATTAGCCTGCAGCCTCTTTACCCGTCACACCAGCTGTGCACGAAGCTCTGATTCAGTGGCCTGTCCCTGATTATCTCGCCAACTAGTGACTTCTGACATCATCCCATCTCTTCCTCTCTCTCTCCCTCTCTCTTGCTCTCTCTCTCTCTCAACCCCTGTTCTCATACTCTCTCCCTCTCTCCTCAAACGCTGTCTTCCTCACTCCCCTCTCCCTCTTCTCCATCCGTTATGCAGTCTGGCCCAGCCCTGAGCTCTAACCCTTAAACTACCAGATTCTTACATAACTGACTTGATGTTCACTAACACCAACAGTATTAACAGCCATTCCAGCTCAAACATGCATCAGACTGTGTAAGCCGGACATGCACACAATGACGACTACAACTCTGGGACCCCTTGCATGTACTGCAAGCATTCATGCATGTTACTCAGAGGGACAACATGCACAGACTTTTTAAGATCACTCAAGGAGAAAGGAAGTAATTGGTCTTACCAGTCCCAACTTACACAGTTGATTTGGCACGGCTCTAACTTGACTTGCAATCATAGCAATGTACTCACGTCAACAAAACATACTTTCCCCTGGCTGAAATTTTGGGGTTTTCACTTAAAAGGCAAACTTGACAACAGAATTTAACACCAGTATGTCCTCTAGTTTTAAAGAAATTGTCAGTCTATTCGTGTGTCTTCCATCAAACAGGTAATGATCGAATTTTGTTGTTCAGTGTGCATTGTATTGTTGCATTTCAGTGTGGAAATGTTGTAACTGTTTAACAACTTTATGACAATGTCCACATGGATGATGCATTATACATATATTTATGATGTGTTTTAATTTCCTGATAAACTTCTATAACTATCATTAAAAACACTCATTAATTATCATAAGGCTTTATAACAATAAGCATAACACATTACAATTCCTGACCTTGTAAATCATGATTAAATGCTTCGTAATGTTTTATGATTGTTGCTATAAAGCATTATGATCATTTATGAGTGTTTATAACGATAGTTATACAAGTTTATAAGCAAATTATAACACATCATAAATATATGTATAATGCATTATGTATGTGGGAATTGTCATAGAGTTGTTAACAGGTATAACACATTATAATACCTGACTTTGTGAGTCATGGTAAAATGCTTTATAATGTGTTATGATTATTGCTATAAAGCATTATGATCATTCATGAGTGTTTATAACTATACTAACACAGTGCTATAACATGATTATAATGCATTATACATGTATTTATAATGCGTTAAAGAGATAGGCGTCAAGTAAAGTGTTTTTATTTTCCCCAACAACAGATGTCTCCACTGCCATCGACCGACAGTATCAAGGGCTCATAAAAAATTCTGATTTTATCTACAATAACAGATAAAAAAACAAGTCATAAAGATGATTAATTCATCAGGTTCCATTTTGGAGAGCCAACAGGAATCAGATAATCGTCCGTCGCTTTTTATGGTACTGAACATGCTGGCGAGAAGAGATGAAGGGAAGAGAGGGAGGTGAAGAATGCAGAGCTTACAGAGATGTCAACTAAGCCCCTACAGCACAGAGATCGCCTTAATCTGCACACTGTGCATGCATGTGGATCAGTGTTTGATCTTCCTGCAACAAGACTTCATATAAAAATCAACATGTTTATGGGTCATGCTGCACATACAGGCTATATACCGTATGTGTGTATGTGCATGTGTTTGAGTGAGTGTGCCTGCGTGCATTATGTCCATATGTGCATGGCTTTGTATCTGTGTTTGTGCACTGCCTCATAAAACATAGAGTACAGCTGTTTTAAAGGATTAGTGCACTGTCAGCCTTGATGATGATGATGATCAAATCACAGTTGTCTTGTTTTTATCTGTACTGGATGTCAGCACAGCTGGGTAATATGCAGCATGACATCTAGTCTATATCAGCAGCAAGTTTTTGTTTCTTTGCAGCTCTTGATTTCTGACCCCTGCAGTTCACAAACACATTACACCACATCACGTCATCCAATAATCCGTATTGATATAAAATCTTAAAGTTCAGAGTGAGAGAAATTTGATAATTATTTATCAGTAATAATACTTTACACTAATTCTTTTATCTTTATTCATTTATTTTTGTACCCGGTATATTGTGTGCACTGTTGCTGTCGACAATTTTGATTTCCCCACTGAGGGATGAATAAAGGAATATCTAATCTAATATCTAATGTTTTTTTCTGCTTTTTTTTTTTCTAACAACTTCCTTAAAAGAAAGATGTTTGCGTTGCCCAGAATAAACTGTGAGGTACTTTTACTGGTGAGGAAGGGAAGGAAGTGTTATTTCTAACCCACATCTGAGGATTGTCAGGCGTTCAGGCCTGATCTACGGTGTAACAAGTGCCAATCTGTCGCTTCACTTATTTTTCACTCCAAACAATCTGGATAAATGACCTTGTCCTAATGGAAAAATAAATCAGTGTTGTGGTATTCATTGACCATGACTGTAACAAAGGAGGTCAGTATTCCACATGTCAATGAGTCAATTGCTATTGAACCAGCTGGTAGCACTAGTGTTTAAGTCTAGAGCTGGAAGCCGCTGTTTAAAGATGTATCTGACTTTAGGCTCCGGTGGAAAAAGACTAATTATTATTGAGTGCTCCAGGCCTCATGACCAGGGTAGCGTTCTTTGGCACATGAGCCTGTAAGAGATCAATACTTTCAGACATAGGTGGAAAAAGGTTGTACAGAGGTCTAAGAGTGTGATTGTGTGGTTTGTACTGAAGTTGTTACTGTGGCAATAATGACAGACATACTTTTTACTTCTATATGAGACATAATAGATGTACGCAGTTATCATTAACTCACAACCTAATGGGATGGACAAATGAAAAAATGCATATGTTGAATTTTTTTTCCATCATTGGCCACTTAAGGTTTGTTGCAGAAATGGGTTAATCATCATACTGCCCAGATTGAAAAGTCCATATCTACAGCAGAATTACATAGCTGTTAAACTTTTATATAAACTCATTTCACTTCAGCTAATGGAGGCAGTGAACTCATCATCTGTTTTTGTTCTGCTGGTTTCTTTTGGCAAAATTTCATTTATAATTCGACAACAAACATGGCTTACAGTACAGGTATTTTTCCTCCAGATCCTCTCGGGTGTCTTAATTCTATTTATTTATTTTTCTCATGAGTGATTTCTGTTATGAATATTTTTACTTTAATTTGCAGGTACTGGACCCTGCACCCACTTGAATTAGCTTGTTAGCAAGTTCATTGCTCTTACATGTTGAGATTTTTCAGTTGTCTCATGCAGAAGAGCAAAAATTATTGTCAGACTTTTTCCTGCAGAGTGAACAGCTGCTCATGGAGACGGAAAGACCACTGTGTTCTGTTTATACAATCCCTTGTCTAAAAAGCCTGTAGAAAATTTTGTCCTCACGCTTTACAAGAATATTGGAGGATTATAAAATCCCTTTTTCAAAACTGTTGGGACACCCTGTAAAATGTCAGTAAGAACAGAATGTGAAGGTTTGCAAATCAATTGAGCCTCAAACTAAATTGAAAATAATTCAACAATTAAATGTTGAAAAAGAAAAATTATGTTGCTCTTGGAAAAAAAAATGTTCATTTGAAATCTAACAACTCGTCTCAAAAATAAAGGAATGGAGACACATTATCTTGAGTTGCGTTACTTCTTTTTGAATCACTCTTGTAATCATTAAGTTGAAATTACTCTGCAAATGTGTGGGAACCCAGATCAGTTCCTGAAGTTTTGAAAGTGAAATGTCGTCATTTTCTTGCTTGTTACAGGATTTTAGCTGCTCAACATTGTTGTGGTTTTTGTTGCATGGTGTGTCACGTTTGCAACAAGCTACAAGTGGGCAGAATTTATTGCTCCAAAACATGTATAAATAGTTTAGTGCCTTCTTGGATGTAAAAGCTTCCCCTGTGACGACCATGTAGCATATTTAGTGCCTACAGAAGTTTCTGGATCATGCTTATTTATTATTTTGCTCTGTGCACTTTAAAGCTGCATTTGTGGATACACAGACAAACTGTGTTCATGGACAACGGTTTTTGGATTGATTATAAAGTAGTTTCCAAAAAAGATTCTTGTGAGTTAATGTGGCGCCTCCTCAGGGGAGATCACATAGATACATGGTATTCTTGTCGCTTATGTTAAGACTTTTTCATAATTTCCGAGTCGTTTGATGATATTATGTATCAAAGATGATAAATCTCCAAATTCTCTTTGGGGTAATTTTACACTGATTCAAAAATTGTTGAACTGTTCGCTAAAGCTATCTCTCACAGAGTGGTAAAACTCTCTCCATCCAGTCTTTTTGCAAACCTGGAGCAAATTAACCAAATAATTTGGGAGCTGTTCTACTCTTCTGGTGTTTTTCTTTCTTTTTTGAGCATAACTGAACTTTTTTAGTGTATTTGTCCCAACAACTTGAAATATATTGCTTGCACCAAGCTTGAAACATTTGTTTCAGCATATGAAACGTTGTCTTTGCATCATTTTCAATTTAATAAAGGGGATAAGTTATTTGCAAATCATCCAAAAAAAGTGTTTTTTTCCCCACTCAGAGACACTGTTGTTTGTAAGATATAATAGAGGACAGATTGCAGAAATCTGACTTTTACTTTTGTACTTCTCTGACAGCAATAAAAGAAGATTTTCATGCTCCAGTAAAACAGACATTCAGCATATTTGTCGGAGCGGCTCTTTTCTTAAGCTTAGGTGTTTTTACAGGCTGCATCAGCAGCTTGAGGAAAAAGGAAATGGGGGTCAAACAGGAAATGTTAAATATGTTGAAGAGCATTAAATCTCATATGCAGTGCATGTCTTAAGCCTCTTTAATGCCTGCCTAGATTTATGTGAAAGGACATGATGGGAATCTGGGTTATAGATCAAATCATGTGGAAAAAACAGGTCATAACATGCTCTTCAATAAGTGGGATGAATTTGAGTCAATAATAAACCCCGACAGTACTCCCGCTTATCTCTTTCTATCAATCTCTCGCTCTCTCTTTTTTTTTGCCTCTCTTTTTAATTACTCTCTTAATCAAAGTGGGAAAATTAATTTGATGGGTTTATGTTAGAGGCGACAGTAACTTGATCTTCAGACTAAACATATCCTTAGAGATGTGATGGAAAGTCAAATTAACAACCAAGTGCTCTTATACTTTTACATGTTATCCAATAAATTGTATGCATCTTGTAGACATGCTGAAATGCTTTTAATAATTTCTCAAATCTGTGAGAAAAAAAATAAACAAAAGAAAGACAGAATAAGCACTTTTGGTCTTTCAGATAAATGGCAGAAGTCAGAGCCCGACACATCACGGGAAATACTTCATTTTTATCCTACTACCTGAAACATTAGAAAGCATGTTACAAGGACAAGCAGAGGTTTTCCTTCAGCCATCCCAGCACTTCCACCTGTGTTCAGCCGAATGACCCTTGTGTGTTGTCCTGAAAGGAAAACATAAATCACCACATGAGGCTCTATCATTACATATAATTTCCATGTGTGACCCTGCTGTATGTATGTTTACCTCTGGTCAGAGTGCTGGATCTCACACCAATCCAGTAGACTGTTCGCTGCTGAGCCACTGTGGCCCTGAAAAAGCAAATATGTAAAGATGATTTATGATTACATACACATGCTGTTTGATTAAAGAGATGATCAGGCTTGAAAAGAAATTCATAGTTTCTCAAATCAGAGCAAAGACCGGGCTGTTTCCTGTCACATCAAAAATGTTATCATAGGAAACAGTCATAAAAACAAACGAGCTGTTGTCAAGTGCGTCTTTGACCGATAAGGAAATGGAGTATTTTGCTTTACATGAAGTAGATTGGGCTCTCAGCGTCAGGCGGCATCCAGCTGTACACGGTGCTGTTACCCTTCAGATTGGTGTTAGAATGAGTGACAGCGGCTTGTGGATTCCCTGAGCACTGTGAACATACAACATAAAGAAACTACTTAAAAATGAACAAAGCGATTTGATACACTCATTCTGAAACAACAAGTAAATTAAGCAGTACAATGTGTGCAGTTATCTGTTTTGGATTTAGAGTTTAGGTCCTGTAAGAAAACTGGAAAAGGAAACACCTGTGACTCACCTGAAGAAACTTTGTGTCTGGAGGAGGAAGCATCCAGCTACCAAGAGCGTTAGTGCTGCCAAATGTCCGAGCTTCTAGGAGCACACCTCTATAATCTGGTCCTCTAACTGTCACTGCAAGAATATGCGACATAACAGTTATTATCTCCATGTTTATTGACAGCAGGCTGAAGAAGCAGCTTTATTTCTACTTTTACTCTGGCAAATAGTCACACTGAGAGTTACATTTCACTGGTAAAAGACAACAGGATGAAGTTTTTGTCTTAAAAGACTACTTGTACAGATTGAGAGATAAAAGGTATCTCTGTCCACAGGGGGCGCCAAAATCAACACAGATCAAAAGTTTCTCACAGAGGCTTTAGTAATGAGACCAAAATCAACAATATTTGCGGGGTTGTAATTGTAAAAAAAAAAAGTTGCCCCATACTAAAAAGCATCAGGCATAAACTATTAATCACAGCAGGAATAATGTGAATGGGTTGTTAAGGCAAATTGTCTGCATCCCTGGTCACAGTATGTTCTTGGTAGCAACAGCCTTCAGTTGAGGTATAACAGACTTTATGAAATGATCAATCAGATTCAAGAAATAAACACTGCAGTGAAATCATTGAAATAAACTGCCGAAAACAACCTTGACTTATATATCATATGAAACAGATTAATCAGAAAGTAGTATGGTTGTTAAATTGATCTGCAGATATTATAACTAATTTGACCCCAGTCTACAGAGTCTAAGAAGTACAGTGTTCTCTTAGTTCACCCAGGATGAAAACCTCTATTTATAGGAGTTACTGACTTCCCAATGACCAATAAACGCTATTAGACGTCTAGTTTTTTTTTTAAGACCTAATTTCAACCGTCTAGATTTTGTATATTTTCAGATGGAATTTAGACGTTGCACTTTAACCCATTATTCAATAACTATTTATTTCAAAAAGCAACTGAGTTGCATAACTGATCTCCAAGTACTGATTTAGATATAGCCCAGATTTAGATAGGGTCTAAACTTGGTCTAAATTTAGATGTCTAAAAAACTTTCATTTTTAGACCTTTGGTAGCCTGATTTTAGACCGGGCATTTAGGCTACATTTAGACATCTACTAGACCTCTTTTAGACCAAATAATTCTCAGTGGGTTGCATAACACAGGCTTTAACATCTGGACCCAGCAGGAAAGAGAAGCTCACATGACAGAGGACACTTTTTTGGCTCCCGTTTTCAGCTGCAGATTGTTGCATTTGTGTAAAATACAAAAGCAAAAGTGTGTACTGAATTTACACTCAAATGAATAAATCTATACATTTTGAGTACTCGAGGATTCCTCACCTGTAATGGGCTGTCCTGGCTGAAACGTCCTGGTGTTTGTGAGGATGGCATACGGTACTGGAAAAGGCTGAGGCTGCACCCCAGAGTGACGAGGCATCATATCCTCACAGGCACCGGTGGGAGCACCGGTGGGATAGCCACGGACATAACTGAGTACTTTAAGCATAATGAAAAAAGGCAACAGCAGAGCCATCAGGATGGGAAAAAAAGCTGTCACACTGCTGGAGAAGATTTCAAACTGAAGAGGTGTGAGGTGAGGAGGAAAGTAAAATATAACAAAGAGTGGAGTCTTACAAACTGCTGCTGCTGCTGAGTCATACAACCGAAAAATTTATAATTTCTCGGATCCAATCATTGTGTATTCATGTGCAGCAGCACATGATAGAGTAATTTCATGATACTTATGCATCTCAGGCCAAAACAAATGTTGATTTACCTCGCTGACTGTAGCCAAATGAGGTAAGAAAACTTATGAGAATAGTAAACATTTAAAACACTGCTTCTATATTAACCTATTTTCTGACATCTAAAGTGAGTACACTCACAGCAGAGTTCAGACATGAGAAGTTGCTTGGCTGCTACATTGTAAACCCTTAATTTGGTCAGAAATGAGTGATGATGGGAGTTTGATTATTATAAAACATTTTTATATCAAATGCGAGCTGCACACAACAGGGTTCATTTGTACCAAACACAGAAGACGATCGGTTCACGCAGCCACACTATCCTTGAACAAAGAACTGGCTTCTGTTGCATTGAGCAGGAGCTATAAATCAAGGTTAATATAAAGTGTATATAAAGTGTCATACATGTATGTGTGGTGTTTTTGAAGGAGGGTCTGTGGGGAGTAGAGTTGTTGTCATGTGGTATTTGCCCACCTCGGTTGTCCAGTGCCTTATTTCTTGGTTTATTTCATCACACACTTTGTTGTTGTGATGGTTCACTTCATGTTTTAATTTATTTTTCAAGCAGCAACCTTTGGTCTTAAAAAATAACAAGTTCCTGGACTATCAGCTTGAGGCTCAAACAACAAGGAAACCTCATCAAGTCCTGTGCTAAAATGGTGAGTTGTGGTGTGCATTTGTTTATTTTGAAAAACAGATTTTTTTATGCATCAGTTTGGGTTTATCAAAGCTGAGAGAAAGAGATACATAGATTTATGAAATGAGATACCCAGCTGAGTTAATAGACAGATGAGGGTGTTGTAGCTGGTGACTACGCTTGTTTTTTCAAACAGGAGGACAATGTTGTTTTCCCTCTTTCATGATTGTGTGCCCTCTGTTATAGTCACCTTAGATATGTATATAAAAATGTGTTGTAGGACTCACATAGCTAGAGCACTTCCCTTTTTTTCCCACAGACAGATTTATCTCGTGGCATGAGTCTGTCTCCCTAGACCTGTTCATTTCTGACCCAGGCAAAACCCTCATTTCATTGACATCTTCAACATCTCCCAAGACCGCTGTTCTCATATCAGACAAGGTTTTAAGAGAGTTTTTTTTTTTTTCAAATTCGTTTACAAATGTAATCTTTGTGCTGAAGAGATTAGTGAGCGGCAACAAGACGCAATTGTGTCCTCACTCAAGTGTAATCTTTAGATTCTAAAAAAAGGGAAGATCTATTAAATAACCAAACAAGAGGACAGAAATAAAGATCTCCTTCAAACCATTTCACTTTGCAGGAAAAATGGACAGCACTTATATCACATAACCAACATTATATAGGGCTGTAGACATCTGGTGACTGTAGAGAGCATACATTATTTATTTTACATGTGGAAGAACAACTGGAATGAAGTTAGCACCAGGAGAAATAATAGAGACCGTGCCTTTAAACCGGACAGATCCAAGCAATATGGGATTAAATTTAGATTTCTCTGAGAAGCCTGACTGTACTGTTTCATAATTTAACATTCATTAATTCAATAACAAACAGCTTCTTTAAAACAGAACAGCCCGTACATGAAAGTGCAGTATGCAGTGTGACCTTCATTTTGCCAGGTTGAGTGGTTTTTTAACAGCTGATTACTGAATCATTCAAGAGGCTCGTGCTGACTTATTAATTTCCTGTACATCATCACATTAGTTATGGAACAGAATGTACTGTTTTCTACATGAAGCCAGAGCTTTAATTCTCTAAAGGTGAGGTATAGGGAAGACTTAGTACAGCCCGTTTTTTTAAGTTAAGTATGAACTTTTTTTGCAAAGCTCTGGCAAATTAGTTTGAGATGAATCAAAGTTTTAAAAGAATTGTTCTTTAATGATTCTTTGTCTGATGCTCATCATCTCACCACATAGTCTCAGAATGACCTCCGAGAAGTAGGCCAAATCAGCGGAAACAATCAAACACAAATCTGTGTCAGGCAAGCGTAAATAATTTCTTCCTCCTCTGGATAAGAACATTTTTATCTGTGAGAGTGATGAACACGAGGAATACAAATCTAACAGAACATTACCTTGTTTGGTACCGTGGTTACAACAGATACGTGAGCAAGGATGGAAAAAACAAAACTGTGTACGAGGACTGAGGTCAAAGAACAGTTCCTGTTATTTCTATCCACCTCCTCTGTGTGAGAATGATTCTCTACGGAGGCGAGAGCTGGTACAAAGTGAAGTCCATTACCAGACGACTTTTATGTCCATTTTTAGATACAGTGCACTCATCCTTGAGCAGGTTACCATGTTCTTGAACAGCTGTAAAGTAAAAACTGTGTTGAATCTCACCTCTCTTAGAAACATTTGATGTTATCAGGCAATTTGCACCAAAAGCAGTGATCAAATCCCTAAAATTGGTACAGAAAATTAAAAATGGATTAAAAAACAGCACAAGTAATCAAGTTATGGTTCAAGCATTAAGAAAGTGCACAATGTTAGATAGTGCTCTGAATGGTGCCCTTAAAGTTTGAGTAAATAGTGTGCAGTACTCTTTGACATGCTCAAAAGTTAGCAATCTTTCACATGCACCTTAAAATTCAGGTGCTTGGTTTTTTTTATGGGTGTTGCAGTTATATTATAAAATCAAAGTCATCATGTTGGTATTTATCAGGGATTAAAAAGGTCTACTGGTGTATCACCTCATATTGCAGGTTGGTCGTGTACATTTTTAGCCCCTGGCCCTCTGGACCTCCAGTCTGCCACTGACTAGGTGTAATTGTAAATTCAGTCTTTTGGTGTCATTCCTTAAAGGGATATTCTGGTGTAAAATTAATTTAGGGTCAAACACACCGTAACACTGAGTTAGACACCCCCTCGAGAGTTGAATGCTGCCGACCGCTTGCTTCTTTAGTTTTTGCTTCCAGCAGCCGCTTGTTTATAGTGAGACCTTGGGCCAGTCCATTACGGACTACAGTGGGGGGGGCGCAGCTCAAGGAAGAACATTTATGATCATTTATTCGCTAAGGCAGAAGAACTACAGCGTCTGCAGTGCAAAATGATTAACATGATGATTATTACTTCATGGAAATGATAAAGAAATGATCATAAATGTTCTTCCTTGAGCCGCGTCCCCCCACAGCAGTCCGTAATGGACTGGCTCGGGGTCTCGCTACAAACAAGCGGCTGCTGGAAGAGAGTAGGTGAGTTGTGTTTGGTCTCTTTACAAGATAAATCAGGCAAAGTTAAAAAGATGTTTGGTGGCTAGTGCTGTGGCTGGGACCCTATATGTACTGTTGATGAAGTTAAGTGCTGTTCTGAGCATTATTTGTGGCTGTAGAGTGGCATTTTGGTTGAGGTTTCTTTATGGCTCCTCAGACCGCTGTGTATTGCTATCGTGCGGTTGTTACTAAAGTTGGTATAACTAGAGAAGCAAGCGGTCTGCAACATTCATCTCTCGACGGGGTGTCTAACTCGGTGTTACGGTGTGTTTAACCCTAAATTAATTTTACGCCGGAATATCCCTTTAAAATGTGCTATTAGCTGTAACTGGAGCAGAGGTAGGTTTAATCTCTCTGAGATAGGTTATATGATTTGATACAGTTTTCAAATAGATATTAGTATTCTTGGTGTGAAGAGGGATTTGGGTTAGGCTGCAGGTTAGGTAACTGTTCTAGTAACAGCAGTGGTAAAGGAGAATATACATTATGAATAGATAAAATTATATTACAAAAAAATTTCCCCCATGGGGGATCACTAAAGGAATATTCTATTCTATTCTATTCTATTATAACCCATTAGTTGCTGTACAGGCTCCTTATCACAAATGAATTGAATACGGCAGATTTAGAGCTAAGCCTTCAGAGGTTACCTCTGACCTAATGCTGTGATGAAATATGAATGACCTCAATATGACCAAATGGTTTTTATCTAAATGAGACGAGGCTCAGTAAGCTGTGTTCTCAGCTCATGTGAATAATAAAGAGTTCATTAACAAATCTGTCTTTGGGGATAGAAGAATACCATTGTGCACCAGTGTGCGCCAGTGTGCGATACTATCTTGTGTATGTGTTTGCATCTTTGTGCATGTCTTTAGTTAATCCATGACAGGACTGAACAACAGCAGCAGGACAATCGACAATCGTACCAAATTCAATATTAAATTCCACAGAGGAACAGTCAGAGCTCATTAAAAAAGTGCCATCTGCTCATTAGCATTGTGGAAAAAAGTCGGTAAGAGCGACCAAGACATGACAATGTTACTCAGGCTGCACAAAGGAGAGACAAGAAGTAGGTTACCTGTTTGCCGTTCACAACTTACATGCAGGGAGAATTTTAATAAGTGACATAATCATATTAGTATGACCGAGCTGTGTGCTGAATGAAAGCTAGACAATTTTCTCCTGATCCAAATTATATGTAACTCTCTGGCTGATGCTGTTGATGGATATAAAATGTTCATGTTTCCTGTTTTAAGTGATTTCTAACCTTGCATTATGTTTGTAGCATATTTGCTGTTAATGCAGTTGTCTTTGCAGTAGGCGTTTTCATTTGTAGCATGTGTCTATCATTGCGTTTGTCTCAGGCTTTTGCTTGTTTTTGAGTTTGTGTCATCGCTGAACTTATAATTTGTTTTCCCTAAAAATGTGTGAGCCACTGCTTCTTCTTTTTCCCTGTTAGCCTCTGCAGAATTGACATGAATTGATAAATTTTCTAAATTTTCCAAACAAAAAACTTCAGTACAAGGGCAGTATTTTATATCCAATATGACTTGCTGTTTTATCTCTCCATATACCTCTTCAAGGCCAACAAAAACCTGAGCAGAGTCTTCTCCTGTTTGAGCCAGTCCCAGCTTTTCCTGTTTCAATATCTGATATTTTTGATTGTCAATTTTCTAACAAATTAAACTTTATATAACTCTAAAATAATCAGGGACACAGACATGGAGGATTGTGTTTAAATGACACAGTGACCTAGATGTCTGCTGTCTCAAATAAATAAATAAATAAAGTAGAGTGCAACGATTTATGACAAACCATGAGAGTATATTTTAGTAAGCTATTTAATCAGCAGGCTGGTTTGCTGGCATACATGACAGAGGGCTGTCAAAGAAGTATGAAAAAAGCAAACCATCCTGCATGTTGATTTTGAAAACAAAAGATAATTTACACAGATTTTTGTCTTCGGATCAAGTCTAGTATTTTTAAACGTATTATTTCTATTCTCTCTAGAGAGGACAGCAAACATAGAAACATATACTTAAAAGCTTGACTATGTTTTATCTCAATTGGTACTTTATAAAAACTTCAAGACCATGAGCTAAGTTAGATATGACAATTTGGTAACACTTTCTTTGACGCCTATCTCTATAACGCATTATAAATACATGTATAATGCATTGTAATCACATTATAGCACTGTATACCTATAGTTATAAACACTCATAAATGATCATAATGCTTTATAGCAATAATCATAACACATTATAAAACATTTCATCATGACTTACAAGGTCAGGTATTATAATGTGTTATAACTGTGAACAACTCACTAACGATGCCCACATAGATAATGCAATGCAACTGTTGTTAACAGTTATAACACATTATAATACCTGACCTTGTAAGTCATGATAAAATGCTTTATAATATGTTATGGTTATTGCTATAAATTATTATGATCATTTATGAGTGTTTATAACTATAGTTATACAGTGCTATAACGTGATTATAACACATTATGAATATATTTATAATGCATTATAGAGATAGGCGTCAAATTAAGTGTTACCGTTAATTTTTAGGTTTCTCTGAAATGATCATAGAAAATATTAAGGCTTGAGTCAACATATTTTTAGATGTGCACTATCAAACAGGGTGGTTCCTGTTTGGTCACCTTGTTTTATCTCCACTGAGTCAATCCTTCGCCAGAACTTTGGGTCGTCTAGTTTCACATCTGAAAAAGTTAGCAGAATATACTGTAATTGGTTCTTCTATAGAAATGAAACATTTTCAGAAGCTATTCACCCAGCTTAGATCCACCCTATTTCAAAAGTTTTACACACTAGAAGCACTTGACATACTTTAATGATGTGAACTCATATAAAAAAGGACATTTAATTGTTGAATTTGTGCTTAAACATTAAAACAAGGGTGCGTTCACATGTGCAAACCATCTATTCCATTTTGGTTTCACTTTTTGGGCGGCAAAACATTTAAATCAAACAAATTTGAACATTGCAGACAAGATTACACATTCAGAGAGTGTCCATTTTGAAAATAAAGCTTTGGCATGGTAAAGCACTTTCCCCACAGCAGCTGTAAAAGAAAGAACCCTGATCTCTCTACTGAAAACAAAGCTTAATGCATCCGTACTGTGGTTTGGACGAGCATTACAAACAGTCACTCCTATATCTCCAGGATTTGAGCTGCTTCACTGTGTCAGCATCAGACTTTCTTGTGACTGGGTGGTGAGAGTTCCAAATAAAGATGCATATACAAGTATGAAGAAGGAAATATTGTGTGCTGCTGGAATCTTCACCTTTCAACTAGAAACCATAAAAAGACTGGAATTCAAAATTTCAGAAAGTGTAGACCTACAGACTGATAGCACATCACAAACAAGAGTAAAAATGCTACACGAATAAAAAACAACGGAGGTCCTCTAGAGCCAAAACCAAAATCCTCTACAAAGAAATTGATCTCTGCTAGCTGCATCTAGGTCAGGTTCATGAAAAACTTGCTGCTGTTGATCCTTTGGATCGCTTGGTTCTTCCTGCAATCAAATGTGGATTTACAGTACAAAAATAAGGATACAATTGAAATCATTCCCTGATAACAAATGTCCTTCAAAAGGTTTTTCAAAGACCCTCATTTCCAACAATGCCTAGCTTTTTTTTTTTTTTTTGCACTATGGAGTATTTACCTTTTCCTGTTTTTTCCAGATGCCATGTTTTACAGAACGAATCAACGAGTCATGAATGTTTGAACAAAACTTTCAGCTTGGCAGGTTGGAGCTGTATTGAAAACTTTGCACAAAGGAGCCACGCTGATGTTCTTGTGACTCAAAATAACAGTGTTGTTCCAGTTTCCAGTTTTTAAATACGCTGGTTTACATGTTCACTCCAGTTTGTGCACTGAAGTCATCCTCTAGTTGGAGCAGGTGTTGATGTTCTTGCCGTCTGCAGCGTCCTCCACTAGAGCGAGGTGATAATCAGTGGAGAGTGTGAAGTGGGACACACAGCCCACCAAGCCCCCGACGTATTGTCTGTTTGTGTGGAGGGCGATCTCTTTCATGCCACCTTCAGGGAGAGCGCAGAACAAGCAGACATGAGAACCAGACAGTATAGAATGAAAACATTGAATGTGGCGTTTAATCTTGAGCACATATAGAAGGATTTGTGGGATAATGAGTTGAGCGCTCCACATACCAACATATAAGGGTCCATTTATATTGAGCTGTCTCATCTTTCCCAGTGACCTGCCTGTTTTTGCTCCATAGTCGTCCACTGTCAGCTTTCCTGATTGACCGTCTCTGAAGAGAAACATCACTATGTTAAAAAACCCTCTGAAATCTAAAAACATTTTTTGTATTCATAAAATCATTGAATAAAATACATCAAACCTTTTCCTCACATGCATTACAGTTTGAGTTTAAAGGTTCTTTTGGCTCATGTTTTGGTTAAATACACTGAACTAATTCAGTATCATGTGGCATGTGGCAAACATTGACAACTATGCTTCTATATGTCCTTCAAAAGCAAATGAGACCATGAACATTATTATGATTATTCCTATACAGTAACTCTACATGCCTCTTCATGTACTCTGCTAGTGGGAAGGTTTCACACAGAGTAATAGCATACAGGGAAGAAGCAGACTGAGGTTTCCCAGCTGACTTGTGCAGGGGTGGCGTTGTGAGTGCACACAAAAATACATAAATAGCATCTATTTATGTGTTTTATGTAGCTATTTTTCAACTTGAAAAAGTATAGCAAAACAACTGCTACATATACATCATGTTAGCATAAATTCCAAGTCACTGTGAGGATTTCTTTACTGGTTGAGTCATGTCAGTTTTCGTGCTCACAGGTTGTTCCCCTGCCTCCAGGTGGACAGGAAAGCCTCTGAATTAAACTGTTTTATCTTGTTTGTTGGTCAAATCTTTTCATTTTAAAGCTTACCTAACAGCTTTGACTCTGTGCCATTTCCCGTCATTAAAGGTCCCATTGACAGCAATGTTAGCTGCACCACTGCCCAGGTTGTAGCTGGAACGATAAAACAAAACAAAAAAAAAGTGAGTGACAAGATTACTCTTGCTTTTTTGTAGGTCATGTTCTGACTGTAAATACATGTTTGTTATTGTCCTGGTTCATGTATAAAACAAGCAAGAAAGAAGCACCAAGTCATAAGCAAGACTTGTAGAATATTCTGCAGAAAAGCAAACCATTATCTTTTTACAGTGTAGGTTACACGAGAAATCGCATGTGTAAATACAGCGTAACCTTCAGACAAAGTGGGTTTACAGAGATTGTGATCGTTCATTGCTACGGTCTCATAAGAATTTCCCTTCATAGATCCAGGTGATGTGGTGCAGGGAAAACATTTGTCACGGCAAAAGTTCATACTTTGGCCAGTATTGTTTTTATAACAACTACTGTTTTTTTAAGGCTCAATGATGCTGTGAATAAACTAATTTTTGTTTTATTAAACCAAAGTCAACTCTGACAATCACGTCCAGCTGTTTGGATGTTGGTATAGTTTGGGCCTGAACACTGGAAATGTCGGTAGGGTGCCTAGTTATTCACTCTTTGTAGTACATAACATTTATGTCTCATTATAACATTCTTTATAATGCTTCCTGGGTTTGTTTTTATGTAATGACAAGATGTTTTAAAATCTGAATAAAGTTTAAATTTGATAAAATTACCTAAAGATCAGGGCACCATCCTGGAGCCCCATAGATAGGAAGTCACTGTTGGGTCTCATTGGACTGTCTCCTCGCCATAGCAACAAGCCATCCTTTGCTGTGCTCTTGAAACGCATGAAAAGGTTGGTTCTAGACCCAGACACTCTGAAAGAAAAAATGACAAAGCATGTTTGAAAGAAAGATTCTTGCTGTGGTCAGAGCAAACATCATCCAAACTACATTTCTACATGCAAAAAGATCACTAATGTCATGAAAAGACGCACAAGTTGTCCTCCTTCAGACCAACCTTTTCAGAATATCTCTGTTGTCATATGTGAGGTAACTTCTGCCAATGAACTGTGGGATCTCTATTGCTTCAGTCACAGCTGAGAAAAAAAGGATTGTATTTACTTTATATCATCACAAGGTGGCAGCATCAACATGTTTTTATAAAGCACAAGGACTAAAACGGCTTTTGAGGGGAGTGAGGTATGAGGAAAGTAAAGGATATATGTTTTCAGAGACTATAATTATGTGTACATTGATAATTTTGTCTTTTTTAAATCGTTGAAGAAAACTTACTGTTCAAACAGTAATTTCCACACTCTGTTCAGTGCATGCGTTAAAAAACAGAGAAGGCATAAATAGGCTTAAAGGATTAGCATGTGCAATATATCATCTTACATGACATTACATGATAACACAAAAAAATGCAGCTTTAATCCATGAGAAGAGTAAACATCAAGACACATGGTTAAAGTCATATAATGTACAGATACAAAAACACTATAACTGACTCCTTCACAATTATATTCTTTCTTTCCTCTATTTTATTGAATGTTCCTATTTGACCTGCTTAGATTATATTGATAAAATTAGCTCTATTGTGCAAAATACTGACATTCAAAATACATCCATTTAATAATGACGTAGTTTAACAGACTATATAACAGCATTGAGAAAACATCTGAGTTTCTTTTTTTGCCACCACACATCTCAGTGCTGTCGAAATAAAACAAAAACAAAACTAAATAAAATAAAATAATAAGAAAAAAAAAAAGATGTCATACTGACCTTTCTGGCAGTGTCTCCCATCATACCCCAGGGGGCAATCACACTCATAAGTGTCCCACTTTGGCCTGCAGGTCCCTCCGTTGGCACAGGGACTTTCCACACATGGGTGTTCTGAGTTTGCTACATTAACTCCACCTGCTGAGCCTGAGGTTATGGGGATGGTGCGATCATTGAGTATCAGCTGGAGAGGTTACATGAAAAAAAAAGGGGAAGAGAGAGAGCGGAGGGAGGTGTAAAAAACTCTGCACTCGACAGAGTTTAAAACTTACAGGTAGCCAGCGAAGACCAACAAGGACGGATGTTTTACAGGATATCAGTCATACCTTCTGAATAACTCCGGTGAAGGGCTTTTTCACACCTGCTGTCCTCTTTGTTTTATCATACTCTGGTACTCCACCGATGTACAGAGGCGAACTGCAGCTGATCTGAGTGAAAGCCCCCTGAAAGATGAGTAGACAGTACACTTAAAATATGATGATTTTTTTAAATGAGCCATGTACCTGGAACATTATCTTGCCTTGTGTGGGACTTAATATGTTTGGCTGGATTGTGTAAAAATCTTCAAAAACGCTCTTAGCAGAGATGAAGAAACACTTACTGCTGACATTTTGCCCCCCTTTGTTACTAATGGTTCTTAAGGAAACTTCATTTTTAACCCACAAGGTAGAACACAGTGAATTTCACTGCAAAATCTCAAATCTTAACAGAAGCAATTTTTTCATTTTATATTTAAATCACCTAACTGAAATCCTATTACACTTAGTATATACACCCATTCACTTGACAAGTTGGGAAATTAATCCTATATCAGTATATTACAAGCCAAAAACAGGGACATAGAAAAAAATACCTGTCAATGCAGCAATCACAATTTTTTTAGTGTTTTTCAAAGAGTCTTATATATTGAATTTTACTTTTTACTTTAAACCTTTATTTTTGGATTGTTATATCTCATAATAAGACTAATCCCTGGGTTGGTCAGAGTAATGTGAGTTGTATCAATTGTAAGAAAGAAATTAGACGTAAAATGTGACATCTTTGTTGAATAAAAGGATTTCTAAAGAATAAAAGACGCATAGAAAACAGGATGAAAAAATGTACTCTGAGCGTGTTTGTGACCCTGAAAATGTTCAGCTTGCCAAGGCAATGTTTCTGGTATTTGTTGTGAGGTTTTTCTGCCCTCTTGTGGTCAACACCACACAACACAACTTAAAACAACACCGTTCCTATATACCTCAGCGATCCCTTCCATTGGTCTCTGGCTGTCCACCTGGAGAATCCCACTCTTTGCGGTGCGAGACACCCGCAGCTCGTGCCACGTGTCCAAACTGATCTGCTCCTCGCTCCTGGGACACAGATCAACAGATACAGCGTAGGCCGACTAGAATATGAGTGAGAAAATGAAGCAGATAAAAAAAAAAAAACATTAACTTATCTATCTGGTACCTTATTGTTGCTCCTCCAGAGCCACAGTCAAATCTGAACTCCACATATCGATCCACTAGGTTGATAGCCAGGAAGTCTCCGCTGCCGGCGTCATCGCTGTACAGCAGAGTCCCGTCAGGTGATGAAGGCTTGAATGTCAGCTCAAACTCCGTAAAGGACAGATAACTTTGAGAGGACTGGGGCCACGGGATGAGGGCGTATGAAAACACTGTCTCATTGAAGAGAGGTGAAGACAGTGAGAAACCTAAAGAGTTGAAGAGGAGACATGTAGAAGGTTTTTAAGGAGCATTAAGAAATTGAAGAGGAAGAAGATGTTAAAAAAAAGAGCAAAGTGTAAAAAGAGGAAATGAGGTGAGAGAGATAGAGTTACATCACTCAACAAATCCCACTCCCTCAATAAAAGGAATAATAATAACCTTCATTTCACCCTTTTTCCGTCATGTTGCACTCAACAGCGCAGAAATTACCTTTAAAGATCTGCATGAGAATCTATGACAGCAATCAGGTGAGAGGGAATCACAAAAGGATTTGACTCGACTTCTCTCACAGTAATCTATACCTTCTTTTGTAAACAAGACAAAAAAGTGATTTTTAATGTAGGTGCAAGATCCAGGGAAATGGAGACTCACTCTCTTCACAGAGCACTCCTCTGAAGCTCAGCGGGCAGAGGCAGATGTAACCATCAGCCCGGTTTGCAAAGCAGACTCCACCATTAGCACAGCTGACCCGGTCACACACACTCTCGCTGCACTCACCTAGAACAAAGCAAAGAGACGTATGGTTCAAAAGGTAGCTTCAGCGTGTATCCTGTTTACTTTCATGTTCATCATGACGTCAACACACTCTAACAGCACTGGGCGCCCCCTCACCTATATCAGCACCACTCAGAGCTCTGCCCAGAGGCCAGGGTCTGATGTCTGTGGCCTTGTTGTTGATGGTCAGACTCTGAATGCAGCCGACAAAGCCTCGGTTTGTCCCTGTCGCTCTGACCAGCCAATAAGCGCTCGGGGTTCCACCCAAATAGAGAGGGGAGCGGAAAGTGATCTTTGTGTACTGACCCTAAAACAGAGTGGAGAACAACAATGTGATTGATCACGAGGTAGCTGACAAACAGCTTGAGGCTGTTTGCTACCCTAAAAGGATATTCCGGTGTAAAATTAAGTTAGGGTCAAACACACCGTAACACCGAGTTAGACACCCTGTCGAGAGATAAATGTTGCCGACCGCTTGCTTCTCTAGTTTTACCAACTCTAGTAACAACCGCACAATAGCAATACAGAGAGCCACATGCTCAACCAAAACGCCACTCTATAGCCACAGAGCAAAATGATTAATATGATGATTATTACTTCAAGGAAATGATAAAGCAATGATCATAAATGTTCTTCTTTGAGCTGCGAGCCCCCGCTGCAGTCCGTAATGGACTGGCCAGAGGTCTCACTACAAACAAGCGGCTGCTGGAAGAGAGTGGGTCAGTTGTGTTTAGTTTCTTTGCTAAAGAAATTAGTCAAAGCTAAAAAGATGTTTGGTGTCTAGTGCTGTGGCTGGGACCCTATATGTACTGTTGATGAAGTTAGGTGCTGTTCTGAGCATTATTTGTGGCTACAGAGCGGCTTTTTGGTTGAGCGCGTGGCTCTCTGTATTGCTATCGTGCGGTCGTTACCAAAGTTGGTTTAACTAGAGAAGCAAGCGGTCGGCAACATTCATCTCTCGATGGGGTGTCTAACTCTGTGTTACGGAGTTTATGACGCTAACTTAATTTTACACCAGAATATCCCTTAAATGGATTGAAATTGACTGGTTAAAAGCTTGAAAAGCAAAATTTCTGTTATATGTGTAACAATGTGAGACTCTTAGTCTGATCACCACTGTGTTCTTGTTACCTGTGAGCGTCCGGATATGGGCGTGTCATTATCCATACGCAGCCAGCCACTCATGCCGTCTCTGAAGACAGTGACTGTGTGCCACTGACCGAGAACGATACGACTCTCACTGACTATCTGAGCTGCTCCTGTGCCGCAGTTAAATCTGGAGACAACACAACATTTCTCATGTGTTATTTTCAAAACTAATAAAATGAATCCTCAATGACTCAGAGTCTCTTTGTCAAGTCCTGGTTTTATTCCATCATAGTTAGAAATATGTTTTTCTGCTTGGAGTAACAAAAAGATTTATTTTGATTATAAACCATATTTCTATGGACTAACAATTCATGACTGGACACAAATCTGAATTTAAGATAGTATGTTTTCTTTTACCTGTAGTGCAGCTTGCCCCGCACCAGAGCTAATGAGGTAAAATCTCCTCGTCCGTGTTCATTTTCTCCACAGTATAGCAACAAGCCATCCTCAGAGTCTGTCTGTATCACAGAGAAACTGTTTCAGAGTCTTTTCAACCATTTAAAAAATAAAAAAATCGTTTAGTAAAAAAATACAAAGTGCTTTACCTTGAACTCTAGAGTTATCTGAAATGTCTGGTAAGAGTTCTTTAAGGGTTCAAAGGTCATATGAGAGTAGCCATAAAACCTGGGGAAGTTCACTGGTATCACTGCGGGATTAAATAGTGATGGGATCATGAGATAAGGTAGAAAATATAGGAGTTCATACATCCAAGCACAGGGTATCAAACGACACTCGTCTCACCCTCAGAGCAGGTGTCCCCTCTTCGGCCCAGGTTACAGTGACAACGTGAACCTCCACTGTCAAAGTCACTGAGACAGAAACTGTCAGGGGGGCACACCGTATCATCGCAGGTGAGGTCGTACACTCGAGGTACCTCACCTTTCCAGGGGGACATGGTTGGGGTGGTAGTTGTGGTGGGCATGGTGCTGTTTATGCAGATGAAAAACAGGTGTAAGGTCATGAGTGACTGAAGATTTGACAACACAAAGTCAGTAGGTTAGGTTGATTGATACTCTTATTTTATTTTTACACTCTTTTATTAAACTCTGGTCCTATATTTATCTGCAGGTGACTCTTTTAAACTCCCGCTTTTTTTCCCTGGAGGTCATTTTGTTTCCTTTTTTCAAAAAAGTGAAACAGTCAGCAAGCCAAAAGAGAAATGTGGTTGGCATGCTTCACAGCAAAACTAAAATGACAGCTTTGATTTTTGTGACATTTCACCGCATCAGTCAACATTATTATCAAAGGATTTAGAGAAAGAGCATAAAAGGTGACGGGGGATTTGAAACGAGAGAGCAGGAAGTCAGGAGCGAGAGCAATCCAGCGAGCAAAGAGGGAAAGGAACTGCGAGTTAAAAAATGAACAATAATAAACCTTTTCTTGTGCAAAGTTGGAAACACTCATAAAAAGTCAAATAAAAAAGCAGTCAGTCAACGATTGATGATACAGCAACATTTCTGAGGTACAGCTTACCTGACTGTGGTTGGTTGGGCAGTAGTTGTGGTGATTCTGGTGGTACTGGTTTCTGAGGTGGTTGAGAAAATCAGATCTGAGAAGTCTGGGATTACTGTTGAGGTGGTGGACTGAGTGGTGGTTATGTTTGGTGGAACAATGGTGTTCATTCGATAGACAACGTTTCGGCCGGATGGCGGACCAGAACGTGAACGCAGCTGTGACTTCCTGTTGTCTTGATTGATACCTGGGAACGGCTTCAGCTGGGATGAGGAGAGAGAATGACAGAGAACAAAGGTTACAGAGGTGATCCTAAAAAACTGATGCATCAAATTTCACATTTTTGCTCATTTTCCTTCAATCATTTCATTCAGCCTTTTATTTTTACATGTAATGATGTCCATATTTCCATATTTGTCCATATTTGGCATGTAATATCCCACCTCTTCAATAAAGATGTCATAGTCAGAGTCATCCACATCAAAGAAGTCCTCATCTCTGTCCCTTGAGTCAGTGTTGTAACGCCCGTAATCTCCACTGCCAACCTCAGACACACCTGTCCAGAATAACAACAAATACAGTTTGTTATCGCACACTCTCTAATGTTCCAGTTTATTAAAAGAGGGTTATATGGAAAAAATAACATGATTGGAGAGGTGAAATGAAGCACAGGTTAAATTATGAAGAATAGCAGTAGTTTACATTAGAATGGTACTGCACTTGACTGCCAAGTCAAGTGCAGTACCATTATTTTCATGAAAATAAACAGTGGAAGTAGTTCAGTCTGTAGAAACTTAGCCTGGAAACCAAAGGGTGGCCAATTAAAGTCCCAGCACAAACCTCAGCATAAGAGTTGGACCTGACCCTGGAAAGGTGCCAGTTCACCATCTGGGTGCTACAGAGGTTTCCTTGACCAAGAAACAGAACCACCAACTCCTCAGGGTTCTGGTCTTTGCATGTTCACAGGGTCCTGTATAAGCCCATGTGTGTGTAGCATGATCATTGAGAGAGTATAAGCCGGACTGAACTCCTCCAACAATAAAACATTTCTTATTTATCTTCTTTAATGCAGTTTTCAAGCAGAAACATCACAGACACTGATACTGTAGATAAAGAGGAAAGAGATGGTGGTGCCAACAACAAGGATGATAATGATGATGCTGATAATGACAGCTATAATTATGATAATCATGCTAGTGCTGTTGATGATGCTACTGATAAAGATGATGATGACGCTAATTGATAAAATGATTTGAATGATAATGATGATGATGATTTTAATGAAGCTGAATAATAATGATGATGATGACACTAATTGATAAAGATGATGGCGGCGATGATGATGACACTAATTGATAAAATGATTTTAATGATAATGATTATTATAATGACACCAATTGATAATAATGAAGATGATGTAGATGATGGTGATAGTGGTTATAATGATGATAATGAGGTTTTCTGAGTGATGACAATGCAAAAATGATAGTGATGGTGACTATAATGACGATGATCATGTTCATGATGTGGTCAATGATAAAAATGATAATGGTATTGTCTATAATGTTGACGGAAATGATGATGATAATGTTGAAAATGACGAGAGTGATGATCATGTTGATATTGATGATAATGATAATAATTTCTGATGATGATAATCATTTTTATAATTATGTTGTTAAAAAGATAATTTTGATGATGGTGTTGTTGAGTGTATTGATGTTGATAATGAGGATTATTATAATGACAGTGATGATCATTTTGATGATAATAATGAAAATAATGGTGTTGGTGTTAATGATCATCATCCTCATCATTTTCAACATCATAATTACATTCATGATGATGATGATATTGATGATAACAATGCTAATGATAATGTTAATAATGGTCAGGATAATATTGATGAAGATGTTGCTAATGTTGTTGATGCTAATGCTGCAGCTATTACTGATGATAATGATAATGCTGATGTTCATGATGATAATAACAGTGATGGAAACTGAACCAACAGCAGACAGTGGTATGAACTGTCAGACTGAAGACTGTTGGCTGGATTTCATGAGGTGGTGATGTTTTGTTGTGCTTATAGCGTTTCATCAATAATGCAATGATGATCACAAAGCACAAATGTTATGGAGCAGTGACAACACAAAACCAATCATTTCTACCTTTTACCCTGTAGCCAGGCTGCCGGACAACGTACTGAAATGTGTTTTCTTGAAATAGAACGGCAGCTCGGAAAGAACAAGAACAAAACCAGTTAAAGGAAACAAAGAGAAAAGTACAAAGTGTTAGTGACTCTTAATGCCAAAGGGAAGAAAACAATATAAGTGATATGCGGACATGTCTAAACTTCATAAGTACCGATAAATAAAGGCAGTCTAAATAGGACTTCCATGTAATCAGATAGAAGAAGTGGCTTCCTTCCTGATCTTTAAAACCTAGATTAGAGTTGTATTCATGTAGTAAATTCAGGTAGAAGAAGAGTTGGTTTCAGATGTTTAAAAATATTATTTCAGTTGCAAAAAAAAACAAAAAAACAAATGTGTCTAGAAGTATCTTAATCTTAGTTTACACCACAACATCCCACCCCCTTTGTCTCCTCAGTCTCATATCTTATCAACCCTAAAAACCATGAGAGTCTTTGTACCATGGGTTCATTTTGAAGAACCTAAACCTAAACATAGAGACTGTTTCATTAACCAGTTATGTCATAATAAAATTTACCATTAGACCAAGTTTGTTAAGATTTTAAGTGGTCATTAGCTCAGCGTAATTACATTAAGTCCTGGATACTGACTGCCTCTGGCATTAAAGGAGGGGGGGGGGCCCTAAAAAGCCCTCAGCAAATTAATCCTCTGTTGTGTAACAGTCCCCCTCAAACATTACCAACTGCTTCACGCACACACACACACACACACACACACACACACACACACACACACACACACACACACACACACACACACACACGCACACTTATGCACTCAGAAGAACTCTCACAGAGAGAGCAACAAGAGAAGTATGTCAGTCAGTCAAGCCCACCCCTGCTGTTTGCTGAAGCAGCGGTGCATTGTGTGTGTGTGTGTGTATGTGTGTGTGTGTTTGCATCCATCAGGAGGGTTCATGGGCAGTGAAGGGGTCTGGCATCCCATCCTTAATCCTGTCTGATGAGACTGGGACGTAACCCGCTTTTGTTCCCTGCTAAGAAACCAGGCGTCTCTATCTTTTTGGTTCTGCTCCTGTGTGTGTGTGTCTGTGTGTTTAGATTTTTGTGCATGAGTGTGTGTTCGTCCATGTAACTGGCTCAGCATTATCTTGTTTCATGCATCTTTGTTTAAATTATTGTTTCTTTCATTGTCATTCTCCATGTCTTCCCGGCTCTGTCGCTCTGTCCCGGTCTACTTCGGGCGCTTAATTTAATCGGAGGCATTTACAACAGTTTGACAGCTAGCGTAGCATATGAGCAGAAGCTGCCTGTACACATGGCTTTCTTCTGTCAGCAGTGTAGCCTGTAGGCCACAGGAAAAAAACAAAAAAAAAACAATCCCACTAATGTGATTGTGTCTACATGGCATTTTGATTTCAGTCATCATAAATATTCATTCTACTAGAGCATCCGAATGTCAAAGTCTATGATCCATTAAGACATAGCTGTTTTGCATGTATGTGAATGTTATTCTTGTACACACCTGCGCAAATGCATGTGTGTTTATGTGCTTTAATATCAATCAGTCCTGGCTATTCCCCTCCCCCACATGCAACCACCAGCAGGCTACATCAAAATAATAAAGTAAATGATTGCTGTTCTGTATCTCAGTCAGAAAAACCCACTGACACAGTGGCGGGATTTGTCCTACGTTCACCAGGAAAACTGTCAGGCCGCACACTACGCTTTTCTCTCAAAACCTCACAATTGAGACATTTGTTTTAGTCCTCTTTTGTGTAAAAAAAATTCTCTGTGTGAGGAGATATTGTGAACTTCCTGCAAGAATTTTGAATCTTAAATAGTGAAGTATGCATTGTGACATTTTTTTAAATGTCAAAAACATGCTCCTTCTCTAAACCAAAAATTTGGGCCCTGATATTTTTATTATTGACAAGAGATGAATGATTTAAAAGGCATGATATGAATGTAGAATTATGGAATTCAAGGCTTTTTTTGGTCTTAAAATGCAGCATGGTTTGAGAAAATTCTGACTGTCTCTGAGGTTTATACAGTGAGGTTGGACAAAGTAGACAACATAACAATAACTCTGGTGACGCAAAGAAGCAAAACAAAGGTTAACATGGCTTGTTTAGCTTTCTGTGGGTGTGTAGTATAAACAAAATGTGGTTGAAATAAGACTGAAAAGAGAGTGGAGCCTAAACTGTTCTGGTAGGCCAAACTGATCATGTAAAAACTCACCAAGTGTTCGCACGGGGCTGTTGATGTTGCTGGGTGGGCTCGCTCCGTGCACATTGACAGCCCTGACCACAAACTGGTACTCCGTCTCAGGTAATAACCCCTTCAACACCATGGAGTTAGTCTCGATGGGCTCTCGAATGTAAGTCCACTCTGTGTCCATTTCTGGCCTGGAAATAAGACACAGACAAAGATCCCTCTCAGGCTTTGTTTTCTGATGATTCTGGTTGCTAAAAATACGGCACATTTACCCAGACATGAGTGGAAATCACCGCTCTCAAACACTGTCACAGTTATTGTTTTTTAGGATAATGACATGTTTTTGTTGTGTCAATTCTGATGTGATCTTTCCACTGATCCTGCTCTTCCTGTAAGATATTTGAAAGCGTCTGCATACTACAGATTTCAGCTCTGAATAATTCAATATCTCCAAAAATGCAGAATGATTTCTCAAACAAAAGGACAAGCTATTGATTGAGATGTTTTTCCTTTTCATACTGTTGCTATTTTTGAATCCTCTGAAGTTTCACAGAACTGCTTTGTGCTCTAATCAAGGTGTTAGATTGAAATACGCAGGAAAACAAAATGATGAACTCCTGAACTTTATTTTCCCTCCCTATCATCTCCGGCTTCCTTCATGAGCTGCCATATTTGTGTGCTGATACCCGGCGCCTAAAGGCACAGCTATCTGTTGAATGGGGTCATCTTCACCACCACTCAATGTCTCTCTTCAACAAGGCCTCTTTTGATGTGAGCCGGGAAAGATTTGCCTCTGAGATGGCCCTTTTGTGAGCAGAATGCCTCTGCATGCAAAAACAGACACTGCTTCACATTTGCTCTGTCACAGTAAGTGACAGTTTGTCGGCCTTTGTCTCTCTCTCTCTGTTTTTCTGACTCTCTTTGCTCAGTCTCAGGGTGTTAACTGCACCATTGAGGGCACTATTTCTGTTTCCTTTAATAGCTTAAACCCTTTTTTTTTCTTATTTCATCTATTATAGTGGGGGTACTTTTACAATCTTTTTTTGTTATTGTGTCTGGAAATTCATCAGGGGATGCGTGACCGATTATTTCTGACCTCAGATTCTTTGACTATGTAGCCTGGGGACTCGTCTAGACGTGGGAGAACCTTCAATAATATGTGTTGTGTGTGTGTGTGTGCATATGAGTGAACACATATGCACACATCAAGACAGAAAATGAAATTCATTCTTTTCTTATTTCGACTCGACACAAACGCACAAATGAAGCAGACAGCAGATGCCCTTGGGAATTTCACTTTCAAAGAGGTTTGTACTCTGAAAAGTTGAAAAGTGGATACAAAGGATCTGATTGTAGGGACTAAACTTAAAGCATACATAAATGCATACAGATGAAAGTTTGGAAATAAACTCTTGAAAATGTTTTTAATTTTGTTTCATCTTTTTGTTGTTTTTGTATTATCATGCCAAAAAACGAACTTGTTTTGTTCATACATACAATATTTTCCATCTCTTATACACATTAGCTTTAAAAAAAACCCTTTAAATTCTCTTGGTTTCTCACAGAGCTGTGTAAAAATATGTGCTTAACCCACCTTCACATTAAGAAGATAAGATTAATGCATAGGGCAGGACGGGTACGACCCCCTTCTGACATCTGATTGGCCTCCACAAGGTCCACCCTAAAAATTCTTAACTGTGATTGGATATTTGCCTTTTCATTGATGTTGCTTGTGTTGAAATTTAAAAAGTTTGGGTCAAAAAAAGTGGCTTTCTTTACATGTCAGTGTAACAGGTTTGCCTTTGTGCGGTCTTTAGATTGTCAATTTGGACATCATTCTGACACTTTAAAGCACAAATTAGAAAAATTTATGTCACCACTTTGTTATATTTTTTATTTGGAGTTGAAAATTATACACTGGTATTCAAGATCTGTAATGAGGAATGACTTTTTGAGATAAAAAGAGTACATTAACATTATTAATCTATGTGTGTGCACCGTAGACTGTATATACTACGGACAACTTGGTTCTGCCTACCACCAGTATATGGATTTGAAGCCGAAAAGCTCTCAGTAATGCCGTGTATTTTCTCCACTTCTTGAACAGATTATGCCGTGTATTTTCTCCACTTTCTGAAACCAACATTGCGCAGTACCATTGTACGCATTTGGCGGGAGAGTCGCCGAAAGTCGCTGTGATGAAGTTCAGCTCAAACAGCGTATTCCCTGGGTTAGCTACGCAATCGCCGTACGCCCATAGGCCGAATCAAGTGTCAATCATAGAAAAATATGAACCCCCTTATAACTTTTCAAACTGGAGCTGCACAGAAAAAAAGCGGACTTCAGCACAAATCAGTCTTACAATAACTGTCAACATCGCAAGCAGGGTGGAGAAAAATGTATATCCTGTGTAATAAAGGATAATAAAGGATGTAATAAATTTTTGAAGTTTGTCCACAGCTCCAAAAGGATTGCTGGAGGAGGCGGGATTTATGACTTATACTGCAGCCCATCACTAGAGGGTGCTGTTCTCGGAGTGGCTTCACCCAGTGAGGAGGCAGACGCTCTCCATTCTATATACAGTCTATGGTGTGCACACACATCCAACATACCATCTCTGCATAAGTCAGTACCCCAGCTGAGTCACTACAGTTCAGAAAGTCTGAACATGCCTTTAGCTTTATCCAAAGATGGAAAACAGTCTCACTGTCAGTTTGATGTTGAAAAATCAGCATGATGTATCTAGTTTGTTACATTACAACACTTTAGGCACTACTCTAAAACGGTGCAAAGCCTTGAGGCAAGTCAACCAGACTCGTTAGTTTTAGGCCTAGCACCAACTCTGTGTGTAGATAGGAGGGGAACTTGCACTCACTTTAGCATCCATTGGTGTGTCGGTGCTAAAGACAGTAGTGGTCAGGCAAGCAGGTGGCTTGTTGCTATCATGGGGAAGCAGAGAGCATCTGCTCCTGTGACCAAAAAGTACTAAAAACCTGCTCTTACGTGTGAACTCAGTGGCAATACCTTCCTGATATTTAGAGCGTGAATTAGCGAATGAGTGAAAAGGTTGTCAGAGAACACAGAGACGCACAGCTGTGCTTCCACTCATGACAGAGTATCATTGTTTTTGCTGGTGCAGTGAAGTTGAGTCTTTGATGGATCAGAGGGCTGAGGGAGCTGGGAGTATTTTTCTTTGTTTCCATACATACGTACCGCTCACTACTATCTCCTTATAATCTCAGCGCTGAACATCCCTAAAGCTACAGCCTTAGCCTCATTGTGTGTGTTCCCTCAACTGCATGTACATAAAGGAGCACACATCTAAACTGCTAGATTAGACCTAACATTATGCATTGCGCATGTGTTGAAAAGTAGACTGTAACCATTTGATCCAGTAGGAAAAAAGGGTAAATTATAAGATAGCAGCCCCCATTTCTTAGATGTAAAGCACACCGGACATTAGTTAATACCCTACTATACAATGCTGTCAGTGTTCCCTGACCTTTAAATCATTAATAGAGCTGATGCTGCTGTGGCATGTGTGCACTGTAAATGTACAGATGTGTCACTTTGGAAAATCATTACCTGTTTTTGGATTCTTTCACATACAGTGACACATTTGTTTTTTCTACGTGTTCAGAGATACAGGAGAGTAAACGGGTTGGCTAGTGTCTGGTGTATCAGTAGAAAGGCTGCAGTCTGTCGTGTAAATAGCTATAAGCTCATCTGTATGCACACCTGACTCTTAAAGAAAACAAGTGCAGAAGCTGTGATTGGTTTGATTCATGTCATGTCCAAAACACACCTATGAATAATTGAGAAACTTAACCGAATCTATCAACAACCTGTGTCTCACTTCACACCCAGATTTTGCGCCGCTAGACTACCAAAAACTAGTGGGATATTCCTTATTGACTCTGATTCTAGACCGTGTGTTTTGGATCTATAAAAAAGGCCCCATAATCCTCTTATGGGTTACCTCTTTTGATATAATCTCCCAAGAAACACTATACCCCTCCCCCAATCTCCAAGATTAGCATTCTTGCTCATATCTCTCTGTAAAAACACAACTTATTGTATCATATACAAATGTTAGACCACCAAGACAAAAATAACTAAAACCAGAGCCCAATGCAGAGGACAGACTACATGCTGTCAGCATGATCATAGCCCAATCCACCTCCTCATCTCTGACAGGGCAGCTAAAGCCAGCATGCTAGCACTTGCTACTTCTCCTTCGTTTCTCCTTCATTTTATGACGTATGGCAACTAATGGCCGCTATTGTGAACCCAGGGTATCACAATAGGCTAATTTTTTGGACAATATTATTTTTTCATATTTATATAAAATATATATAAAAAGACAGTTATCGTAAACGGTGGTGTAAATGCACAGCCCTACTCAGTGTTCAACTTATCTGACACAGTGACCATTTTGCTACGGACAAAGAAGTGTGGGTCATGTGGAGTCTGATCTTGGCTGTAGAGGTGCTAAAAGGTTATTTTTTAACCTCTACAGCACCAGGTAATCTGTTTCTCTCTACTTCAAATCCCTGTACTGAGCTAGGATGAAGTACTGGCTGCTTTCTCTTACATATTTTCCATGCAGACAGGAGAGGGGTAGTGATTTTCTTATCTAAACCTTTTCATTTGATCTTCCTGCAGCACTATGACTATTCTTAGCCCTCTTACTGTTGCCACAAGATGTAACTTAAACTGTTGTCCTGTTATTTCCATTAGCTGCATGCATGATTTACAGATTAATCTTCATAACTTATAGGTAGCCTGTATCTTTAGAGGCTTTGTAATGCTTCATCAGTGACAGTCACCATGAAAAATCAAAGAATTTTAAAAACTGCTCATTGTCTTTTTCTACCTTCAGATTTTTCTTTGTTTACTCAGGCCCACTCTTTCCCTGCACGATGTTGCCACTTTTACTTTTACAAGTGAGGATAAGAACTAGTTTGTCATGTTTGTATGTGTGAGCTGTGTGTATCTGAGTGTGCATTAATTTTTCTAGCTGATCAATCACTGACCTGATGTAAGCCACCAGGAAGTGAAGGACAGGCGCGCTTCCCTCACTTTCGCCCTGCTGCCATGACAACGCCAGCTCGGTGTCAGATACAGCCATGACAACAGGCTGAGTAGGGGGTGATGGGGGCATGCACATGTCTGATGACACAGAAAGAAATAAAACTAAGTAACACATGTTAAAAACCTCTACAGTGAAAATAAAACAGCAGCTGTAAAAATAGATTCCCACTACTCACATATTCTTACCATGTGAAGCAGTGCCAATGTCTCTGGCCATGCTGGGTCTGCCCTCCCCAGCCCAACCATACGCCCCGACACTGACTCTGTACTTGGTATTAATCTTAAGTTTACCAATGTGTACATCCTAGAGAGCACAGCACAGGGAAGTTAAGGGGTGAGGACAGAAAAACATGTAAAGATGGCAAATTAAGTATGTACACATCAGCAAGAGTAAAGAGGAAGGAGAAAAAGACTGATAACAATAATGAAAAGATGGAAAAGGTTTGGGGAAAAAAAGGGACAAAGCGTAATTAATAAATTAAAAAAAAAAAAATGTGATGATACTCACAAAGCCTGCCTGTCCATCAAATTGCCCCTGTAAGAAGTTGAAAGCAGAGGCATCTATGAACGCTTGAATCATTCAAAGCATACATATTCTCTGTTTTCATAGCAGGTTGGAGGGATGGCTGACTTACAGGGTGATATGTAGTTTAGACATTTTTCAAGAAAATTGGAAAAATTTGAAAAGATTTCTGCTAAATTTCATGGTTACTCAATTAGAGGAGGTTGTCACTGAAGTCAGGCTGCAGAAAACCTGAATGATTTTACAGTCAACAGTCCCATACAGCATGATTGAACACAGCAGACAGTGCACTAGTCTAAGACTATTTTTAACCACAGGTTAATTCATATCTTAGTCGTGTTAAAGGGATATTCCAGCGTAAAATTAATTTAGGGTCAAACACACCCTAAAAACAAGTTAGACACCCCCGAGAGAGATGAATGTTGCCGACCGCTTGCTTCTCCAGTTATACCAACTTCAGTAATGACCGCAGGATAGCATTTGTCATTTGTTTATCCTTTCCTTAAAGTAATAATCAACACAATAATCATTTTTCATTGCAGACACGGTAGTTCTTCTGCCTAAGCATTTCAGTCTGATTGCATTTCCATGAAGAAATGATCAGAAATGTTCTTCCTTGAGCTGCGTCACGCCGCTGTAGTCTGTAATGGACTGGCCCGAGGTCTCGCTACAAACAAGCGGCTGCTGAAAGAGAGTAGGTGAGTTGTGTTTAGTCTCTTTGCTAAAGAAATAAGGCAAAGCTAAAAAGATGTTTGGAGGCTAGTGCTATGGCTAGGACCCTATATATACTGTTGATGAAGTTAGGTGCTGTTCTGAGCATTATTTGTGGCTATAGAGTGGCGTGTTGGTTAAGGTTTGTTTATGGCTCCTCAGACCGCTGTGTATTGATATCCTGCGGTCGTTTAAGTTGGTATAACTAGAGAACCAAGCGGTCAGCAACATTCATCTCTCAACAGTGTGTCTAACTCGGTGTTACAGTGTGTAAGTGTACGCCGGAATATCCCTTTAAGGCTCCCATAAGGTGCATGTGGGGTCAGCTTTAAAACCAGTGGAAATACAAACACAAAAACAGGTTCAGTCAGACAATACATGTTTGAAAGGTTTATTTCAGCAGCAGAACTTTGTTTGAATTCGGCCTCTGGGCTCTGACCTCATGCAAATTTGTTTCACATGCAGAAAATTTGGAGAGTGATGAGAGCGAGAACAGAGTGGAGCTTGGAGAATGACTGCAGCACTACTGCAGGGCAGTAGAAGTACGAGAAAAACTAGAGGGAATTTTTGCAGATTAAATGGACCAGCATATTAAGATGGTGTGCTTGTTGGGTGATTGTGGAGAATGATATGTATCAAGTGCAGCTGGGATTAAACAAAGAATGGCTCAATAAATTAAAAAATATTTGGAATGAGTGTCAACCATGTGAGTTACAACTCTGTAATTTATATCAAAATCCAGGCCCAGTAAAGCAGAATTCTTTTAGGTTTAGAGATGACAATGACAATATAACATACGGTTTAACACTGTTTTCTAAAAACATGTAAAGGTAATGGACAAAACTAGAATTTCACACAAGCAAAGTAAGGGCTCTTACTGTGGTCAGCATGTCCAAGCTAAGGGGGACATCCATCAAAGATGGTGCACCCATTGGACGGCCATTCCTCATCTCTGTGTAGAAGACCTGAAAGACAAATACACAAAATTAAAGTAAAAGAGACATAAACACACGTTTTCATGATTAAGACACTCAAACACATATCAGAATGAAAGGGTTCGTACTTGGCATTCATAAAGGTTATGTTTGTTACGTTTCAAAGGTTGCTAGATTGTGTGAATCTTGTTAAGTCATGATAGTACAAATGTAACATTTTCTAGAGAAAAAACTATGAGGGTAGGATTATGTATGGACATCCAAAGTGATTGGCCAAATGAATGCACATGTCTATCTGTGAGTAGTGGGGACGCTAGGTAGTTGTGTAATCCTCTTAGTGTAGACATATGGTCCACAGCAAAGCACACGCAGTCATAGTGATCCACACTTTGTTAATGGTTGAACCAAAACAAACATTGCAGAGGGAGAAGAGATGATTGGTTATGACACTAAATGTAACTCAAAGTTGGAATAAAAAGGATTTAATTTAGCATTCAATCCATTGGTTCATAAGAACAATACCCATTGCAACACACAGCTGAACTTATATGTTACTTAAATTTTGTCCATCATGTACAACCAAAGTAGCCAGAAGTGGACTCACCTACAGCGGTACAAAAAATATATGGTCAAAAAGGAAATAAAGATATTTGCAGCCACATCTTTTAGAGCAACACTTTACTAAGTTATAAAATGCTAGAGACCAGGCTTCATCATAAAAAAAGACAATTTCAAAGATCAATCCAGCCTCAAGGCCATCCTTCTGGACAGCAGAGTTGATTGGCACTTTAAAGACAGGCGAAGGTGGGGGCCACCAATACCAGGGCCTGGAAGGGAAGATGTGCCTCCATTTGGGGAAAAAAAACTGATAGGAAATTTGATTTACGGCTTATTTGTGGAGTTGTTTTTTATGTTTGCTTGGTCGAAAGGCTCTCTCTTGTTAAAAAGAAAAAAAAGGCGAATAAAAAGTCCTGCTGTTGGGTTGAGCAAATATTTTCATCTTCTCCTGGTTTCAAATAGTTTCATAGGTTGGTTTTACCTCAGGATGCTCTTCATTTGTGCTTGGTAGCAAACAAGAGAGCCATCACACAAATGTCTGACAAACCAACAAATAACAGCTACCTTGTAAATGTCAGTCATGTTAATTGAATGGAGCTTTACAATAACGAACTTGATAAAAACAGGAATAAATTAGATTTATAACAGAATATATTTATCAGGTGTAGCCTGTTTCCCATAAACTAGTTTTTTTAAACCTACACTTTACTGACATGATTGTAAAATTGACGATGAAAGCACAAAAAAAGTCACAATGAAAGGAAACGAATACTGCTCCACCTGTGCCATTACTTAATGAAAAATCATGGCTTATACTACCTTGTACCCGGTGATGGTGCTAACGTGTCGTCGGGGCATCTTCCATCGTACACTGAAGGCGGTGCAGTTGATCGTCTCTAGCTGGATGTCTAAAGGGGGACTCAGACGATCTGGTTCAAACAAACACAGAGGAAGATAAAATGAATGAGTAATGATATGTTTGATAAAGCAACAGTGTGACTTTGATGAACTGATCACAAACTGGTCAACGGGTGATTTAAAGTGACGTAAATGCAATGTTTGTCACGGTCGCTTGTCTCATTCCCACGTTGATAACATTATTATATTGTCAAGCACGCATACACAATATTGCACCCAGTGGGGAGGTGCGTAACATGCTGACATGAGTTTAAAGAAAATACAGTGGTTGCTCATTACAATGACACATTACGTTTTAAAAGCTCTCTCTCCTCTCGTCTTTGAGGAAAGTATTTCACAATAAATATGAGTTAAAAACTAATTTCAGCTTTTTTTCAGTTGGGTTAAAGTGTTTCACTACATACATAAAGAACTATTGATTATTTAATTGTTTTGTCAATAGTTTTATTGATTCCCAAGAAATGCAATGTTTTTCAAAAAAGCAAATTAGAACCTAAAAAGAAGCAGTCCCATATCCACTTTAGCTTGTTTGAAGGTTGCTCTGAGTACCTTTTGAAATGGTGTCACCTGCAGCTTGATGAGCTGCCCTCAAAAATCGACTGACTTTGACGTAATGCTATTATTTTCATGCTCTGAGTTATTCATTCCTGGGTGCTTGTGTGACTCTTCAAGAGATTGTGATTGCACATGCAAGGCCCAACTGCAGCCTGAAAACACTTGAGAGGCCTCTCAGAGAAGAAAGACGTAGATGGCGCTGTGAAGGTGTAAATCATCCTTGCCCTTGATGACCGGCTGTATATGCATTACTTGGTTTTAATGGGAAAACGAGAGCAGACAAGCACCCTCACAGCCTCAAAGTTGTACACCTTATGTTATATTGTTTGCACAAATAATGAAAGATTAATACGACTATTATTATTATTGTATCCAGACCATCACAGAAGATACAGAGCTTGATGACAACATACATTAAATATCAGTGTGGTGTTTGGAAGTGATTAAAAACCTCCTTGACATGATTAATTCTGTGACAAAGTGAATGATCTCTGTACGTAGATTTCTCAGGCTTCTTCTTGTGCAGGTTTTTCTTCTCTGAGGGTTTCCCCTGCTTTTCAAACCCTCCTCCTCACTTCTAAACCTAAAAGGGTCGTGTTTGCTTCCACTTCACTAGTCATCACCTCTGTGAAGGAGTCAGAACCTGTGTAAAGCTAATGGACCACTTCAGAGTGTCAACAGGCTCAAGGCTTAAAGCAGAACCTGCACCATGCCCGTCACAGCACGCCAACAACAATGAAACCCAAACATGCAACAATCCCTGCAACATCTTACAACATCCCCGAGAGCAGACTTTGATTTTGGGGCACCCTGCTGGTTACCCCCTACATATAATGATAATCTCTAAAGCTTCATGCACTTTAATATACTGAAAAAACAACATGTCTGATGCTCTTTACAGTTTTCTAGGTATCCACGGGCAGTTTGTGCTTTTATGACTCTGGCGTGACTCCAAGCTAACCTAGCATTCGTGCATTTAGGGGATGTTCGCATCAAGCAAATGGTCTCCTGTGCCCCTGTAAGAAGTCTGGATCACTTCAGGTTCTTACTTAAAGAAGACAACCAGCTGTAGTAGGTTACATCAATTGTTTTTTTCACCAGTTGCTAGCTTTTGCACACAGATGTCCCTCAAGTCCTCTTAGCTTATTTTAGTATTAATGCAGTAAACACAAACAAACTCTCTGATTAACCAGCTTATGAATTAGCATCAAGAATAGACCGTAACACATTTAGAGTTTGCCAGCCCCATAATGCACTCTGGCTCCTCCCTCTCATCCAATTACAGTACAATGAGCATCATGAAATAATGTAATAAACAAATGCACCCATTGAGCGATAGACTGCTATTGGACGTTGTTTTTTTAGACCTTATTTAAACCGTCTAGATTCTGTATATTTTTAGACAGAATTTAGACGTTGCACTTTAACCCATTATTCAATAACTATTTATTTTAAAAAAGCAACTGTGAGTAGCATAACTGATCCCCAAGTACCTTAGCCACTAAGCAATATACAGTGTAGTATAGATATAGCCCAGATTTAGACTTGGTCTAAATTTACACGTCTAAAAAACTTTAATTTTTGGACCTGTGGTAGCCTGATTTTAGACCAGTCGTCTAGGCTACATTAAGACGTCTATTAGACCTCTTTTAGATCAAAAAATGCTCAGTGGGCAGCCAAGATAACAGCTGCCTGCACCATCAACCCTAAATTTGGACATTATTTTACAGGTTCTGAGATAGACTGAAATCAGGACTCTTGCAGAGGGGATTGACGTTGATCATTGGAAATCAAAAGTCAAGGTGAACCTCTTACACCAAAGTCACTCACAAATGTGTGTAGGGGTGGAGTCGTGTTCCCGGGTGTTAGTGAGAGCACTCTGTGAGGAAACACTTTAGTGGCTCTTTTCAGAGAGTGTAAACAAACAACCAGTGTGGTCATTTTGATTAAGGGTTGTCACAATATAGCAGGACAGACTCTTGTCTTAAAAAGACAAATAAGAATTGATATCGAGCTTCAATGAGCACAAGGTAATACCATGTCCTCACTTGGTTAGTAGTGTGAGGCAGTAGAGGCTGTTGATGTTGGTTTATAACCCTGGACAATGCACAGAATCACATCCAGATGACTTTGAGTTTTCCTTTAGTGAGAGGTTTCTGTCATGAGGCTGGTAACGCAGATAAAACATGACTTTTAAAATAAGTCATGTGAAATGGAAGATGACTTGTGAGTGGGTCATTTGAGTGTATTATAGTAAAGTCACCTCCTTGTTTACCCTCCATAATTTGACAGACAGTGTTTTTTATTAAGTTTTATTTGAATGTACTGAGTAGAGTCTCACAGTGTGACAGACCAATAGACTGTATATATACTAGGACAACTTGGTTCCATCCTCCGCCAGTATACCGATTTGAAGTTGAAAAGCTCTCTGTATTTCTGTTTTCTCTAAACTTCCTGAAACCAACATTGCACAGTAGCGTTGTGCGTATTCGGCGGGAAAGTCACTGAGAGTCGCTGTGACGACGCTCAGCTCAAACAGTGTATCCCCCCGGTGAACTACACAATCTTCGTACGCCCATAGGCTGTATCAGGTGTCAATCATAGAAAACATGAACCCCCTAATAACTTTTAAAAATGGAGCTGTACAGAAAAAAGAGGACTTGAGCACAAACCAGTCTTACAGTTACTACATGTCAACATCACAAGCAGGGGGGAAAAAATTACATTTTGTGTAATAAATTTCTAAAGTTTGTCCTATACTGCAGCCTGTCGCCAGAGGGTGCTGTTCTCGGAGTGGCTTCAACCGTCGAGGAGGCAGATGGCGTCCATTCTATATACAGTCTATGGACAGACCATAGGAGACATTGCAAACTCCAAACCTTGACTGGGACAAAGTAAGTCAGGGCTGATGCAAACTTTTACAATACTCGCTTAATACCACTTTACAAGACGACACACTGTCTCGTGATGTAAAAATGTCATTAGCAGATACTTTTGTCCGCAGTGATGTATAATTAAGAGCAGGTAAAACACAAGTAAAGATCGAGACGGAGGGAAACAACTTAAGCAAGTGTCAAAACTGCCTGAGGTGCAGTTGAGCATAGTGCTGTCGTGCAGTGTAAAAGGCATGCACATTTCTCCACATTATTAGAAGATTAGCTGTATCATCTCATTCACTTGTCATCTAAAAGGCTTCAGCCTTTTCTTAGTTCCTGAATTTGCTTGACACATGCTGGGTTTAGGGGCAACACCCTGATCAATATTTCAGTATTTCAGAATTTAAAAATTCATTACTTACACTCTGGCAGGTAGTATTTATTTATTTAGTGAAAGTGTTCTCACAACACTTTCTCTTACATGATAAGTTACTGTCATGTTGTAAAATTTGACATGTATCCCTGGACAAATCACCAGCTTCATCTCTCTGATTTCAAACCTTCACTTTCAGAGTCAGCTGTGTATAAAACACAACTCTTCCTGTGTCTGACTTAACCATAAGTTAACAACCAGTAAGAAATATGCTGTTTTGATGCACCTCAGAGGAGCTGAGGGAATAGTAAATTAAGCATAAGACCTTTTATTCCAAACTCCTTTGTTTTGTTCTGCTGTGAAAGTAAGAGTTGGTCCAAATTTATGGTTTTCATGAGAAGTTGTGGTTTGGAAAAAAAGGCTTTCAAAGACTTAAAAGAAAAGGGTGAGTAAATAAAAGCACAGGCTGGTTCCAAAAAGTGGTCCAAAAGCTTTCTATAATGAAAAAAAAACAAAAACCTGTCAGATCCCTGAAAAACTTCGACCACCTTGAGGGCACATGTCATTCAATCTAAACTCACTCCTTGTCTTCTGATGTGATTCACCAAGACACGAAGCCCTGCTGACTTTCACCCCTCCCCTCAGAATAAAAGCCTGAAATACCTCAAAACAAACAGAGAAAATCAAGTACAAATGTCACTGGCAATCATGAAAGCCAAACTAAAGCTGCCCTCTGTATGACAGTCAGGTCTGTGGTGAGTCTTCTGCACTGAAACAGATGTACCGGCCAGCCTGCTGTGGCCTGTGGGTCTGAAAGAGCGAGGGAGTGAGGGATACCTCTGACAGGCAGGATAGCTGACTGACAGACAGAGAGAGAGGAAGGGATGGAGAGAGAGGAAGAGGAGGAAAAAAGGGAGAAAGACTTGAAACAAAAGAAGGGTTCAGAGTCGCATGATATCAAAGAAAGATGTAGACAATGAGAGGGAAGAGAGAAAGAGAGTAAACAGAGAGGAAGTGAAGAAATAAGCATGCAGGGATTTACTGCCAAAAAGAGCAAACTGACAAGTTTGATGCTTGTGCTGTCGGTTCATTTTCCTATCCTTATTTTTCTCAATCTGTTTTCACAAATGTCTAAGTTTACATAGTATAATGTTCAGGAAAGCAAAATTTTGAGGGGAGAGAATAGATTTATTTCACCTTTATGTTTACCCACTAAAGTCACAACCTCATATTCTGAAGTTTTAACTTTACAGTTTCCCTCTCGTAATTTTAAACCAGCAGGCATGATTACAGATTAATTCTTCTAAGGAGCTCAAAATGAGGAGTTGGTATTTTCTTCACATGATGTAAGATAAGCAGCATGCTGCTCTGTTGCAGAATATTCACCCTTATGTATGTTCAGAGGTCCAATAAAGATTCCACTTGATGTCCTGGTGATAAAAATCAGACTATATAAATCAATACTTTTTGATTTGACTAATATAAACTAGAGCATGACAATTTTGTTCACTCAAACTATAGCTGTTATTTCATTTCTAAAGGTGTAGTTGCTGTTCAAACTCAAATGGAACAAATCAAAGTTTTAAATCAGATTTTATGTAATCAGACAAACGGAAAGCTTAGTCCAAATGTTGCTCCTGCTCACAATGTTTCAGTTTGAATGATAATTTTCATTGTTCTAACAAAAATACTCACCGGATCTCCGCACATTTGATCTTCTGGCACAGAGACAAACGCTGGTAGTGCACACTGCAAAGAGAAGTACATATAAAAAACTCCTTTCTTTCCATGTAGACTCCATGTCTTCTTCTGATCACAGTTTAAAACGCTCAAATGTTCATCTTATCACACGTTTAACCGCGCATGTAACCAAAACTCCAACTAATGCCTCTGCTGATGAAAGTCGTCTGTGGTAAAGAGTCGTTTTTTTATCCAAATACGCGCTCAGACGCCATCCAACGAGGGACAAAAATTGCCCGAGAGGACAGGGCAGCTCCGGTTTGACACTGATAAGATTACAGTCTGTAAAAGATCAGTGGGTTAGACACATAATGGACGGACGGACAGGCAGTGTGCCCAAGCAGGCGCGCGGACGGACGATGGAGAGGGCTGTCCCGGCAATTCACGCGTAATGCGCAACGGCTAGGAATCACTGAGTGGTGGGCACGATCATTTTTACGCACGAATCTCGCTTTCGTGTCACGCTCCAGCCGCCCGCGTCTCAGACAGCAGATGAGTTGGAGAGCGGAGTGCAGGAACGTGGGGCCATTTAGAGCTAAGAGGATAATGAGCTTCTAATCCGCGCACTGGACACAGATGGAGAGCGTGTCTTGACGCACAAGCAGAGGAACAACTGACACTCCATAAAACTATACTGGATTCTGTGCGTGCGTTAGTGTGCGTGTGTGTGACAGTGACCGAAGAGAGGGTGGGGGTGGGCAAAACAGTGGATCCATTGATTATTTTCTCTCATAATACTCATTAGTATGTGAAAACAGCTCGGCTAATCCTGTCGATGTCGTCTCAAGAAACTGTACTGAGCGTAATTTAAGTTTGGACAAGAGGAGAGGCTAATTAAGAGGGACAGCATAGTCCAGCCAAATCACTTAAGGGACATTTTTAAGATAAAGAATAGACAAAGGAAGGAGGGGATCGCTATAACAATGTACACCTAAATAGTTTGAAGTACTTTAAAAACAAAAAAAGTACATTTTTTTGACTCTGACATCTTGGAAAGTGCAGTTTTATCCATTTCATGTTCTGTACAAATCCACCTCAACCAGGACATTGCCTTAATTTTCCTTTGCAGTGACTTTTTTCCTTTCCTCTGAATCAAATAAAACTGCTCTCAAGCTACCATCAACGAAAATCTAACCAGCTGCCGGGAACCAGGCTGATTTGTGAGACCATTTTCATTTTCACTCCCCCATTCTTCTACTTACACCTGATTTTGGAGGACTAGACAATCCATCAATTACTGTGGTCAATTTGAAAATCTTTTTCATCAAATTTATGTCCAACATGTCCCTCTGGCCTGCACTGTTACTTACAGAAATTCAATGATAAAAACAATGTAAGAGAAATCTCTGGAGCAATCCGCAACACATCGGGTTGACTCTCAACACAGTGCTGTGCAGAAGTTCTACATGCTCATTGTCTTCAGATTTATGAATCTATACGTACCATGGCAGAGGTCATCCCACCATAACACCTTTACACCATCACCTTGCTGACAGAGTGATGGAAAGGGGATATAACACAGAGGCTGAGTCTTACTGGAAACAAAAATAACACATCATCTGGAAAACCCGTAATGTTACCAAGAGAATATTGTTATATGTATCTTAAAGTGGTCCTTTAAAAAAATCTGTTTTTTTTCACATTGAAAATAAAACAAGATTTTCTTAATGATAACATTTTTGATGAGTAAATATGTAAAATAAACGTCAAGGTTAGTCTTAATCTGGTCCTACCCTACAAGTTTGTTATACATATGCAGTGTATAAATAGATACTTCAAATTATAATGTAGCAACGAGCAATGATAGATACATTCACTGAAGTATACTGATGTATAAATAGATGGTGAGTCATAATCCTGTGACTGAGTGTGCCTCGGTGGAAGAGAAAAAATAACTTAACATTCATTTAAATTGTCTTTACATCCGCAACGTTTAGAAAAATCTAAAGTTCAAAGTCATCCACGTACAAGTGTGAAATGGTGATGAGGGAGTGAGCAAGCTGTTTGTTATTTGAAAGGATGGCCTCAAACTGCCAGTATTGGCCCATGCACCTGTCAGTACCTGAGGGGGTCAGGCCAAATGAAAAATCTGAATCAGGACTAAGACAAAAATCTTTTTGTTTTTTTTTGCTATGGAGACCAGCAGCTTCAAGCCAACCCACTGTCTGATGGACCAACATTCAAATAATGATTTTTCTCAAAATGATCTGAGAATAGATGTTATGTTAAAGCTTTTTAACACACTCAATTTTTTTTATTCAATTTACTCAAAAGCAACTCAAGACAGATGTACTCATAAGCACTCCTTCACTCCGTTACATGAAAAATCCAGGAGAGAAAAGCACAGTGCCAATCGAAATCAATCCTTTTTCTATGTGCAACACATTGTCCTCACGGGCAAACTGTGACCTTTACCTGCTATATGAGTCAATAAACTGTGAGTGAGAAAGATGACATGTGCCAAGGTGGAGTGAAATAATGTCAAGAAACAGTGACATCAGTTTAGCTCAGTGATTGTGCCACATGTACAAAGTTTAGTGTCCACAGTCCTGTCTGCCCTCTGCTGCATGTCGTCCCCAACTCTCTCTAACTGACTCTATCTGCTGCCCTTTTCTCTGAATAAAGGCCCGTAGTAAAAGAATAAAAATGTCAAAGAAACTCAAAAGACAAGACAAATCTGATCTTACGCAAAGAAAAACCTTCCCGAACCTCACTCTGAACGTTGTATTTGTTAGCATTTCCAACCTGTCTAGAAATGTATTCCTCAAACTGTTTTACCCACATGGTTGAGCTTTCATATCCAAGATATTATTTTGATAACATCTTTCTGTTTCAAACCTCATTATCATCATGAAGTGTAACATGGTGTAAAAACACTCATTAGACATGCCTCACTCTCGCTTGAGAAGTTTTGTTTTCTTTTTACACTCTACTGGGATTCAATTTGTGGATTTTAAGCGTGTGACTGGAAACTAAAACTGTTATCAATCTGAGAGGCTTCACTTTTCTGTCAACCAGGTTTAGGGTTTAAAAGCTGGAGTTTGTGGCACACTTGAAAGAAATTCATCAGTAATGGCTTTATAATGTGAGGTAACATTTCACTGTGATTCTCAGAAGTTCATTTTTTAGATCTGGTCTCTTCCAGCAAAAAGATTTTTAAAGGAACCTTAAATAAAACTGAAAATAAAGTTAAATTTTAAACAAGTATAATGATCTCAAATAAAGTTTCGCCTGTGTTAGTTGATAACCAAAATGATAAAAACACACTACAGATAAACAGCACAGACTTATGCTAGGCATCAAACTGAGAGCTTTTATGGACCTTGATAAAACAAAGAATAAAGAGACAATGAGCTGCATGCAGGATGAAGGGTATTGAATCTAAGGAAGGGTAACGCACTGGTTCCACCTACTGGACAAACACAAACACAAGAGAGAGTGGAGGGTAAAACTGGCAGATGCAGTCATCCCATCAAAATACAACCACATCTTACCAAGTTTAATTCATACGCAGTCAATAATTCGGTAAAACTTTACTTGACACCTATCTCTATAACTCAAATATAAATATATGTATAATGTGATATAATCACGTTATAGCACTGTATAAGTATAGTTATAAACACTTATAAATGATCATAATACTTTATAGCTATAATCATAACACATTATGAAGCATTTTATCATGACTTACAAGGTCAGGATTATAATGTGTTATGCTTATTGTTATGAAGCTTTATGGTCATTAATGAGTGTTTATAATGATAGTTATACAAGTTAATAAGCAAATTATAACACATCATAAATATATGTTTAATGCATTATCTATGTGGGCATTGGCAGTGAGTTGTTAACATATATAACTCATTATAATACCTGACCTTGTAAGTCATGATAAAATGATTTATAACGTGTTATGATTATTGCTATAAAGCATTATGATCATTTATGAGTGTGTATAACTATAGTTATACAGTGCTATATCATGATTATAACGCATCACACATATATTTATATTTGCGTTATAGAGATAGGCGTCAAGTAAATTATTACCAATAATTCTTTATGTGTCTACTTAAAAAAGGGCATAATAGAAGTCATCAATGTAACTCTCCACTGAGCATCAACAAACCAAAATGAGACCACAAGATACCTTTCACATTAGCTTCATCCAGGGAATTAACAATCGTCACCTTTCACTCGACTTAAACAAGTAAATAAATCAGACTGATGGTTTAGAAAATTGCTTCTGCTCAATATTAAAAAAAACATCAGCCTGCCGTCGAGGGTTAATGACATGATTCTTTGTATATTTGGAGAGCTAATTTGCTCTTTATCGCCACACTACAGTGACCTGTAAACATTTCACAATAAACTGATTTTAGTCTCTGCTTGCTTCTGTTGGTCTTTTGTGTACAAAGTTGTTGTGCTTTTATGTTGACATGTTGTGTATAGATTTGTATCAGATTATACCAGATATGAAAAGTTATTAATATTTTTCAGAGAAATGCCATTAATCCAAATCTGTACTGACAGAAAAAAATAGAAAAAGGTTCATTCACATAATGTGGAGCTGCTGTTTAATGCCAAATAGATTATAATTGTGGTAAACAGTGCCTTCCAGTGGCGGCATCTAAGTTCTACATGCATATAAGAGTGAGTACCCAGCACATGTGGAACTAGAGAGTTTGATAAATGACAGAATGTACTGTTCTACTTCTGTGGATCATCGCATGAACTCTTATATTTAGGTTTAACACTGCCATCCAGTGGTCAGAAATGCCACACTTATATCAAGACCAGAGACAAACATCAAGTAAATGTTGTGCTTGCTTAGACATCATAACAGTCACTGACCCCAACTTCACATTTCTGCGCTGGCTCCCAGCTCAGCAGACATCACCACTCCAACAGCCCAGCGTCTGATCACTCTCACCCCGAGGCTCCAGCAGCACTCGAAGACATGTGGTGTGAATTAGAGTTTGAGCAGCACTGTGGATCCAAAAGGAGCTGGTTTTGTTCAATGCATACCATCATCCATCAAACATTAAGATCTTTGAATACCAATAAAGCTGGCAGAATCTTGTTTGACTGAATTCATTTTTAAAAAAGTATCAATTTTTAGTCTTTACGATCTCTGTGGAAAAAAAAGTTTGTTCTTGTAACACAAAATGGAGTGACAAAGTGAATCAGAGTTACAATCCAGCTGATTTGCAAAAATCTGTGTGATTAGTCCTGATGACTTCCACACTTTTAGGAACTTCTGTTTCTAAATGTTAATAAGATGCAAATTAACATCTGAGTAAAGTGAAGTCAAAGCGAACTGAGCCCACCCTGCTCAAAGTTGACCCTGAAGGCATGAAAGTGATTGGTTTTCTCTGCCCCTGAGCCATAACCCCCATCAACTACTCTGGGATATTCACATGCTGCAGGTTTTATAAAACAGTAAAAGGTGAACGAAACAGCTCTGGGAAGATTTACTCAAGCCTGACGGTGCATTAAATGCACCACTTATGCCAACATACTCTTATAAACAATGTTAACATGCTCAAGTTTAGCATGCACTGGTAGTATATGTTCACGTCTACACAGCATAATAGCATGTCGACTATATTGCCATTTTACACAATGCTGGAGAGGCTGAGACGAAAAAAATAACACCAGTTTTGCAGTTCATAAACCAAAGATGAAAACATCTAGAGGTTGACCTGCTGATGATGGCGCATATAAGACACACCTCTCATGACATTCAAAATCAAGACAACACATGTAAAATGGTTGAGATGCCAATACAATCTATCATAAAGCACTAACAAGGTTCAAGGCAAATATCCACAGTTTTTAACTGTAGGGAGTACCATGGATAAAGCCAGGGACCGTCAGATTCTGTTGGTTTCAGGCCCTAAATCTGTATATCAGATCATAAGAATCAAAAGTCTTTCAGATATTTCAGTCTTGACCTAAGTTATGGACCAGCCAACAAACCAACATGTCTATCCTTTAAGTCTCAAAGAACCGTCATAGCCTCTGGGGCTCCAGACAGTTTTAGGAACTGTTGGAGAAGTCTAGAGTAATCATGTTAGAGAGTTTAGGATATGTGGACTCGAGATTTCCTTTCCTGTGTGCTGCATATTGTTTATGATGTGGATGGGGGAATAGAGATGAGAAACAGTCGCGTTGAGTTCATTGTTTTCTTCCCTCATACACAAATTGTTGTAACGATTAAGAAAAATCCACTATGTAGATGATATCTGATGAGTTCTGAGATTACATTCAAACAATGAACTTCACCTTACTCTCTTCCTACAAACTGATTTTTTTCCAGGAACACAATTTAATTTAGTTTCTCTGACAAAACAGAACAAAATTCTCATCCTAAGCATACTCACTCATGAAGACACTGTATGTGTATTTATAGATCCTACTATCCTTCTCCTACCTCCCAAGATTTTAGCACGTTAATTCAGAAAACAGGGCACATTATCACAGATGTCACCCTCTGTACATGTGGAAGATACTGAAGATATCCGTTCTTTATGGTAATTACAACACCGGCAGCTGTGTCCCAAATCAGACATCCACTCCAGCTGTCAGCCCCTCCCTCCCACAGGACATGCCGGGGCGGCAGTCTCATGTTGACCGATAATGAGGGGTGAAATTACCTGTACAATTAGCCTATTTCATGTGAGTCAAACCGAGCTCCAAGACATGGCTGACAGATTCAGATCAGCTCCTGATTAGCCCTCATGGCTTGCAAAGAAGGAAATGGACATCTGTTTGGAGTATTTGCTGCTTGCAAGGGTGTAATTGCTTAAGGGTGAGGTATTTCCATACAGTTTAGTGTGAGTCAGTGGAAAGGGAAGCCTTACTGTGGGATTAGAAGACTTCAGAAATCACAAGTGGAAGACAACTGCTATTCTGCACTATAAATCTTTGGAGAATATTTGGATGCACAAATGGTTTTTGCATGTTCTGAAATCGTGAAGTTATTACAATACAATGAGACAAACATGTGTGCACACTGACATGAACATGATTCATCATGAAACATTACACTTCAAGGGTGCATAGCTGTGCATGTTTACACATTTGTGTGCATTGTAGATATGCATACAGATAATGTATTTCACATCTACCCTGTAAACTTATCGGCTTCGGATGTAGATTAATTTTAGTCAAGTCAAAGAGGACAAACAGCAGCATGTCTTTATGGAATCATTTTGCTTTTGTGTAGCGGAGCAGTGGCACATCTTATATTGCAGCAACACTATACTGTAATTTGTTTATCTCCTTTTCCAAATGAGTTGCTTCTTAATCTTTGTGGAGTTTATCATCATGTCACATTTACACTATTTGTTCTGCTTCTTCTTAACATAAAGTCGTAACGCATTACAGCTTTGTGAGCACAGTTAGTTGTCTTGTGGTTCAGACTAAAGTGAAATAAACAACTTTTGACTACTCCAGAGGGAGAGCACTCAGGCACAGATCACTCCGGCTCATCTACACTCTGGTTTCAATCATGAAACACAGTCTCATCCACATTTGCCTCGTGATGTTTGAGGGAGGAAAAAAATAAGAGACATAGACAGGGTTTTAGACGTACTGGTACGGATCAGATCAAGTATGGAGGAGAGAGACAGATGCTGAGGACTGGAAATACTTTTTTTCGAACACTTCTTATAGCGTGTTTACAATCTCAGTTTCCAAAGAAGGTTTGCCGTTGATAAATTACTTACACTGTGTGCCATCTAATATAAGAGAGCATTTTTTAACCAAATCTGAAAGCCTTAGACAGTGAAAATCAGACAATCTTGGCTGCGTTAGAGTGTCACATATATGATCATGTGTGTACGTGTTAAGTGTTTTTGCACTTCTGAAGCCCCTGGATCTGTACATGTCTGCAAGTTGTGCTAACAGATATTCATTAAAGAATTTATAACTTGGATTATGTAACCAAAGCAATGCTTCCTATTGGCAGGACTCCACAAGTTCAATATCCAGCTCCTGTAATAGATATTAATTCAACTCCCCTTGATGATTTCAAGGTGATAACTACGAGCTCATTCTCTTGAGTCTATTCAGTCTGTTTCAGCTGGCTGATCAGAGACACGTTTCCCATCCAATATCAACCTCACTTGTGAAGCAGGTTGGGGAAAGTGGCATGTTGTTAGTGGAAAGTGTGAAACTTTCTCTCTCCCTCTCAGCCATCTGAGTACACAGACATAACATGACTTCTCCACCCTCACCAACTCTGAACCAGGAGTTCAATAAGTCATTCGGGCTCCATCCGTCAGTGTAGTCTGCATGGGTGGAGAGAGGACGGGGCAGAGGATACTCCAGTTGAACGTCAGCACCACTCCCAGACCCCATCTCTGGTGTTAGAGCTGTACTCTCAACAGCTCAGTCAGGTCTGATGAACAGAAGTGACTGCATTGTGTGCACTGAATACAAACCAGGGTGACGGATTGTTTGACTGGGCTCTGTTGGTCTTGCAGGCGTCGTTGGATTTATTTTCTATCTAAAAAGAAAAGAAAAAAACTTCAGAGGAAAGCCTGGGCTTCGTGTTTTACGCGTCTACCTTTGGTTTGGATGATGCGCCACGGCCACGCTGCACACTGTCGCCAGCTGGTAAACGAGTGATAGCTTGTGGTTTACGGTACGGTAAGCAACACCACAGGAGATCAAGACCATTTCTCGTGGCAGCAACCAGACGTAAAGAGTGTGCCCCAGCTTTTCCTCCCAAACTGGTGAACGTCGTAGCTATGCTGTCTATCGCGTTTGACAGATGATACCTGTTGATTCCACGTCGCGCCATGTTCTTCTGTCGGACCAAAGTGGACAATGAAGTTATGGGATAGTTTTACCACTTGTTTGATACTGCTGAGCACCGCCGTGCACGCCAGTTCGCGTCCCTGGTCCACCAAGAGGAGAGGGCGCGCCGCTGAGAGTCCACTGGAGCTCCCGCCTGTTCAGATCCGCCTGTCAGTCACTTCCCCGGGCATCAGCAACGCTCAGGCGGATACAGCAGACTGGGGGGAGACGGTGGCTGAAGGTGAAAAAGGTACAAAACTGTCCCTCTTTATGGTCTGCTAGGGGCTGCCAAAATGACCACTGTAGTTTATAAGTGCTTTGGCTGAATTTGAACGTGATGTGAAGTGATCCGTTATTAACATATTTATATTAAAGTCTCTACTAACCTTCTCCTTTTTAGTTTAACTTTTTGCAACACGCCTCTTACCCTTGACCACAATTCAATGATAAATACCACAAAGGATTTCTTCTGTTGATTTTTAAATTCATAACATGCTAACATTAGACTGAAATCCCCTTTTCACAATCAGCTAATAAAGATGTAATCCGTTAACATTGATGTTTTGGTCCGGCCTTCAGTCTTCGAATTATGGTGGCTGAGAACTGCCACTGCTGCTGCTGCTGCTGCAAAAAAAAAAGCTTAAAAAAAAAAACCAAAAACCAAAGCATGCTGCAGATGAAAAAGAGGCAGTTAACATCGCAAAAAAAAGTGGTGATGCAAACAAACAAAAGTTACTGCGAAAATAAAAAGGATGCAAATAAAAAAAAAGCCACAACGGAAGTGAGCTGCTGGGGACCAATAATGATGATGCACCGGTGTTTTACAATCTGGGCACAGAAGACGATGGCGAGAAGATGAGCAAAGAAGTTAGCGGAAAGGTTATTATTTAATTTCAATTTGTGTGCTTCTCAATGTGTCATTTTGTTAGTCCATGTAGCACCTGAGTCGATATGAAGTTGATCTGGAGGATGCCAGTGTAGCGTTAGCTTCAGTTCCACTTAATATCGACTCAGGCGCTACATGGCCTATCAAAATGACTCGTTGAAAAGGACACAAAGTGAAATTAAACAATAACCTTTCTAACAACCTTTTTTTCATCACCCCCTTTTTTTTTGCGTCGTTAACTTCCGTTGTGGCTTTTTTATCTGCGCCATTTCTTTTTTTTTTTTTTTTTTGCTACGGGCTTCAGTTTCATTTTTTTGCATCAGTGATTTCCGTTGTGACTTCTTTCTTTTCCCCATTCTTTTTTTATTTGCAGCAGTGGCGGTTCTCAACCATTGTATAGACTCAATCATATGTCATTTTTATCAAAGCAAGTGCACAACTAAGTAGGTTGTAGATTAATTTTTATATGATCCAGTGATTGATTTATGATTTTAGCATTGTATTATATGCTACTGGACTAGATATTTGCTGCATACTATTGCTCTAATGCTACCAGTGAGCTCAAACATCTATCCTACCATTGCAGAAATAAGTATGGGATCCATTTGTTGCTTGGATGAATCAGTCCAAAACAAATTCCTCCACGGAGTAAAAAATATGCACCATTTCCACATATCTGACATAACACTCCATTGTCCAAGAGTCGGTTTGAGGTGTTAAAGTGAAACAACATGTGCTTGCATATATGTACGTGTAAGAGTGCCATGTCTCCTAATTCGTTTCAGACATCATGGAGGAGCCCCCATTGAAGGAATATGAGGAGGTGGTAGACTTCATCAAAGTGACCATTAGTCGGATACGCCGCTCACCTCCATCCACCAAATTACCATCTACCTCTCTGTACACCACCCTCTCTCCCTCCAAAGTGGACTTGACAAGCAGGACTCGACACCGGAGGGAGAGGAAGAAGGCAGCAAACCAGCAAAGCAGGACGGGAGGAAGACTGGGGATGACAGTGGGGGTGACAGGGAGGAAGGTCAGAGGGGGAAGAGCTAATGGCAGGGGGCAGGGCTGTGTGCTCAAACAGATCCACCTCAATGTGTCTGACCTCGGACTGGGCTATCGTTCCAGTGAGGAAATGATTTTCAGGTACTGCTCTGGACCCTGCAGGAAGTCTGAGACAAACTATGACAAAATCCTTCATAATCTTGCTCACAAAAGAAGGCTCCCCCCCAGAGACACGCCCCCTCAGGCCTGCTGTCGACCAATTTCGTTTGATGACGACCTCTCGTTTCTTGATGACAACCTGATCTACCACACCGTGAGGAAGCACTCTGCCAGGAAATGTGGTTGTGTGTGAGCTGGTGGCGATATTTTTTTTCGTAGGTAGGGGAAGGTCCCGCCTTCTTCACCTCTGATTGGCTAGAAAACCTGGAAACGTCATCACATGCTCAAGCCGAGCGCGGGCTGTCAGCTCTGTACATCGAACAGAACATAACCGAACATTATCGCACTTCTAAATCTCCTAATCCTAACCCGACGGCCAATGACGTTTCACAGCCATAAGGAGTAACCAATCGGAGCTCAGCACTACTAGCCAATCAGAGGCAAAGGAGGGCGGAACCTTCCCCTTCTATCCTACAAAAAAAATTTCATGAGCTGGTGTGAGGTACTGTGTGAACACATGTTCACTCTGACTTTCATGTATTGTGTTGAGTTTTTTTTACTCCTAATATTTCTCTGCTTGGAAACTCTGTGGTATTTTGTGTGGAGCCATGTTTGTCCTGTGTCCATCAGTCAAAGAGTGAAGATAAGGAGGGGAGGTGGTATCCATACAGTTTTACCAGAAGTGAAATTATTTGTCATGATCTGACTTTTCCAGATATGGTGGCTTTATTATCAAAGATCTTCAACACCTTACAGTTCTTCTGTGATCCGTCAATGGCTGAATAACCAGACTCATTTGGCCCTTTATCGAGCACATTTATATGGAATGTAATATACATATATGACATGTATTTATGAAATCCTGAATTAATTAACTTATTCATATTTATTTTGTTGTTTTTTTAATAAAAGTATTTATTACAATGATGTGATATCTCAGATGGTGTTTAATGCACATTATTTTATAATTGATTTTTTCAGTATGGAATTATAAAAGTCGAAGTGGTTTACATTACAAAAAGTGCCCTGACAGTGTTTGGCGTCTCCTCAAACTGACTTTGTGTGTCTTAGAGATAAAAAATTATTTCAAATTAATCTGTTTTATTCTTAAAAATTTGCAGATCTGAATTTGAAAAAAAAAAAGCACTATGTCTACATTATGGCGAGCATGCAGGTCTGTGTGCAGCACCAGTGTACAACATGAGACCCACCCTGAAAGTATGACTCATGAATAGAGCTGCGAGTGCTCTAAATCTTTCCAGCATTGCAATGCTCAGTTGGCTCGATGGTTTCCTTGTAATGATTCAGTATTGTCATCAGTTAAAACACATTGTGTGCTGACTCTTGGCCTAAGAAATCTGGTGATTAGATTTTCTAATAAAACAATTATTATGTCAGTTTGCAGTTGTTATGCAGCTTGCAGTATTTTTTATCCCTTTTACCCCTACAGACCATATTGGAATGATACTCATCTTTTATGTGACATCATGTTCTTAATATTGTGTCTTAAGAAGGAATAATGCTACAAATACAAACATATTAAAAGTAAGGCAGAAAAGATGCTAGACTTTTTGTTTTCTTTTTGGTAGAGAAATAAATCTGCCTAACATCAGAACTTGGCCAGCTGGCCATCAAATTTTGCCCTAAAATGTGGGCTGCTTTCACTGCAGATTTCCACTATACAGTGTCTTTGTGCTGCTAACCAACCAGGAGCAAGGAGGGATATGGTCCACAGATAAGTTGCACAGAATTGGAGTCTTATGGCTTGGGTCTCAGAAAACGGAAGAGGTTTAAGGTTTCTTGTACATTGCCAAAATTCTGCTCTTAAGCACTACTTGCGGTCAGAATCTCCACAGGGCACTATTAAAGATTTCCGTCAGTGGAGTAGTGTTATTTCCTGGCTATCTCTAGGTCAAATGGGTCAAGTAATCCCTGAATTTTCAAATTGGGGTGAGATTTGTTACACCAGTATTTTATTCTCATGATTAGAGAAGAATAAAGAATATACATCAAAAATAAACCTTTAAAGGTAAACAAATGAATCATTAAAGGTAAACAAATGAATCGTTATATTTCTGACAGCCTTTGTGTTAAAGAGAGAAAAGAAGTATGTCTGATGTTATCAAATGACAAGTACAGGTGTCAAACACAGAAGGAAATGGAGTATCTACACCTTTAGTACAGTTCAGGGGCTGTAGTGTAAAAATAAAAGGGAGGGGAGACAGTCAAAGAGGGATGTTAAATAGGTTGGTGAAAGATGAATGTTAAGGAACATAAAGAACTCAACACGCAAGACTGAGTAATAGAGCTGTAAATGCGCTGGGAGAGAAAGGGAGGACAATGTGGAGACAGAATGATTAAATAGCCTCAAACAACCAGAGGAGAAAAATGAAGAAGTTGGAGAACATGAGAAGAGAAGATACATCTTGCTTAACTGGTGTGTGTGGTCGATATCTGATCCAGCTCCCGCTCTCTCAAATTTCACAGCCTCTGTCTCCTGAGCTGTGAGTCAGCGCTGTTGGGATCAGCAACTTCAGAGCCAAACTACACGAGCCAAACCAATTATGAATGTGACTTACTATCTCTCTAAAAATGACACCTTAATTCTCTTTAAGACCCGTACCCAGAACTATCAAACCAGATTTGCATTGCCTACTTGCACTATCAAAATTTTCACAAACAAAATAAATCTTTATAATTATTTAAAAGCTTTCTTGCTCTTCAGTCAACATAAAAATTCAGGACACGTGTAGACTCTAATGCAAAGGATGTAGTCTCAGTTATGTCACATGTCAGTTTCTGAAGAAGCTCTAAGATGGCAGATGCCTTATTAGAAAAACAGACTCCCAACTTTGCCTAATTGTGGATCTGGCAAATAGCGAGAGTTGAGGCTGACAGGCAAACAGGTACAGTGTGTTCAGCTGTCAGTCAAACCAACTGTGCCCCCAATTACACCTAGTTGTACTCAATTATTAGTTAAAACAGAACAGAGAAATCTGCCCTTTTTTCACAAATGAATAAATTAGGTATGAAGGCCAGAATTGTACCAGGCTGTTTACATGTTTATGTCTAATGTAAAATTCTAAGTTTTTTGTGGGGTCTCCTTTGATTTTGGAGCAAGATTCAAGTGGACACTCAAGAAAACTGTAGTTCTTTACTCATCTGCATTTGTTTCACTTTTCTGTGCTGAAGAAGAGGAATGGTCTTCTATTGAACTATTAAAGTTTCAGCTTCATTTATAGACCAGCAGGGGCAGCATTCGAGATAACTGACAGTCAGAGGATAGCTTCATTAGACAGATGAGTCTTCTGCTCTTTTGTTCGGAGTGTGAGAGGATCTTGTAATGACGGATAATGTTCCGCTGAGGTGAAATACAACAAGTGTTAGAGGTGTGGTGTTACAAAGAGGTGCTAAATACTGGCACAAATGTACATGCTGACATATGGTGTTACATGTAGAAGTTCAAAAGATTGGTAAACCTGAATCTTTTTTCCCCTCTTTTCTGTAAACATTGAGTTAATCCTCCTACAGCACTGCAAACTTAAACCTCAAAGCATTTTTTTAAATCAAAACTTAATTTTTCTCATTTCTTCATGGAAATGCAATCAGACCGAGACGCTAAGGCAGAAGAACTACCGCGTCTGCAGTGCAAAATGATTAATATAGTGATTATTACTTCAAGGGAACGATAAAGAAATGATCATAAATGTTCTTCCTTGAGCTGCGTCACCCCACAGCAGTCCATAATGGACTGGCCTGAGGTCTCGCTACAAACAAGCGGCCGCTGGAAGAGAGTGGGTGAGTTGTGTTTAGCCTCTTTGCTAAAGAAATTGAAAAAGATGTTTGGTGGCTAGTGCTATGGCTCGGACCCTATATGTACTGTTGATGAAGTTAGGTGCTGTTCTGAGCATTATTTGTGGCTATAGAGTGGCTTTTTGGTTGAGGTTTGTTTATGGCTCCTCAGACCGCTGTGTATTGCTATCCTGTGGTTGTTATTAAAGTTGGTATAACTAGAGAAGCAAGCAGTCTGCAAAATTAATCTCTCAACAAGGTGTCTAACTCGGAGTTAGTGTGTTTGTACCTAAATTAATTTTCATCAGAATATCCCTTTAAGGATCAGTTTTACTTACAGCATTTTGTTTTTCTATCAAGAGTATCCAGTGCACCTTTAAAGTGAATAAAAAAAATCTGAATCTATTCAGTTTTTAAAAAGCAACATGATTCACTGAAGGCCATTGTGTTTGTGTGTTAAGGAGTTCAGAGGCAGGCATTTCCCAACTTTACAGATTAAAGCATATTTTTGTTATTTGTGGATACTTTGATTAATTAGTGGTGGGAGCAGCTGAGTAGTCAAAGGCTTTTTGTAGTGGTTACTGCGGGTAAAGAGGGCATGTTAAGTTCATCTGATGACACTGCTGTTAAAGCTGACCCCTCAAACTCTCAGGAGAATAGCCCGCTTCCTTCGCCTCTCAGCCTCTGGGTTCATGTTGGTTTCAAGATTTACATTTCAAAAGTTTCTCCATGGTGGCTGAAATTCTCATCATTCAGTGCAAATCAGTGAATTGTTTATGAGAGGAAGCAATTGTGGTTAGATTGTGCTCCACCACCATTGTGGCAATGGCATGAGAACAGATATAAATGATAACTGAAATGCAATCACGGTTTTATCAGAGATGTCATGAGTTTTCATGAAAGATCTGTCAGACTGCAAGACACGCTTTGTGCCTCTGTCAGTGCGAGTCAGGCGGTATGATGAGTAAATTGTAAAGACAACCACAGAAGCAGAAAGAAGTCACTGCAGATGATAACAACAATGCAGTTATCAATTTTAGACAACAAAAAAAACTCTGGCGCTGTCTCCGACTATCTTTATTTTGAGATAGAGAATAAATAAGATACTCCAGTGTTGTGCTTTGAGCCATAGTTTCGAAAACAGCGCTGTGCCGTCACTGACCTGGCTGCAACACAAAGCAGAGGCAGAGAGGATAAACACTGAGCTGTAACCACACTGGACTGTTCATCTTCATTTGGCCTTTTGCCAAACCTCCAGTCTGGACCACCATCCACAGGCTCCCCACTCATCACTTTCAGACACACACAAAGACACGTGTTATCAGTCATCACTATAGTCAGCCCCCGACTGAATACATGCTGATTCATCCTGTGGACAACAAGGCAGACTGAGAGAACAACCAACACCATATCCTTACATTTGCAGCACTACAGTATTGGCAGTCAGATATGGTGAATCCCTCTGTTTGTAAAAGCGAGTTCATATTGAGCTCGGCAGAAACAGTGACGGTCATGAAAATGACCAAAAATCCAAAGAAGTGCAGCACTTTCTGCAACTTATAAGAGTGATGCAACAACTTGATATTTTAAACTACATGAAGTTACGTATGGACTAAGCCCAGACACAGATGGGCCTTTAATGGAGGCAATCATATGAAACAACAAGAACTACCGAGGTAAATGGCAGGAGGTGTGAATGTAACACTCACCTGCGTGATGGTGTGAGCTCAGATGATTAAATATTTAAGTGCAACCTGAAACTGTGCAATCCACCTGTGGTACATCAGCAGGTGTGTATTCACACAACAGAGTGTGGATTTTTCTGTGTGAGTGTCGTGGCAGATTTGAGGTAGAATTACAGTTTAGATACGTTTATATTGGCGGTTCTATCAAGAGTTTAAAAATCCATTATTTTGATACTTCGAGCTGTGTTAAAGCAAACCTTAAGATTTTTTTGACGGAGTGAAAGCGAGAGGAAGAGTTCATGGTGCAACATTCAATCTGTTTTAGTCAGTGCTGTCCTTGTGGTCTGATGAAAAACAGCTTATGGGCAGACCAGAGTGTAGTCCTGCTGGGCTGAAGCTGTCTGCTCTAATGTGTCACACTTGGGCTGCTGGGTCAATATGAGAGGATGCTTATATTTGGTTTGATCCTGAGTGACACTAGAAAAGCTATGTACACAATCGGTCAGGTGTTACATAAGCGGAATATGTATTTCTGGCACATAGCTCGGACATTTCTGTTTTCGTTCTTTATATTTCATGTCAAAATAACTGTCAGAAGGACTAACATTTCTGTCAAGAGCTTTAGGCTGTTACGTGATAAAACTTTTGAATTGTAAGCTAACCTGAATCAAATGTTTGGAACCGGCTCGAATTAAGTGTTAGCCTACCCAAATCAAGCTGTATTGCTTCATGGCACTTGCATTTCATTAAATGTTCCCATGGTGATGACCTTTATAATGTTTAAATAGACTTAAAATACATATTTTTGCTTATTTTAATAAACAATTACTTGTAAGTCTATGGCCTATTTGGGGATTTGTCAGTGTTTAACTTGTTCTCATATGTTTGCATTCCACCACCTGCCATGCACTGATCAGTGGTTTGGGTCTGTCAGCTTCGAGTAATAAGTGACTCTGACAGCGTCAATAACCTGTGGACACAAGTGAATACTTAAGTCAGCTGCAGTTTTCAGAGAGAGATAGGCACTCAATACACCAAAGGAAAAGGAGAGAAACTTTTATGCTAAGTGAGGAGTATACTGAGTTACATGTTGGCACAGGTCAAACCAAGACAACTACTTGCTGTCATGAGTGAGACTTGATATCAAAGTATTTTAGTACCTTTCTGAATCAGAGGATCATTTACAATAGCCCCCCCTGTATTGAACATCACTGATTCTCACTCACTTTCTTGAGTGTTTTGAAGTTAAATCAGAGAACCAAAGCTTTTGAAAATTCTAGGAAGTGTGTCTCAAAGTAAGTGTTCATCCCTCATTGTTTTTTTAGTACATAACATTAAATCCCATGGTGCATGTTTTTTTTTTTTCATTATGATATATTTACATTTTAAGAATGCACTTTCTGTCGAAAAAATCCTGTTTGTTGCTTAAAGCTCCAGTGTATAACTTTTGGTTCGTGCCAATTTTGGCGCCCCTGTTGACAAAGCGCTTCATGCATACCTAGCTCTCTATATGCTTAAACAGTCAGTATGTTTACATGACACTCAAGAAAACTGAATTTATTGCCTTACTCCAATTAGGACCGGACAACTGAAGTGCATGTTAACAACTTAGTCCAACTATAAACAGAGTTTGAGAACTCCGATTAAGACACCCAGATAATGCGACTGGAATTTGAGTTTCTCTACCATGTAACCAGTGGAGTATGATAGGACAATGCATGTGCACATGCACCACGCCCCTGTAACCCCGGAACAAAAACACCAGAGAAGAGGAGTAGCATGCACCTCATCTGTAGCAAAAAGTAGCGCGTACATCATGTACAACAAAAACAACGCTGTATGACGCTCCATCTTCTTGCTCGAAAATGCCCAGCAACTTCTGACGTCTGGCACAGACCTGCTGTTGTAGTTGGGTCAACCAGAAACAGCACAGCTGAGAAAACCCATATTGCCCCCTATTTTTGGGGAGGAGGACACGTTCATGTCAACAATTCTATTTTCTCAGCTACACGTATACACGGACAAGTAGAAGAGTCCGATTCGGGAAAAAAAAAAAAAAAAGAGTTATGAGCTTAGTCCGATTAAGCTGTGCATGTAAACACACTGATGGTCTTCTGGCAGAAAACCTCAATACAGACTTCTTACAGTCAAATGTATTTTTTACTGTGAACACTTTCTATGGAAAATGTAAAAACATGTCTGTTTCTCCAGCTGCTTGGCTGCACCTATACCCTCTCACTCTGGTTTCAGGGATTAAAATGGCAAAATAAAGTTGTCACTCTTGTCACTGATGGACTTGTTTGCTTTTGTATATCATGAAAAGGCATTAATACGAATAACAGCCATGTAAAAAAAAAATATCAAACTGAGCTGCAAAAACATCAGTATTCATGAGTGACTCTCACATCATAGACTGATTCAGCCCATCAGGGAGCCACATGGCATTTAAGAACAGTGTAAAAGCAAACGTTTGCTCTCATAGCACCGCCAAATAGCAACCTTAAACAGCTGTGGTTGTAATAATCTTTAACTAATTATCCAAGTGTAAGGTCTTTTATCATGTTACTACTCCACCCACAGGGAACACTGCATCACCTAACATGAAAAACACAAATTCAAGAGTAACATGAATAAATATACACCTGTCCCTGCAGGAGTCATGAAGGTTACAAATGACAAAACATGTACATAGCATACTTTGCCCATACATCAGTGTACATTCCTCTCATCATTTAAACACATGGCTCTGCTCTGCTGAGGTACAGAGTAGAGCTGCTCTAATCTCCATTGTAAACACAGTAGTGGTTTGTGTGTGGGTGTGTGTGTGTAAGCAAGCATATGTGTCCAAGACCCCAGGAGGCAAACCAGACCACTAACTCACTATTTATTCTCCCCACATGAGGAAACAGCATGCCTTCCTTTATCCATCTCCTCTCCTCTACCATCCCTCTTTCCTTGTATCTTTCTCCACCTCCATCATCTATCCCTTCACTCCCACTTTTTCCTCCTGGACATGTGCCCCTGCCTTTTGATGTCCCTTTTTCCTCATCTATTAACGTCGACAGACTTGGGTCCTTCTGTTTTCGTCTTCTCTTTTGCCCCCCTGTGTATTAGTGCAGATTTCAGCCTGATGTCTGCAGCCCCCTGTGTTTGTAGGTGTAAATCCACAAGTACCTCTGTGCGTGTGTGTCTGTATATTCCCTGGTGTTAAAGGGAGGAACCTCTCACTTCCTCCATAAACACCTCAGTGGTATGCAAAGGATCTGTGGTGAGAACTTCTGACTTCTTCACCCTAACAGCAGTTACGCTTCATAAATAAGACACATCTAGAGTTGTTGAAATGTCTTAAATTCGTTGCTCCTCAAGGGAAAACAGTGGATGTTGTTGAAGCGTGAGAAGAAAAGAAAAAAAAGAAGAAGAGGAAAGAAAAGAAAAGAAAGGAAACAAGAATAAAAGAGAAATCAGTTTGGTTTTGGTCATGTTCTGTCTTCACTTATTAACTTGTCGAGCTGTATTCAGGATCCAGCACAGTAAGCATCTACCATGCTGAACTGTCCTAGCATTTCTAACCATTGAAATTTAAAATTTTTGACAATTGTTTTTAATTGTCTTCTCTAATTATGTTACTGGATGTGATTTCCACACAAATTTGCACACATTCCTGTTTCCACGTAATCAAGTTTATGCATTTTAATACTGTTTCTGTTGTAATTAGATCGTGGGGTGTGAATGAAGGGTTGGGCTGGGGTAGATTTGGGTATATCTTGGTTCCTCTACTCCTATTCTTTTTACTGCTATTTCTGTGCTACATGGTTGTGAATGAAAAGTGCTATATAAATAAAGACTGATTATATTAAAAGTGGTGCTTAAGTGTTTCTTATCAGTTTGTCACTGTATAAGTCTTGAGTGTGTTGAATATCAAGCCATAAACAGGCATATTCCTTCTAACTAATATTTACTGTCAACTGAAAATACTCATAATTAAATGTAGATATTTAGGTGGTTTAACAAACTGCATTTTTACCAAAAGAACAACTACATTTTTTTATTAAACAAAAACTATTTTGGCCTTTACATAGTGTACACAAGCCTGTATTAGCCACTCAAGCATAGGTTTACATGGTGGTTCCTTAAGGCTCTCGTAGAAAATGTAAGTTTGTGTCATATTTGGCGCCCCCTATGGGCAAAGCAGGTTTTACTCATCTTGTCCTCTGTGTGGCGAAAAAAAAAAAAAGTTACATCCTGTTGATTTTTGACAGTCAAATGAATTGTAATCTAAGTAGTGAAAACAAACCACATCCATTCTCCAACTCAAGCTATATAGAAAAAGAACACTACAATGTACCACCAAACCATATGTGAGCATGTTAGTCTATTATTCGTCAGAATACTAAAACAATTTGAGTTTTCTAACGCCTATGCATGCTTTCTTCCTTTATAGTTGCATTTGCTGATCTTCCAGGAGAATTCTCAGCATGACAATGAAAAGATATAGGGACTGTTTTAAGAAACGAAATGATCTACACCTCAATGAAATCTAAATATTTGAACTGAGCGTCACTGTGTATGATCACATAGTTTTGTCCTGCATAGTAAAGAGTGCAAAGAAGTAAACAGACCAAATGCTGCAGAGGACACTGTACATCCAGAAGAGCTCTCTGATAGAAAAACAGAATGAAAACGAAGAAGCCTTCACGTATGTAAAACATCAGTTTGAGCTCCGAGTGAGCAAATGGAAAGTGGGTTTGATGACTATAAAACATAACCACCAAAAATTGAAGTCATTAGCACATAATCATATCCAAACATGTCTGCAAGAGCCCCTAAAATACCAACACAATATATTTACAAGCCTCTTATCCTCAAACTGACATCTGTTACCCCCCCTGAGGTGAACAGACCCTGAAATGGATCTTACTAAGCCAGAAAATGACTCACAGAGCAAAAACAGAGAGCAAACAGTTCAAAACTCTGACTCACAGACCCTTTATAACCCCTCCATAACCTTCCATAGCCCACAATGACCCTCTTATGACCCCTCATAGTTCCTTAATTGCCCCCATTCAGACCTGGGTGAGCAAAGACAGAACCGATGGAAATCTGATATCTCATGTTCAGATAGTCTGGCCATAAGCTCAAACGCAATTAAGTTCTTACACAAATCCAGGCAAGTGTATTCTGTTGGTTGGCACACACAGGGTTGTATGAACGCACACCCAGACCAGGACGTCCTTTTTTTTAAAAGCCACTTTTCCCTGTGAATCATTAAAAACGTAGCGTCATGGAGCACCCGTTTAGCCAAGTGGGCAAATCATTTCCCCAAGAAGAGAGGCTATTGTCCACAAGTGGGGGCATGGGTCTGATTCCAGCCTCCCTACTACTCTCTCCTGCTTTCCTACCCTCTATCCTCTGCAGAAAAACCCGGAAAGTCTAACTTTAAAAACAAGTTTAAGTCAGAAGAACACAACATGTTTATTTGGCCTTAAGTTTTGCCATGTGGTGGAAAGTACCCTAAAACACAGTGCAGAGGATGTAACTCAAACAAGGGGTTACCACATCAGGAAATAAAATGTTGATTAGTGTAATGTGTCTGGTGTGCTTCAACATTTAAGATGCACACAACAGCAATGGTTAAAAAAGTGACAAAGGGATATTCTGGCATATAATTAAGTTAGGGTCAAACACACCTTAACGACGAGTTAGACACCCTGTCAAGAGATTAATGTTGCTACTTGCTTCTCTAGCTTCTCTTCTTCTTTAGCAAAGAGACCAAACACATCATTTTCTTGAAGTAATAATCACCATATTAATCAATTTGCACTACAGACGCGGTAGCTCTTCTGCCTCAGCGTCTCAGTCTGATAAAAAAATGATCATAAATGTTCTTCCTTGAGCTGTGTCCCCCCACTGTGATAATGGACTTGCGTGAGGTCTCCATACAAACAAGCAGCTGCTGGAAGAGAGTGGGTGAGTTGTGTTTAGTCTCTTTGCTAAAGAAATCAGGCAAATCTAAAAAGATGTTTGGTGGCTAGTGCTGTGGCTGGGACCCTGTATGTACTGTTGATGAAGATAGGTGCTGTTCTGAGCATTATTTGTGGCTATAGAGTGGTGTTTGGGTTGAGCGCATGGATCCTGGGTCCGCTGTGTATTACTATCATGCGGTTGTTACTATAGTTGGTATAAGAAGCAAGCAGTCAGCAACCTTAATCTCTCGACGCAGTGTCTTACTCGGTGTTACGGTGTGTTTGACCCTAACTTAATTTCACGCCTGACATCCCTTTAAGGTGGATGGCCAAAGTAGGAGTTGTTCTTTAAGTCTAACACCATTGGCTCCATCTTGCTCTGCTCATCATGAAAAGTTTCTTGATTGAAATACGACCTGTCTTCAAGATAGTGTTTTATTTTGAAAATTAAGGGATGCTTAAATCAGTTTTTAGAGTCTAACTTTCTGTCTTACTCAAACTGTAACTGCTGTGAAAACTGATGCACACTGTGCTCTGGCATCAGGGAAAGACAGATGCTGTTCAGGCTGAATACAGGTCTGATGGAAGTTCTTATGTAATGGACTTCAAGCTGCAGATACAGCTTTTTTTTTACCTGTTCTGGGACAAATGTTCTCTCTATGAATGATAAATCTGTTACAAGACAGCATCAGATTTTTTTAAATAATAAAAAAAAAACATTGATGACAAATATACAGAAAAGAATAATGAAAGACTGGTACGTCCAGAGGGGGCGCCAAAGGTAATACAAACCAGGAGTTCATCACAGGTGATATAACATGTTGCATTGATAGAAACGATGGAGAGGTTGGAGACAAAAACTCAAATAACCTGTTTCCCTCACAGCCTAGTTTGCAACAAATTTTATGTTTACCTGATCTACATTGAACATTTCAGTCTTAGGGTATGTGTAAGGGTCTATTCATTTTAATACATGTATACTGTGATGTTTCTTGATCATGTTTCCCCTCATCTATTAAAGTCAGAGAATATAATTTTGTATGCTACATGAATTTTATCTTATAGGGACAAAATGGATATGTTGGATTTGAGGAGATTTGTACATTATCCTTGGAGTAAGGGAGTACACCACAGAGCAGAAAACCATCAAGTGTTAAATCAAAGTTTCCAGCTGTTCTTCCTTCAAGTTTTTGTGGCCCTACATGATTGCAGCATCACTGTGGGACACATTTTCTGGGTTGTTTTCTGGATCACTCACACTGCGCATGCTGTGGATAAATCCTCCTGACACAGAAGAATAATGTTTTTCAGAAACTCTGATGTTTCATGCCTTCGCTGAATTATAAGTGAGCTAAGATGGAAAAACCTGCTGTGTGTAAACCGGTCACTCATCGCTGCTATTATTCACAGAAAAAAAAAAAAAAAAGAGTCCTGATTACAGCTCTTCAGTCTGGGGCTGAATACACAGGAAACTGTCAACATGCTCTGCAGTCACACAGGAAGCTGCCATAAAGTCAACACGGCACATTGTCAGCAAAAGAAGCATAACAAGAGGGAAGCACTCAGACTCACACGTGCATCAGGAGCAGAGAGAGAGCTGATGATAAAAGCTGTCGTTCCCAAACTTGAAGTAGACAGTACAGTTAGACCTGGATAAAAAATGGTCTTCTCAAACAGACATTTTCTTTTGGTGCTACACTGTCAGTTGAGTAACAGGCCAAAGCTAAAATTAATGTCACGTAATCAAGGAGGAACCACACAGCAGTACTTTTCATGGCAGGGAGACAAAAGAAACACACCTGTTAAACAGCACCACTGTATGTTTTCAGTTAAGGACCCTCTCAGATGAAAATCATATTTTTCTTGTTGTCTACATGTTCATATGGCATTTTTCTGATGCGAGAGGACATACGAGAAAACTAAGTGCAAAACCAGCATTTGTGAGTATTTCTTCATTCAAATTGCTGTGAACCCAAACGGCAGGTTCAGACACAGAAGGATTTTCTGTCTCACAAGTCCAATCTCCACCTCAGGCGCCAGACTTCAAGAAGTAGAGAGCACGATCGCAATGTTCATTAGAAAGCTAATCATGATATTAACTTTCATCATGCCCCCAAAGACGTTAGTGTCCGAGAGCTGAATAGCTTCTATGTTACCTGCCACTTCTGCTACACTGGCAATGTTAGGCCACAAGCTAGCATGAAGAGGAGTGTGTAGCGCAGTGCTGTCTCCGCCCACGACTCAGAGGTGAATTGCTAATGATCTACTGGAGCTCTGCACAAGAAAAGCCCTTGAAAATGAAACAGGTAATGTGATTTTTGTCTAAAAACTTCATAATGACAATTTAAAGACCACTGAGAACAAAAAAGAAAAAAAAAAGATACGAGTGGGACTTTACGAAAAAAGAAATCATTCAAAAAGACAAGTTGAATGAGAAATACTACAACAAGTTACTTGTATGCATTTTTTAATCTCCATTTGTATATTTCTGTGCAAAGATGTCCGAGCCGTTGTACTTTCATTTTGAAGTCTTCATCTTTAACCCGTTTGACCCAGGTTTAACCAGAACCAGAACTCGACTTCTAGGAAACCTGCACATAGCTGTAAGCTGGCAAAAGTGCAGACGAACAGCTATAAAAAAGAAAATAAAGCACAAAGCAAACTGTTTGTCAAAAAGCCTGCGCAACATGTACTATTTCTGTCAATGACTGTGTTCTGATCAAAATTTAAACAATTGTCTCTCCTGTGCAAAAAGCAGCTTTTTCCAAATCTGAATCTTATTACAAATGTTGCGTCACCACGTCTGTGCGTGTTTTGAGTACAGCCAAAGCAGAAGTAGATTTGTCTTCTAAATCTGGAGACAATTAGTGGCTGGAAGAGAAATAAAAATGCCAGAGCAAGTCATAATGTCGATCTAAGGGAGACAGATTTCAGCTCCACACAGTGGTGTTTTTACAGGGAGCTGGGATAAAGAAAATAGTGGGGAGAGAGCTTTCTCTCTTTAAACTCCCCTTCAGTTATCCTGCTATCCACATCTGTAAAACAGATCACTGTGATGGTGGATTGGTGAGATTAACCCATAATAAGACCCGCATTAGCACCTCTCTGCTTTACTATGTGAACTTGTTTCTTAGACTTGTGGTAAAGCAATAACACACTTTTTTTTTCTAGGGCATGAGGCAAGGGAGAGGAGGAGAATTCAGTTTTTTTAAGTCTTCTTTTCTTGGCACCTGAGAGTTGCTTATCCTCCTCCTTACATCTCCCTTTTCTCAAAAGGCCCTGAAAGTTACAAACAAACAGAGTCCTGGATAAGTTCAGCTTCTGCCCTCAGTCTCGTTGTATGGACTTCCCGTGTGAGAGCAGGAACACACAGTGTATTAAGAATTCATGGTGCATGTCTTTGAATGCAGTGACCCAGGATAACACAGGACTGAGCAGGCTAAAGGCCACAGGCGACACGGGAGAACGGCAAACACGCACACTCGCTGAGAAATCACATAAACAAAAAACAGGAAAACAAAAATAAAACAATTATGGAAAAAGGTTTGGAAGAAAAAAACACGCTAATCCTTTCACAGAGCCACACACACACTCGCAGGCCACCTTGTACATGCCTCTGGGAGAGCAAAGATACACAAATCATGACATTCATTTTCTCACACATGCAAAGACACATACACACACTCATAAGTCTTGTAAAATGGCTTTTATGGATGCCACCTGTCCATTTGGGATCTGATAAACACAGCCAGGTCAGCCCTGTTTGGTTGCATTAAGGGTCTGTAGCTGTTAACACATGGTACCAGGCTTTCCTCTGACTTTCTGCACCCCCTCCCGTTCACACACACACACACACACATCCAGAGGAGGGGATGCCCCTGCTAGAGGTGGAAGTTATCCATCACATTTTTCATTCCCTCTTTCTACCCGGAGCCCCTCACAATCACCTCATCTCTCCTCATCACATCTGCCAAAACATTTCTCTCACGCTTGCAGCACTGACAGATTTTCAAACGTTCCCCTTGTAAAAGCTTCTTTGACTTTACTGTATTGACATGATGTGAAGTTCTTAGACTAAAGCAATCCATTCCCCCCAAATCCCAGGATGACACTCCAGCCTTGTTTGCAACGCTTTGTGCAGAAAATGCTCTGTGGGAAGATTTCACAAGTGGATGAGGTTCAGATCATTTTGTGAATGTTAAGCGTACTGTAATCACTAACACTCATTCAAACCATACCTTTTTGGTTTAGTCTCTTCATTGGTATTGAGCCTTTGATATGGAATAAAAAGATACTGTAAATCATCATATCTGTACAAAAAAGCAAAAAAAGAAAGAAACTCCTCTGATGACTGATGTGAATCATGAAATAAGAGACATTGTGAAGTGATATTTTCACCCCCTCTTTGTGCCCTCATCAACAGTGTTATTACCTCAGCCAAGTGACTTTGCCATAAACTCTCCTTCCCCAGACATGTTTTTCTCCTAAACTCACAATGTAATTTCAGTCTGTCAGTTTTTTGGTTTTTGTCAGTAGCTGATATTTCAAAGTCTGGTCATACTGTAAAAACAACTGAATGACACAGAAATGAAAGTCACGCTACCTGACTTGTTGGTTTCACATTGTCAGAAACTGTGTATGTAAAGCTTTTATTGTCTTCAGTTATGACTGGATGGAGATGAGGCTGTTTCACCTCCTGCTGTTTTAATGTTTAACAAGTACACAAATGAATTTAATCTTTTATTTTCACATGCTATTGCTGTCAATGTTTGTATTACTTTAAAAATCCTCATTTAAAAAGATAAAAAAAAGACAGATCAGTTTTTGGGCTCGTAAAATGAAAAACAAAACTGTACGTGATTTAATGCCTCAATTAGATTAATTGAGATTAAGATTAATTTAATCAATCAGCACGATCAAACCAACTCAAACACCAGAGAATTCAAGTAAATACGTTTTTATCTGTTTAATAAAAGGAGGCGAAGTTTTCTGCTAAAACTGAAGCAAGTAAGAGAGTAAGAGACAAACCTACATGCATTTGGTGCCAATTTAGGTTAATACAACAGTGAAAAAAAATCACTCTAATTTAACCTGAGCACTTTTCAAACCTGTGTTTTGTGCTGCCATCTAGTGGCCTGAGAAAATTCCAGCTATCCACTTCAGTACATGACCACATCCAGAAAGAAAGTTGGGGTTCAAACAGTTATCGGTTGTGTTTTCATATTCCTTGGTGAAAAACAAACACATTTCAGATATTTTTCATTGTATCAATCTAGCTACGAAAGGAAGAGCGATCTTTAAACACAAGTAAAAAGATAATTAATTTTTTTTTTATTTTCTTATGAATGTTAGTTGATAAAATTAAAAGCATTGATACAGAATGGCACAAGACACAAAAAACTTCAGTAAAAAAAAAGGCGACTAGTATGTATAAAGATTTCTCAACTTCAGTTTTTGTATTGACAACGTTTCTGGGGAGGCTGACAGACATTTCTGCTAATCTTAACATCAGAATAACTTATGAAGAAGATACTGAGACCACAAACAGGTTTTTTGTTCATCTAAAATAAGAGTCACGGTGTCACGCAGTTCAAAAATAGGTAAGAACATATTAATAAAAATGTAATGAATGAGGTGATCATTTCAAAGTCCGAACAAACTCAGAAATGATGGCCCAACCTCAAACATAGTCTCTGAACTCTGCTCCATCCAGCAGACCTGAAGACCTCACCTCATAAACTGTTCGCATTCAACATGAAGCTCTTCAGAGTGTCACGCAACTTCTGCACAGCTGCCTCATCCTCCTCGACTGCTTTAGAGCAGACACGCTGCACTCTGCTGTGAAGGTCCTCCAGACATTTCTATTGGACAGAAACCACAGGATGTAATAATCAATAACGATACTGTCTTCAGTCTTAAATTAAACATGAAATATACATGTATACCCCCCTCCCCCTTTAACTTTACAGGAGTTAAGTGCAGAGACGTCTGATAGTTACCTCTGTGATCGACAGGTGGTTTGCTGCTGTGGTAAATACAGAAGCAAGATTGTTGGCCACTGTTCTCCTCTCCTCATTGGTCTCCTGCAGCACCAGGTGGTACCTGGATTGCAAAACAAAGAACGTTTTGTAGTTGTTGTTGTTTTTAATCAGGATGACATAACCCAGACACAGTTACTGCTGATGAATGTGTAGTTGTCGGTCACTCACTGTTGTTGTGCTGCCTTCAGTTGTTGCACAGCCTCGTCGTAACCATAATTCACCTTCTTCTCCAGAAGCTTTCGATGGTTTTCCACTGACTCCATCTCCTCTGCCCAGTCCTGTTCCTCTCTGACCAGTTCCTAAAGAACACCCCATCATTGGTAAATTTCAGTTTACTTGTAGTTCTTAATGAAATTCACATGTTTGAACAGTTATCCATCATGTTTTTCCACTTAAGAGATAAAAATGCTAAAAAAAAATAAATGTACTCTTGTCTAAAATTCATGAAGAAGTATGGAATTTCTACCAACACAAAGAAACTTGAACTACATGGACTTTACCTGCATGTCAGAATCCAACTGTTCATCCAGCTTACGAATCTGCTCTCTCAGCTGTTTGAGGTCATTCGACTTCTCCATGATGTAACAATTCACCTTTAAAACCAAGGAGGAAAAAAACGTTCATTACAAAGCTGCCGCAAGTGTTGTGTACAAATTCAACTCTACTAAATCTACAACTCTGATATTTTCTCCTCCTCATGATCTTCAGCATGAGGAGACACTGAAAAAAAAATATTACAGAACACAGTTTTGTTACCTGTTCACAAGACTCCTCCAGACTGAGTTTTGAGTTGGCGAGTCGACTGTTCTCCTCCTCCACATCACTCACCAGCTTTTTCAGGAGCATCTGCAGTGAAAACGAACGATCAGAACAGGCACTAAGAAATCCTACATCGCACTTCAAAATCTTTCACTTCTTGCAGCTTGATAATATACAAACCCGGAGCTACAGTACAACTGAATAAGTTCAAATATCAGGCAGGAGAACAGTGAGTTAGTCCTCCATATACTGAGCTAAATCAAAAGCCATTGTAAATCCTGTAGTAGGCTTGACGTACCTGTATCTGTGTTTTATTCTGAACCATGTTACCCGGTCCACATTCAAATGGCTTGATCTCAAAATCGTGTCCACGGGTGTTCTCTGCAGACACTGGGATCAGCTTCAGCTTACGAGCCAGCTTGTGGTACTCCGTGAGCTTCAACTCCGCCTTAGATTGAGGGAAATAACAAGAGAGGACAGGCGTGAAGCAAACAAGAAGCACAGTCAGGTCAAAATGTGTGGGATATACACATTACATCCATTATGACTCCCAAATGTGTTTTCAGTTCACTTAAATACATACCTTCTCTTTAACTTTGGCCAGGGCGATCTCCTCGTTCCACTTGTGCTGTTCGGCGTCTTCCAGAGACTTGCTGTGACTGGAGATGGTCTGTTGGAGTTCCCTCTTCTCTCTGTTGATCCTCTCCACATCAGCTGGAGTAAACTTCTGGTTCTGCAGGAGGTTTTGCAGTTCATTTCTCTCATGTTTCAGAGACTCCAGGTGACTGACTGCGGAAACACAGAGAGAAAAAATTAAACTTTTGTAGAAAACACAAAAAACAACTTTCTAAGGCCACATTACTGTCTGCTTTGTGACACTCAGATAACTCGGTATAATTAATACCGTTCAGCTACCAAAAATCAAGCTGCTATGTGGAGATGTTTTGATAGTCCTAAAATTGTCTGGCAGGTTCTTCTTAAATAAATTGGAGTGTAGACTTCAACTGATAAAGATTGATGGCAATGATACCCAGTTATGTCACAGTGACATGTTTACATGAACATTAACATGAGGCGTATCTACCGTTGGTCTCCAGCTCATCCTTCAGTTCTGCAGCTTTGTTCTCCAGGTTGGCTTTAAAAGTCTCCAGGCTGCTTCTGTAACTTTGGAGTTTCTTGAGATCGGCCTGAAGCTTCACCTTCTCCATTCTCTTGGTCATCAGTCGGTCCTGTCAAGGAAAGGACAAAACTTTTGTACAACTTGTTTTTCATCCATCAAAAGTATCCCGTTTGTTTTGGAACTATTGTTAAAGGATGTTAACTCGCATTCAACATGACTATAAAAACTTTTGAACAGCTTCTTTTAGACTGTATGCAAAGAGGTTATGTCAGTGTTTGGCCTTCTGACCGTCTGGCTCTCCTTCTCCAGTTGTTCAACCTCCTCGCTCAGAATTCTGTGCCTCTCCTCCATCGAGCTCAGCACGGCCTCATCGACGTTGTAAAGTCTCTCTGTCAAGACAAACACAAACACACTTCTGGATGATTTATCTGGATTTGGGATAAGTCTTCTTTTTATGAAAAGAAACCAGTTTATTGTCAAATGAAAGCCATAATTATTTACTTAATTTATTCAGGAAGGCCTCATCCTCGTCGTCAAAAGTGTCATCGCCCTGCATGAACTTGGAGTATGTCTCAGCTGTGTAGTCCAGGAAAAGCTGCAAGAACATACGAATGAAAAGTTCAAAGTTAGACTGTTTCTAAACCATGACTGCACAATAATACATGAACTAAACTGAAATAGAAGAACAACAACATCAAGAAGAAACACAGCTTGTTGCTATCCATCTTGGTGCTGTTATAAGTTGTCAGGATACCTTATTATACTCGGCTCCTTCCTCGATGTTGTCACCATCTTCACAGAAGTCACTGAACAGCAGCTCCTGACGACTCAAACTCCAGTTAATCTAACAGGCAGAAACACAAAATAACAACGCACTGATCAATCTAAACTTACTTAACCTGAATTCACAAGAATTAGATCAGATTGATTGAACTCTAATCAATAACTGGTTTGCATCTCACCTTCACGTTATCAATCAGCCACATAAGAGCACCAAGGGCCTGGGGCCAGGTATGTGGAGCCCCAACAGAGTACATGGAGCACTTGGAGAGAACAAATGGGTACCTTATGCAGAAAACATGAAGACTGTCAGCCACGTTAATTAAACTACACAACAACATGAAGGAATACTACAAATGATGAGGTTTTTACATGCCCTCTTATCTTTTGCTTTTTCAGTTAACATCTTTTATTGATTATCAATGTGAGCTAAGAGACACTTATTACATCATAGAAACATTCAGATGTACAATACTAATTGAAACTTAAAGATACCTCAGGGCTTTTAGGATAGCTGGAACCTCCTCTTCAACTTTTGAGTTTGGCATTTCAAAAGTTGAGTCAAGCTGGCGGTAGATGAATTCAAACATCTTTACAAACTCCTTGGTCGAGGGAGACTGGAGGGTTTTAGCTGCCAGAGTGCCTGGGTAACCCTGCTCTGTCAAGAACTGGAGCAATAAATGAGAAAAGAACATCTGACTGGTTAGAAATACAGAATCTCATTCACACATACAGCTATCCTGCAGTATTATTTTACCGGTCTACATTGTAACTCCACGTTAAGTTGGGTCCTAGCATCATTAACAGTTGCGGTAAAACAAAGAAAGAGAGAAATAGAGTGTCTGTACCTCATGCAGCTGTCTAATACACTGCTGGACAAAAGATTTATCATGCAGGGGTCTCGCATCTTTGATCTTCTCAGTTCCACCGAACCCTGACATGATGCTGTTGCGAGACATGCTGGCTCCACTGGCCCTGCTGTTGAAACATTCACACAATATGACAACTTTGTTGACTGACATGAAAGAACAAGTTTGATCATTTAATGTCTTAAGAACCGTATGTAGAAGTTGCTTCATAGAAAAGCAAAAGACTCAGTCACAAAATAGACTGCCATTATTCAGTACAGTGTATTTGCCTTATTTGACATGTAAATAATTGTTATTTATTAAAGGCTGAACGGTTTTGATACATAAAGTTTGTTCTCTGTTCTCTACACTTCAATGTTAGACAAGCTTTTGAATATTGTTCACATACCGGCCCCCAAAGAAGCTGGTCCGTCTCTCAGAGGTCCCAGACTGTGGTTTGGGTATGCCAAGCTTTCCAAATGACGGCTGTTTACTGAAATGTAAGAAAAGTGTGATCACAGAGATAAACTTCACTGACAAAATCTTTAACAAGCTGCCACTTGTGTTTCTCATTTGTCCTCATATGATAGAGCTGTATCAGAAATATATGACTAAAAGCTAAATACATATCAATAAATACAGTTCCAGTGAAAAGTTTTGTCATATTGTCATGTCTGAGATGGAGACAATGCCACGGGCTTACACACACACATACATGAAGAATAATCACACACATCCCTCCAACTCAACGCCTTCTTGGCCTCCATCCCCCCTCCCTCCCTTAGGTTTAAATGCTATTTGAAATTATATGAAACCAACAGAAATACAAAATAAACATCTCTGCAAATCTAATGCAAACTTTTACAACAATTTATTAGAACATTTTTGAATCACTCATGATGCAAACCCCTACTTGTCACTGACCCGTAAACAGTGAAGTATTTCATTTTTTTGTGTTGATGTGGTCAATAATTTGTAGGAGTGAATAAACATCTGTCCACACTGTAGTATAGACTCTGTGCAATACTCTCTCCACAGGAAAGTCGTATGCCTCCATACAAACTGATCTTTTAAACTCTCTTTTTATAGAATTGACTTCGTACTAACCTTTGAGGGGTCGCATACATCATGCTCATCCTGTTGCTGTCTTGCACTCGCATTGGCAGCTCCGACTGTCTGCCTGTAGCTCGACTCATCCTTCCACTGCACACAAGTTATAACGAAGAAATAAAATTACTGAGCGTTAATCCTTCGCCTTTTTCAGTTCGTACAGCAAAATATAAACATGAGTAACACAGCGATTGTATTTTTAAACTGACAATAAAAAGCAGCTTCGGCCGCAGCGAACAGGCGTAAACAGACAAGTTACACGGGAATGTGAGTTTAGCTTGATAACAAGCAGGTTCGTTCAGTATCTCCTTAAAACAAAACCCCACTCGCCATTAAAGATTTACTGTGTTTTTCTAAATGAGCCCAAATGTCAAACTATGAAGCTTTATCCGCGTAAATCTACGGGTTGAAACAAAGTTTAGATCGACGGTTAGTTAGCTAGCATTGGCTAACTGTAGCTTATAACGGCAGCTGACTGAGTCAAAAAACGAAACATGTATCTAAAGTGTTATTAGATGAGTGTTTTAAGTTACAGAGTAAAACTTAAGTCACATCTTAGGACATACCGCTCCATATTTCGCAAACGGACGGCGACTATTTACAAAATGAATCGATAATCCGAACAGACGAGAGTTGAAAACCCCGCCTAAACAATCCAAACATCAGATGGCGGTGACGTCACCGGAGTACGGCGAGCCATTTGTTCCAAGAAGGCTCTAGTGTTTTGTCGTTCGCGAACAATTCGTTCAAGAGAACCGAAACTTTTAAGTGAGCGTACTGAACCGAATTACTCCCTCGAGTGATTCGTTCGTTTCTCAGCATTGCCAGGCCAGCAGCCGGCGAACGAGGAACCACATGCACCAACGTCTGAATCACTTGGTGAACGAATCGGAATCATTTTTGTCAGACAAAACTACCCTATTTTCCACTGCTAAATTGCCACCACAACAACTTGCACACAATAGGACACAGCGTGTAACAAGTAGTGCATCAATCCCGCAGCATACTATCATTGCAGCGGTTTGCGAGGGAACGGTGCATGTTCAGTGAACGAATCACTCACTGGCCCCAACTTACCGAGCAGACCTGACAAATAGCATACCAAAACATAATGACTTATAAAAGAGTTCATTTTTACAAACCTGTTTGCCAAAGCAACACAGCCAAACATTCTCGTCTCCCGGTCCCAGAAGCTATGAATTGAACTGAATCCTGAACTGTTCAGCTGTTTATCAGTTCAAGAGGTCGGAGTCACAGGCTTTTCCCGCTAGATGATTCAGTGATTTGGTGAACGAATCTTCTGAACGAATCTTTATAGTGAACTGATTCTGGTGATTCAATACATCTAAAAGAACTGCCGTTCCCATCACTAGAAGGCTCCGCGATACTTCAAATAGGACGTGTGCGCAGCATTATAATTGTTGCGCACGACAATCTATACAAGGACATGACTGTAAAACTTACATTCTATATTTTAAGAATATAAGCTAAATACTTAACTTGATGAACTGCAGCAGTTGAATATTCAAAGTTAGCTATTTCGACTTAACTAAAATTTATATTGTACAAGCTGATCGTGAAAATGTTATTTTAAAATATAGTTTTTGATGTACAAAATCCAGCTGGTAAAATTACATAAAAAAATCAACCCACTGACATGCAGTTTCAGGTGTTCTGTTGTGCAGATACAGGGTATAGTTTCTTAAAACACCCTTGGGGGGATTATTCATTGTTCCCAGCACTACCATCTTTGCAGTCTTTAAATCCATGCACAGAAAAAGTGATAAAAGGTTTTCTGTCTGGTATGTTTTTCATAGGCTTTCCCTCTTCAGTATAGGATCAATCCTGTCAGACCTGTCTGTGCTTGAACAGTATTCAGGTTCTACACTTTTCTCCATTTGCTGAATGAAAAGATCAGATTAACACTTGGAACAGACAAGTGACAAAGAGAAGTAGAAAATTTATTGCAGTATTTGTTCCACTGAAAGGGTGAGAATCCCCTTCCCTCTTATTACTAGGGTGACCTAATACAACAAAATCTACATTTACAAAATATCCTCCTGCAATAGGCCACATATACTGCATGCGTAGTTCGAAATAGAATAAATTATATTCAGAGGACTCTGCCATTGTACAGCATGGACAAATAAAAGTGAACAAAAATAAAAATTCTTTTTTTTTTCCTTTTTCATTTTCCTTCAAATATCTAAAAGCTAAAAGGAAAAACCATCAGGGTGCTAGTAGTATAATAAACTCCAAAAACACTTTAATAAGAACATCAAAAAGACTAATTTCCAACATTCACTTAAGGTTTTATTCTTTTTTTACAGCTTTTTTTCTTCAGAGATATAAACATTTTAGTTTTGTCTTGTTAAACTATGGTACAGTGGGAGTAGAAATGAGTGACTAGAATCTGCTGCACAACAGCGAAGGAGCTCCCACAACAATGTTGACGAAACATTTCCCTCCAGGTCTCTGTTCTGATAGCCTTTTAAGGGATAATTTGAGTGAATTATTCCTTTAATGCCTTCTGGATTCTATCCTCTGAACTTGAACACAAACAAAACATGAGCAGTCCCTCTATAATATAAGTCTTATGTTTTGTGTCTTTTTCATTTTTGCAAGAATAACTCATGTAAAAGTATGTAGTGTCAAATATTCTTGCTCTCTTGTGTTTTCTTACAAAATTGGGGAAGGAGAGGGGAGGGTAGGAATCCAGTGAAGTTTGGCTGTGTCGTTGGAGGTGGCAGGTTGAAGAGGAGGAGTAGGAGCAAGGAAGAGGACTTGATAAAATAGAAATGGAGCAGGGGGCTGAAAAAAGAAAGGAGAGAAAAGAAAAAAAAAAAAAAAAAAACATCACACAGGAGCCATTAGCTAGCCCCTCCTTCCCGCGCTGCATACAGTGAGCGTAAAGTCTGTACTACTTTGTTGCTCAGTTTGTGGTTGCTGGTCAAGGCAATCTTCTTGTAAATGATGTCCGACTCCTTAATAGTGTCCACCCAAGGCACCAGTTTGCGGCCATCACGTTTCTTAGCCTCTGCCCAGGGTCCCGAGTAAGAGCCGGCCATCCAATGGATGCTATATCCACTGGTGGTCCTCTGCATGACTCGCGCTATTTGCGGCCTGTCCTTGTATTTAGGGCAGCATAGGGCGATCACATCCATAGCATCCACTGTCTCACTCATACGGCCGGGGTCGGAGGAGTCGCCTGCTCGCCTTGACCTTCGCGAGGACTGTAGAGAGAACAGAAGAGAAAAAGTTGAACCATTTTCCTTCAGGTTTAATCCTTGAAAGAAAACTGTAATTTGAATCTGATTCCCACCCCTGGGGTCCTTTCGTCGCCATCGCTGTCGTCGTCATCTGTCTCTGGTCCTGCCTGATTGCGTGGACTGGGCCCTGACATGGGTCCGGAGCCTCCCAATAGGGCATTTATGGCTTTGTTGCGAATATTGGCGATTGCAGACGCTTCACCCTCCTCATCCTCCTCGTCAGGGTCCAAATGTTCCATCAGAACCTTGAACTGTGAGGAGTAAAAATACAAAAATTAACTTTGAGAAAAAAAAAATGTGTCACTATCTTCAGAAGGTACAGGCCATGGTGTAAAAGCTGGCATGACACCGAGTGGATTAATGACGGTACTGGCTGACAGAAGCAGCAGAGCTTTATGATTGGTCCAAACAACTATCAGTGCAGACATTTAGAAATGACTGTTTATCTAAAAGTCAATGAAATGTCAGCCTGTGGTGTATTTTAAACTCTGGCCTTGGTTGAATTCGTGTGTGTTGTGGCTTCATTACTTACGTCTAGGTACTGTCTGACTATCCGCCTCTTGACGTCATTTGTCAATGTGGCATGAGCCATGTTGTTGGAGATGTAGTCCATGGTTTGTCGTGGGTTGAAGTGAACATTGTTTTTCCTGTTCACTGCCTTATCGTACACCTTGGCTGATTCTGTCGGAGAGTACTTCTGAATTTTGCTGTAGAATGATAAAAATGTATGAGCTGCAGTGGTCATAGTACACCCAACGTGGATGAATTCATCAAGAGAATTTGGGGTTAATCCTTCTGGATATATGTTGGAAAGAAATGAAGATGATGTGGATGTTACCTGTCAGAGAATCCATACTGGTTCTTCAGATGCTGTTTGAGCACTAGAAGCAACAGGATGCCCTGAACAGCGTTAGCAAAGTCCAAGAGTCCTGTGGGATTATCTGGGAGGAGCCTCATGACTTTTTCCGCATCCTCCACGTCCAAATCATCCAGATCTGACTCGGACTCTGAGCTGTTCGCAGCAGGTTTTCTAGCTTTCTTCGGCCGCCGTACCACATCATCGTCGCTGTCTTCTTCATCACTTCTGGATAAATCGCAGTTCATCTTCTCCTCTTCATCCTCCCCATCCGATGTGTTTTTCCATTCTTTCTTTACTTTCTTTTCCTTTCGCCTCGGCTCCTTTAGTAGGAGCTTAATGAGAGAGAACAGAAATCCATTAAAATCAGAAACCCCCATCTGAAACGAGCGTTTTACATACAATTTACTTCCAAAAATACAATCCTACCTCTTTGAACGTCTGCAACAAGTTGCTGCCTGAGACAGACAGTGTGATGTCTATGTGGTGCATGATGAAGAGAGGCTCCTCCTGACTCTGGTACGGGAAACAGGCAAGGTTGTCCGCTAAATACAGCAGCATATTTACTTCTGTCTTCTGCAGGAGGGGAAGAAAGATGGGAAAAACACGAATCAGATATAAAAATGGGAAGAAGGAACTCACAGTGTTGGCTAATCAGAATTGGAACTAATACCCTTGTGTTGTTATTCAGTGAAATAATGGGATCTAACATGTTTTAGCTGTACACTGAGCTGTCTATTTAAGTTCAGTGGGTTTGAAGAGCAGTTTTAAACATTTCTATTAAATTTTTGCCAAGAAACACCACTGGCACATGCAAAGTGGTCTCTCAGCTGGCATACAATCAATGAGAACACAGCGCTCTCTACTAAGCAGTGCCAAGACGTGCGTAGCCAAGTGCCGGTTTACTCACAGCACTGTCATCGAAGAGGTTCAGCAGCGAGATGAGGAAAGCCCTCCGATGCTGTCGGTTCCCTCTGATCATGGTGAACAGGTGGGAGCAGAGTGCCGAGTGTGTCTCGTCCTGTCTGAAACCTCTTATGATGGTCTTACGAGACAACTCGATGGCCTGCTGCAAGTTGTATGACATCTTCATCCCAGCGACCGCCTTCATCTGTGAAAGAATACGTTGGAAGAAAAAGTGTTAGAAACTCAGCCTTTCCGACAACTGTTGAGACAGCTGCTGTCCTGAGAATGAGCCAAAACTCTTTTTGCTGTCTTGTTCCAAAGCAAAGAGGGCTTCTTCTGCATTCTGGAAAAGCAGACACTACTGAATTGGATGATCATTTTACTGGGATGCATCTAGTTGAATTATGCTTGTTGCCTCACTGGCCACAACTCTGAGATGTGACATTAATGACCACCAACTCACATGGATGAATCCTGTGTACTTTTTGTCAATCTCCACCAGCTGCTGGTCAGCTTTGTTCCTCATGCTTGCTTCAGGGTCTGTTCCAATCGCAATGAGGTAGGGTACACACTTAAGGGCAGAGACAAAAAAGGTTAGGTCACCAGGGACAGGCTTACACAGAATATTTCTAGTGAGAACATTCTGAATGTGTATCAAAGAACCAAACAGCAAACTACAAAGTTTATCTTAATCCTATCTCACATATTCCACACTTAATGTGCTGAAATGTGATTGTTATCTGTCAAGTACGTAGAGACGAGCTGGTTTGGTGGGTTCTGAATCTCACATCTTACCTGTACAGGATGGATGAGACCCTGGTTGAGTGTCAGAGCAATGACGTTGAGAGCAAAGTGCCGCACGCTGGACTGGGTGTGGAAGAACGCCTCCAACACCTGTTTAAGATAAAGCTGCATGATGGAGCTGCTCATCCCTGAAGAGATGTCGCCCATCTCTTTCAGATCCTCCTGCTTGGACAGTTTTTTCCCTGCAAGGACACATCATTACGGTGATTATTAAAAACAACAAACCCCTACAGATCAAAGTTCAGTGATATCAGGAGTAATCCAGGAAGTGCTGCAACAAAAAGTTGTCAAACAAGAGAAAATCACAGCCTTTCTTACATTCTCTGTCTGCTTCCTGCATCCGCGTGTCCTCCTCTTGAAGGTACGTCTGGAGGTTCTTGAGGATATGGATTTTGAGGTTAATGGAGGAGGAGCTGTCGGCCAGGATGCCGTTGTACAAGGACTTCACCTCAGGCATAAACATCTGGCTGGGATGCATGATTACTAGGAAGCCTAAATAACAAACACAAAAATGTCAGAACAAATGAACAGTCTCTGTAAGTCAGTCTGTTTGATATTAATCGCTGCACATCTCTGACTCTTGAGGATCAGTTCCTGAGAAGAGTACCATCCAAGACTCACTGCCTAAGACAATAAATCAAATGGATAAACTGTGACCATTTGTGTTCTTACCTAAGCCGATGATGGCTTTCGACTTGACCTCTTCGTCCTCATGCTTGGTGAAGTAGAGCAGCAGCTCAAGAACTTTTTCCTTGATTACAACCTGTACACAACACACAAATAGTTGTAAATATAACAAACACTCAGAATCTTATGATGTCAGTGGCACAGAAAGCAGTCTCACATCACAGACTAAAGTAAAGAACATGTTACTGAGACTAAAGCATGGAATAAATAACATAAAATATTTTCACCAAAAGCAATCTCACCTTGGTAGTACCCTTAAATTCCTCCAGATCAAAGTCAAAGTGTCTCGCCAGCGCACCCACAGTGAAGAGCGATCTCAGCAGAAAAGGCTTGTTTGCTACCAATGTTGTGCTGTTGGGATCCTCTTGATGCTGAACCTTCAGCTTGTTGAGGGCACCTGGAAAGACGACAGAAGATTCCGTTATTTCTAAATAGGTCAAGACTATTGCTGTGTCCCAGTTTTTGTGTGTTCTTTTGTTTTGTTTTCTTCCACGCACAAGTGAATAAACAGCTTCTTTTAATACCCACACATCCATCAGAAAAGTTTTTCACACAAACTTTCTTCCTGCTTCTGGTATTTGGTAAAATAGACATAGAAAAAAAGCTAAATCTGTGCTCGTTCAAAGTTGCTAACTTAGTATCTCACCAAAGAATCTGTTGAAGCAATTCCAGACAAACTTGTAGTTATGCGTGACCTTGTTTACAACAGCTCCAAGACAGCTCACACAGTTCTGGACCACCTAAAGACAAGAAATAAATTTGTAATGTAACTTTTATACAATCACATATTATACATTTATCATTTCAAAGCAGATTGTTAACATTTGAAAAAAAAAACAATTAACACCACCCACCATCATGCCATATTTGATGATGAGCTTCATGAGGTCTTCTTCGATGGTGGCTAGGAAGGTTTCACTTGGGTGCTCCATCAAAGGTACCACCAGTTCCAAGATCTTTGCCACGTTACAGATGACCATGAAGTCATTGGCAGTCTGAAAAACAACGTCATTGTAATTAACAGGAAATTGTATCTGTAATTTTAAAATCTTAATAAATGATGTATCCACCAGTGAAACTGTGTTTTCACTGCTCAACAGATTATCCATGCAAAAACAATCAGCATAAACTTACGTTGCACTTTGTGGTAAGGTAGGGTTGCATGGTCATGGCGTGTTTGACCATGAGCTGAGCTCTGATCTTGCTGAATAAGTACAAGGTGGTGATACAGGCCACTAGCCGTGTTGAGTTTACACCCTTGTTCTCTGTAAGGATGAGATATAATAAACGTTAGAACAAGAGTGAATGAAAATAACTCCAAATGCTTTATTGAATGAAAACAGACTGATTTAGTGAGTTCAGTTACACAGCATAGTAAGAGAGAAAGTCAGCTGCCTTTCGTACCTGCAAGAGACTCTTCGTATTTGAGGATGTGCTCGACCAGGTTGTCCACCAGCTGAACACAGGCCTTCTTGGCTGGCTTATATGATGCATCCTCTTCAGACTTCAGAAGCTGGAAAGAGAGACGTACTTGTTTTCAAAGTGTCTCGCGCACAGAGTTCATCTCCATCAGGTAAAGCTTCACACAAAATCTGACACTCACATTTTGAAGAAGCTGCTCAAACCAGTCATAGCTGGTGTCTCGACATGCTGCAACCTGGAGAACAAAAACATGAAGATTAAAAGCACATCAGAACCAATGCTGCACCATAAGTCAAGATAGAAAATATGTTTGACAGCGATGGAGACTTTGATTTCTACCATTAAAAAAAAAATTGCTGAGATAGACTTACCACATCAGTGATGTTGAGGATCTTTCTGGTCATGGTCTCTTTGTCGTGGGCTGGAGTCGGAGTAAACCACAACTTCTGGAATGTCTCATTGACTAATTTCTGCAACAGAACAAGTTTCTTTTTTGATTAACTCGATTATAAAAAAAAACATAAACATAACTTTTGTATTCTGGTTTGTCATAAATGTTTGCAAGAGAGAGGTATCTGTGTTAGACGCATGATCATCAATGGTAAATACAATACAATGCAATACAATACGAGAACTTAGTTGATGCCCAAAGGTAAAACGAGATCAATGCAGTACCATAAATAAAGTCATATTGTGAAAAGACACAAATGCATGAAAAACAGCAGTTGGTTCATACCTTGATGCCTTCCTCATCATTGACCCTGCGGATCATCCTCACGCACATCTCGGTGATCTTACTGAAAGTCGGCTGCTCCAGACAGATGTCTCTGAGGATCTTGATAACCCGTTTTCTTACACTGATACCTGTGTCCTGTACACAGAAATTCAAATCATTTACCTTTTGTGACCGTCTTGCATTAAAAACAGCACTCTTGTTTACATTTACAAATGAAGGAGCGTCTGCCTTGGGTGCAGTAATCTTGTTCTGACGATAGGTGGCAGCATAACACAGTGATCAAGAGTGAACTCCTCATGAACCCTCCTGAACATTTCCATGACAACAGGCACAACAATTTCAATGTGTTCACTTTTGAGTGGCTCAGTACAAAGACAGAGTCCAAAGCATGTGTGTGTTTGACTCCTCTCTAATATCAACAGCATATAAACTCACAGCCATCACAATGACGCATGTGCCACATCTGACCAGTTAACATCTACATCTGTGAACTGGTACCGCATTTGATTATTTCAAGCATGTACAGGCGAATTTCCCCAAATGACTGAGTTTTTCTCACAGAGTGGCCCAAGATAAATATTCATGTCTCATTAGAAGAAACAGCTCTGGTCATTATATTAGTAAGTGTGTCGTACAGGTGTATTCAACAGCTGATGCATTTACACACCAGTTTTGTGCCGGAGGTGAAAGGGCTTTAAGTACAGAAGCCCTAGGTGGACATGGTTTATTATTTTTTTTTTTTACCCGTTTCCTCGAGATTACGAATTAATTTTGCGATGGACTAGGCATCTGCCAGAGCTTCTGCCCAGCACGCTGAGATCTTTTGGGCCACAGAGAGCGCCACAACCTGATCAAAATCATCGTTCTCTGAATTTTCAAAGTATCAAGGGGGGGATTAAATAAATAAAATAATTAACAAGAAATATGCACATTTTGGACAGTGAATTTCAGCGTTTATATACAGCGTTTCAAATTCAACAATGAAATATTCACATTCATTCAAACCTTTTATAACTATGTTGCAATTTTACAATTAAGCTCAGAATAAGAACCTTTAATCGTGAAACTGGGCGCCATTCTCTTGACTTTCTGGTGGTGATAAACTGAAGCATCCATTCTGACTGAAGCGAGCTCACTGATGCTGAAGCTGTCTAACAAGTGTCAAAGCTGTCGCAAATCACAAAGACGTACGTTTCGCACATGCGCAGCACAAATTGGGTTTCCGGAACGGATCAGGCAGCGACAGGCAGACACCGCACACACTGGACCACGTACCGTAAACAGCCCAGTGCTTTTAGTCCACCACAAAATTAATTTGAACTATTAATTCGAGAAAAAGAAGCCTTGTTTTCTCCAGATCACAAGAAAATTATCTTGTGATCTCGAGAAAACGAGGGTAAAAAACGACATAAACCATGTCCACTTAGGGCTTCAGTATTTAAGGTCAAGGCTATGAACACATATGGTAGGAGAAAAGTTGTTTTCATATATGCCAGCATGTTTAAGTAAAAATGTGTTGACCTCATTTCATGACATGATTGAAAACAGGTCAGAGCTCACAATAATGCTAAATGCTAAAATCACTTACCAGTATCCTCTCTATAAGCATGTCGTAGTACTGCTCAGTGAGTTGGGGTCTGCTGAGCACAAATCTGCCCAGCAGCTCTACAGCTGCCTCTCTCACACTTGTGGAGTTGTCCATCAAACGACCGTGGACGCCACGCTGCATGTCCGACTGCAGAAGTGGAGAAGAGTGTCAGTATAAGCAGGAAAAGAGAGAGTATTAGAAAACCTGAATCTAAATCAAAATAACACACGAACAGATGAGTTCAGTAACATTCACAGAGTATGGCAAGATGAAGATAGAAATGTGCTGAAAAAGAATCACTCGTTATCAGATCCAAACATACCCTGGCCAGTATGCTGGGGTCCACAGCCACAACTTCAGACAGACACTTCATGGCTTTTGTCCTTACAGCAATGGCACTTTCCCCAAGGACTCGCAGGATCTATCATAAGACAGAAGAGCCTCTGATTAACCGAGGATTTTACCAAACAAAGACAAACATTACCTTTACAATACTGTGTGACAGGAAAACTGATCTGATGAGCCGGACTCTCTGGTAACGGTGGCAGAGAAGAGGACTATAGACAAACTAATGGACATTATGGACGATGCCAGTCACCCTTTGCACATCCTCATCATCAACGAGAGGTGTCTGTTCAGTGACAGACTGCTCCTTCCCAAGTGCAGGACCAACAGACTGAAAAACTCCTTTGCCTCTCATGTCATCAGATTTAACAATTCCTCTCTGGGGAGGAGGAGAGGTAACACGGGGACAGAAGATTCTGCTTTTTCTGTACGTACCGATGCTGAAAATTTCCCTGAGGAAACCTTTAAAAGGATCAATAAAGTCCTATCTAATTTAATCTAATCCTGTTGAGTTGTCTTGATAAATCAAATAGGATGATATTTTAATCTTACCTGTGTTAAATAAATATCAAAGCTCTGGGCAAACGGCCTCATGGAGGCCAAATAGCGCACGATCAAACAGGAGTCCTCATAGTCCACAGTGTCAGAGTTCATTCTGCAGAGAAAGGCAAAAAAACAAGGATTACATTCAGTTATCCTGTCACACAAGTTGAGTCTATCACTGATGAGAGATGGTTACAAACATGGACACAGAGACAGGACAGTTCAATCTGGAAGAGTGAGGCCAAATCCAGCGAGTCAACATTAAGCGCACCGCTGCTGCAGCTCGTCGACATGCTTACTTCAGTGTGGCGAAATGAGCCGGCGTTGTCTTGATGATGTTGCGGAGGAACTTCTTGCGCTTCTCTGCCCGCTGCATAATTTCACCGGTGGTCTCAATCTCTTTAGCGTGTTGTGGCCCGTCTGATGAGTCGTCGTCCTTTGAGTTTTGGTTCCGCATGGACTTCTCAGCCTCTGTGGTGGCAACCCTGAACCACTGGGCGATGTAGAACTTTTTCGCAAACTAAAGGACAAACAGAGTTTAAGCGTTGGCTGGAATCAACGAATACAATAAACTTATACTGATTTCCCTTCGAGGATCAATGAAGTCCTTCTTATTCTTAATTATTTCATCATATCAGAACAACATTTAAAAAATCAAACACACACAGTGATACGACAAGACTGTGTAAACGGTTCCATACAGTTTTAAAGAAGAGGGTTAAAGTGGTTCTTGAATAAATCAGATAACGGCATTAATTCATGACAAACAGTATCTGGGTTTCACTTACAACTAGGGGAACAAGGTCACATATCTTCACATCTGAAGTGATCGAATTAAAGACCGTTTATTGTCAACTCACCACCAGTGAAGCATCTGTCTCAGCATTTTCTTCCAAGTAGTCCAGCAGAGCTTTCTGCAGCTGCTGGGTCTCATCAGTACCTGGAGACTTTATCAACAGAGGAGAATTTTGTTCAATAAAAATCCACGGAAATAAACGGTTAAATAGACAAGACAGATTGAACTTTCCCTTCAATAACATGAACTTTTACTTGAGAGGAAGAGGGGCCACGAAATATGAGGATCAAGCTCTACCTGTTGTAGGATACGATCAATCGATCTCTGGTCCATCTTGCTGCTGACTGCGTCCTTCCTCAGACGAGCAGCCACTGTACCCAGGTAGTCCAAAGACGCTACTCTCAGAGCCATCTCTGTCTGCTTGTTACTGAACTGGTGAACCTGAAGGAGACATAAAAAGTTAGGACAAAGTGTGCGCGAGGAACACACACAGATGCAGCAACACTAATGCACAGAAAACTTGAAGTCTCTCTAAAAGGTTGAGAGTGGACAAAAAAAGCAGGACCCGCACCCCCTTCTGTTTTTGAACAGACTTTTAGAAAATGTAAAATGATTATCTTTGCTAAACCACCAGTCAGAAAGCAAGAGAGAGATGGAGGGAGTGAGAGAGGGAAAGAAGGTGAGAGACAGTTCAAGAAGACAGAGTGACAGAAACGTTGAGCTGCAGCTGATCACTCCGAGCAAGAAGCGACGACATCCTTCTAACACAGTGACATTTTCTGCACATTTCATTCACCCTTTCACACACAAACACACACATATTAATACACTCATGAGTGACGCTGTCATTCAAGGTAACAACCTGCACAGAAGGGTCTAACCATACTGCACACATTCACAAACAGATTGCTATGCTCTCAGGCAATTTGAGGTTCACTGTATCACCCAAAGCCATTTTTAAGCCGCCTCTGAGCCATGGCCACCCCACAATCACTGTGGATTCAACTCTAAATGATAAGGTGCAGGTTCTTAGTTACATACCCCGGTGTTAAAGTAGTTTCCTTTTTCCAAGGAAAGCTGTCGCCTGCTATTTTTCCTGATCATCTATTCTTGGAAACACTTGAGCACAAATAGCTCCGTCTCCACTGTAAAGAAAGAAAGAGGCTCCATCATACTAACCAGCAGTCTACCAAGCAGACTGAGCAGCAGCTCTGCAGCCGGCCATTCTGGTTTGTTTACTGTCGAGAGCAGGTCCTGGACAAAGTTCTCAAACAGTGGCCGGTAATCCTCCTCTCCCTGCTTACTGCCACACCTGAGGAGGAGAAAAGAGAAGGAGGACAGGAGCAAAGGAGGGGGAAGGGTAGTGGGGGAAAGTAAGTGATAGTTACATTATCATTCAACCTGGAAATAAAGGCTAAACGAATCGATCTCAGCTGCTGTTTGACTCTGAGGCTTAAAGCAATGTTAAAACAAAAGACAAAATCAGGAGGATGATTAGAGTTAGAGGAGTCCTGATACAACTTTTTGACTTTCAATGGCTGAGACTAAAACATCATGGTGCTTGACTTAACATCCACATTCCTCATGGGCTGTTCCACAGAGTCTGACTTCTCCTCAAGGGGTTGTTCATGGATTTTGTTGAGTAAGGAGGTTTCAAATATAAACTTTTTGTTTTGGACATCACCACTCTCTGCACCACCAACCACTTGAGTTAAGGATGTCCCAATACAACTCTTTGACTTCTGATACGATACCGATATTGTAGCCTTCAATACTGACCGATACTGATATTGATTCGATATTGGCACAAATATCACTTCCCCGGAGTGAAGTCTGGAATGGACTGCTTGTATCGGAGTGCTGATATCAGAGATATCGATGCAGGCCGATATAATCTGATTTGTTTTTTTTGCTGATATCAGACCAATTTCCATTATCAATATCGTATCGTGACATCCCTAATTAGAGTTACAGGTAGATTTGCTCACTCTAAAGGATGCTCTTAAAAAATTCAAGTTGTTATTTCAGTTTAGTATGCATGTTAATCAATACTTAAAGTGACAGCCAAAGTTTTCAGAACATAACTGTGCAAAGCTTAAATTCTGTCCTGCTGCTTTTCCAAAACCAGAATTATTTAAGTCACCTTTACATGGATCAGTTGTAATCAATCTACACATGAAATCTGCTTTTGTTTTCAGAGATTTAGTTCTAAATGATTGGAACCAAATGTCTTAAAGGAATCAGAGTCGAGGCGACACAGAGAGGAAAAGTTCTTACTTTTTGAGGAAGACAGAGAGGAAGTTTTGGGCCGTTCTCATGGCCGTCTCGTATGAGTTGGTTATCAACACATCTTGGTCCACCTTGAAAAAAAAAAGGGGGGAAAGGTTGCTATTGAGCAAATTATATGTCTATGTTGAAAAAAAAAGCATTGTTTATACACTTGCCGACATGCTGGAGTTCTGTCAGGTACTCTCCTACCTTGTCACACTCTTCGAAAGTGTCTTTGTCGTTAGGGAGATGGACCACACACTGGATCAACTGCAGCACCAGAGCCGTAACCATTTGGATGTACATTGGCTCTCCATCCTGGTCTGAGCTGTTCAGTCTAAAGACACAAAGGGTGAGGAGGATGCAGTGTAAAGAAGTACACTATTATGCTGGGAAATTTTCTCCTTTGTCTTAAGTTTGATTACGCTACATTGATAACCGAACCATAATCAAGGAAAATTCATTCCTTCTACCTGAACCATCTTAAGTTTAGGAGTAGGTTACCTAAAATTCCTGAGGGAGCGTTTGCTGGTGGGAAGTCTGGCCAAAGATGTGAAGATCTCCTCCAAGATCAGCTGCCTATGCTTCTCATAACGAGAGAACACCTGTAGACAGGAAACACAAAAGGCCATCAGGTTGGTACCTTTGGACAGACACTGGATTTCAGTTCCTTTTTTGAGATGAGAATCAAAAACTTACAGCTGTTACGAGTTTAATGGCACACAGCTGCAGCTCACTGACATTCTCGACAAAGAACGGCGTGATCCCCATCGACGAAACCTGGAAAGAAGACAGGCCAGCATGAAAGGTGGTCTGAATTTGGACTCGATGAACTGACAACTGCATTCTGCTGCTCTCTGGAAGTTCCTTTTAGATTTTACCTGGAGGATGGTGGTGTCCGTCAGCAGCTGGATCTCCAGGAGCTCAGAGATGTTGCTGACGATGTCGCACACTTTGTTGTACAACATGACAATGACGCGCTGCTTGTGCGTAGAACACTTTGCGCGCTTTGCCTTGGAGCTCAACAGGCCACCTGGGTGGAAAAGAGCAACACTGTTACACCTGATCACTTGAGCTTTTGATCAGCAGCCATCATTTTACAAGACAACAAATATTTTCCATTCATGAGTGAATAGAGAAGACACTTGTTATTTTACTGGCAGAGACTCTGTTGTAAATCATTACAGAGCAGATTATTATTATATATTCTGACATTCTTCACAATAGCTTTACAAATTGATCTCTCTCTCTCTTCAGTGTAAAAAGCACTGCTGACTGTCAAAATTAGTTTATGCAGCTGCAGCTTTCTGCTTCAGCCCAGACCATTTGTGGATATTTCATTTACTTTGATGCAGAAAGAATCTATGAAATCAACTTAAAGATGATCCCCAGGAATCAGTCGCATAAAACTTTCCTCATATTCACTACAATAAGATAAGATACAAAGAACTTTATTGATCACCAAAGGGAAATTCAATAGTAAGGAAGATTCTCTCTCAGTCAGCTCCACTCATAACCCGCCATCACAGCGCCCAGGCTCTTATGAAACTCAAACAATCCAGGAATATAAAGCGTTTCTTTATCCTCACCTCCATGTGGGTCCACTCTGTATACTGGGTCGTATTGTGGATACAGTGTGTTCTGAAGATGGAACTTGGTGTATTGCAGCACTCGCTCGATGACGTCCTCTATGTAGACAGCCTTGGGCATGTGTGCTGAGGTCATGATGTTGAGAGCCGTTAGACAGGCATCAGCTGACTTTGTGACTCTCTCCATTATCAGGTCTCGCCACAGCTTCTCTTCATCTTCGGCGTCATGGTCCTGAGGGTTAAAGAAGACAAATTTTACTGAAACACTCCTCTGCTTAAAGGCTGAGGACTCCAATTTATTCACACAAAGGCATAATTTGAAGCATTTCGCCAATTCATTTTTCCACATATTCTGATAGGTCATTTATTTTGGAGCATGGAAAGTTTCTGGTTTTCTTGTAGGAGCTCACAGAAGACACCCGAGTTTAAATCAAGAGTGAGTGAATGAGTGAGGAAAGAAAGGAGCTTACATGGTTCATTAAGGTAGAGAGCTTGGACCCATCCTGGATATTCTTTTCCAGTATATTGAGTAGCTTCACCAGCTTGTCTGATGGGATCTAAACAGAGAAGAGATAATCATTAAAACCAGCAGTGTTGACAAAAGTCAAACTTAAATGTTAACAGAATTATTCTGCGTGAAAGTACCCTGCTGGAAATTCCCATGGCCTTAATCTTGGCGGATTCGCTGCCCAGCTCATTCAACTGGTGTTTACCGAGCAGAAGTTCCTGAGGTATCTCATCGTCGTCAGCTGGTGGAAAAAACACAACGTGACAAAGAATTTCAGATTAAACGCCAAACATTACTGTATTTAGGTTTGAGTATTTAACCACAGCAACATTTAAACAGCCAGTAAGCAGATGTATGTACCCATGGTCGTAAAATCCACATCCTCCAGATTCTCCAGTATGTTGTCAATGCTCGCTAAGAACCTCTTGAACGTAGATGAGTCCATCAGCTCCTCTTGGGTCAGCTTAGGCTCATATGCTTTTCGTTTCTTCTGCTTCTCCTTCATCTTCATTCTTCTTGCAACTGATTGAGAAAAAAACCAAATCTTTGACCGAACAGCTCATTGTATTCAGAGCTTTTTATCTTCCATGCTTCCAAGCCTCTGCCACATGCCCTCAAATACAGACCTTCACTCATGCTCGGTGGTGGCGAATCTTCTTCTGAGGAGTCTCTGTAGCGGCTCCCTGAGCCTCGTCGGCTTTCCCGTTGCCCACTTTTCCGATGTTCTCCTGAACCACGGCGCTCCCTCTCTTCATAGTCCCAGGCCCGATCTTTGTCACGTCGCTGCCGCTTCTTCGCAGCTGTGGATTTAAGACATTAAGAACTTAAGCCCTCAATTCTTAAATCAAACTGTTACACCATAACAATTTGAATGCAAACTCCGAAAATTTTCCAGATTTCTGTGCGAGGATGTTCACAAACCACACCGGCCTTGCATGCTAACCTCTTGTGTCAATAGTTCCAACAAATTTTGAGCAGGTATTTTTTTGGTCAAGTGAAAAAGTCAATAACAAAAACAACTTCTTAAACTTACACTCTCCATTTGCGTCATAGTCGTCATCTGAGCTGACCTCTGCATATTTGGGTTTCTCATTTACAGTGCTTCGTTTTCTCTTGTTCATCTTTACCCGCTCACACAGCGGCATGGTCGACTCAATCTCTGCCAGCAGCTCAGGCGGCAGCTCTTTCAAAACTGCAGGGTCCATGCCACCTGAAAATTTGACAGTGTTATTCAAATATTTCTAAAACAGTTTTTTTTTTCCTTCAAGTGCATGAAAAGCAGATTTTAAAGAATCCATGACAAAAAATAAATGCGGAACTGCTTGCAGTTCTAGTGCTTCTTTAACTTACTTTTTCCCGACTTTCCTGATGAGAGTCTGTTCTTTCCAGACTTGCTGTGTCGGATGATCCTCTGGATCTGGTCAACAGAGAGCTTTTTCACGAGCACTACAGGCTTGGGCCTCTTCTCAAAGTCTTGTACCAAACCCAGCCTCTCTAGTTTAACCTTGGGTTGGCCCCACATTGGACTTTCAGCTGATCCGCTGCCTTCTTTATCGCGTTTGATCTAAAAAAAGAAAAAAGAAGAAGAGGATACAAAAGGAGTCAGGAAAGCCAAATCATTTAAGTTGGATGTTCAAATTTCAAAATAAATCACACTAAAGAGTTTTTAACAGGAAAAACATGAGCTTTCTCTACAGAAAAGAAAAAAAAACTAGTTAGATAATAAAATGTAAATGGACCAAACTGGTTAACATGAGATTTTGATTGTTAGTTTGTGGTATAGTTATGATAACCACAACTTCGAGAAATGCTCCACTGTTTTCAAAAATTCTCTCTGTTACTCATTCTTGTATACTTTGATTTATGATACACTGTAAACACTGGATACACCCCCAACCACAAGGGACAGTCAGCCATGAGAGTGATGTCAAGTTAGTGTTTCAAATCTTCACTTGTGACAACTAATAAGCTATCCAAAGTCTTAAAAAATAGAGTGATATGTACATCGCACTAGGGGAAACCTGTTATTTAAACAGCACACTGACAATTTAATTCATTATAGTAGACTTCTCAGTCTCTGATCTCAGCAAACCATTTCCACTTTGTGTGTTTTTAGACTTAAGTTTGAACACCTTTGATCAGAATAAAATTCAATGGTCTCAAAACCAGCCAAGACAAGTCATACCTCTTAAGTCAATTCCTTACATTCCTCATATAACTATTAAACAAACTATAGATTAGAGGTACATCAAAACATTACATAGCCTCACAAAAGAGAAAGTTAATGTGCTCTCATTAAAAACAGACAGTAAGAATCGCTCTGTCTCCTACAAGCTGATCAGTGCCTTCCATCACTCAGTGCTCAGCTGATCCTGCCAAGACTTTAACTAATGCTTTCTGTGGATGTCAGTGCGAGCACAGTGTAATGATTAACGACTAATGCTGATTTCAACATAGAAAGTACTAGCAGCGTTAACTGATTCGCTTTGCTTCTGAGTCTGGATAACACACAGTAGCTGCATGAAAGGCAGCCGCTCATGTTACCATATTAGCACTGTAAACTTCAAGCATACATAACTGCACTTAACCATAACTGCACTGTGGCATGTGGTTGGAGGTTGCATCACTATGCACTGCAATGACAGGTAATATTGTTAGGTAGGATAAACCAAATGCAGGCTTGACTTTTCAAGGAAAATCCCTCAGTCCAGTGAGACAGTGTGAGCCGATTTATCATCTTTGTAAATTCAGTGGAGTATTTCTTTGGAGTACTTGCTTTTGTTTACACAGGACCACAAAATTTAAATCAAAACCATTTCTTTTTCTTTTCCAAAGAAGGTTAGGAGTTAGTTTATGTGTTAAAAGAATTTTGAGACCCGTCCCAGGAATAAACAAAAGGCTTACAAATGAAAAACCGAAGACAAAAAAAACCCAACAAACAAAAAAAACAGAGTGAGCAGTGGTGTGATTTGATATTGTGAGATTGCAGGCAGTGACAGTTGAATGATTGGTAGGTGGGTAGATATTTGTTTTGGGTCGGTCCAGATCACCTTAGGGATCTGGAAGTTCTTCAGTGCCCCGCTATGGCCTCCCAGGAGATGAGCGGGGAAAGAATCTGGAAGTTTAGCACCAGAAGCAGATGAGGCTGGTTTGGAACCATCTTGCCTACTGCCACTCCGACTAGGCTCTCCACCAGATGAGGACTGGAAGCCAGACCTATCTCGATCACTCCGACAGCGAGAGTCAGGTGAGCGTCTGTCTCGGCCACCAGTCTCACTCCGATGCCTCCTATCTCTATCAGAATCTCTGTCCCTGTCTCGTCCATGTTCCGCTCGATTCGACGACTTTGGCAGGTCTCCCCGTCTCTCTGAGGACTTTTCATCGTGCCGATGCTTCGATGACTCACGACCCTCTCTCCTGCTGTCATGTTTATCAACCCTGTTTTTAATTACATCCGGCCGGCCGTCTGGTTTTAACCGCAAAGCAGTGTCAGAACCTTCCACTGCAGCTGGCCCACTAGCTGGTTCTTCAGGCCAGCGTTGGGCCTCAAGGGCAGGGATAGGGGCAGCCAGACAGGGGTCGAGCTGGCCATCAGCTCGGCCTGCCTGCTGGAGGTCGATGCTCACCATAAGGGGAGGGCGACTTGCACCATTCCCAGCTGCAGTGGCCTCTTGCGGGGTCAGTTTGCCAGCATTGCCCCCTCCTGTTGATCCACTGCCCGGGGCTCCTGTGGGGCCACCTGGTCCCCCTGCACCTGGCTCCAGGGGAAAAGAGTCTTGTTTCCTCTTCTTCAGAGGCTTATCTGAAAACAGAGAGACAAAGCAACATAAAAATATACCCATGAATCAACCAGGTCAACTGATTGTTAGACGTCTAACACCATGGTAACATTTATCAAATCTACACACCTTTATCTTGAACCTCCTTGGAGCACTTTTCGCTAGCCGTCTCTCGTTCTATCCTTTCGATTTCAGCAAGAGCATCCAGTTCTGCCTCATCGTAAGGGGAACTGGGAGGCTGGAGACCACTGGCACCACCTGCTTGCTGGGAGAGCTGCTGCTGTTGCAACCGCACTCCAAGATTTTGCTGGAGAACAGGCACCTGCTGAAAGCCCAGTTCTGCCTCCATGTTGTCAGAATTCTGGTCCATGCCTGGCACAACCTCACCTGTCGAATTAGCAAAAAATCTCATTTACGAGGTTCTGTTAACAAGGATCGAGTGTTTCAGTACCTCACATGTTCTGAACTAGCCTGGCGTCACCAGACCCATCAGCAAACTCATTGTTATTTCAGCTGACAGGAGGCTCTGTCATTCTCAATGGTTCCCCCAGAGTCACATATACCAGACCAATCAGAGTCCTTCCTGTTCAAACAGGGCGGGTTCTACCACACGAAAACACAGGAGTGCTGCTTAAACGCAAAGTTACAAAGTTTGGTGTCCATACTAGATGTATCCAAAGTTTCAAATCACGAGGGAAACGTATTTTATCATAACCTCAGAAATTAGATGTAAACTGCTCAAAACAGCACCTAGTGAGAAAACACGAGACTCACTCGAGTTATTGCGTCATTGCAATACTCTCTGTTTACTAATTCATCTGTGCTTCTGCAGAGCAGTTTGGCCTGCCTCCAACAGCATGTGTGGTGACACCCATAGCGGAGCATTAGCTGCTCTACATACTGACCACAATAGAGGGGGCGGGGCCAACACATTGAGCTCTGCTTTTGGCCAGCCTGCGGAAAGCCTCTGGAGAGGTGGCCAATCAGAGGAAAGTAGGTTTGTGGAGGGAGGACCTTAAAGAGACAGCAGCTAAAACTAAGTGTTTCAGGCAGAGGCTGAAATAATGAGGTTTTAATACACCAGAGTGAGCAACACGAGGCTTCTTTTGATCTAAAAATCATGTAAAGTTATTAGAGATGTATCAGAGAGGAAGTATGGAGTCTAAAAAAATGTATAATACCCCCTCTTTAACAGCTGAGATGGCAGCTCCCACCACTGAATAGTGCATCAAATCCACGATCAGGAATGATCATCTTTCATTCAAAAACAACTGCACTTACAGCATCCCAAAGTAAAAAGGTTTTCCTCTCAAATGCAACCATCTGTTTATATCCTCTGTTGCTACATGCCCATCACATCAGTGTTAATATGACTGGTTGTAGGTCCAGAGGCACTTTAATGTGCGACAGTTGCTAAGGCCTCACCGGAGAAAGAAAGAAATGCTTGCAACGCCAGACTAGAACTGAACAAGAACTCATGTTTTCTTTTTGAGTGAGGGGAATAATACAGATTAGGGGGAATAATACAGGATAAGACACAACATGAAGTAATAAGAATCGAAGTGAAGTGAGCTTATTAAAAAATCTTCACCAACCTGGGGTGTCGGACTCATTTGATTTGACCCTCGACAACTTGAGGGTGAGTTTTGTCGAGTCCTTGTTTGGAGAGCTTACAATGTCGTACATATCTTTCTCCTCTTTCACCGCCGGAGTTTTCTTCCTTTGCTGGAGCTGCTGTTTCTGGTCAGGTCCTCCCTCCCTTGACGAAGGCGCATAAGGAGGCGGCGACTGCAGTATCAGCGGAGGACGAGAACCGGCTGCGAGGAAGCGACACCAAACAGAGAAGATTGTTATCCTTTGAGACTGTGTATGAAGACAGATGACACGATGACAGCTGACGGACTTATTTCTTTAAACAGACGGCAACTGAGACATGGAAAGAAATCGTTACGGCTTTTCATTACTTTTCAGCAATCATAGCCTCAAACTGTTCTGTTGTTTTGAGATTCAAACCGTGAATACTGATGAGCCGCAAGCAACATTTAGGTAAATGAAAATCAAAGTGTATGCACAGGAATCCATCCTGTGTTCTTAGTATCCTTACGTTTAGGCGTTCCTTCACTTCCAGCTGGGGAGCAACCAGACTGTGGAGACCTCAGAGGGAAAGAAGGATTCCTCATGGCGGAGTCACCCTCCTGGATTACACAGAATAACACACATGAGCTACAGAGCAACTCTTTACATGCAGGAAAATCATCAGAACCAAATGAGTCAATGTTTTTTTAAACCGTCACGGTAAAGCTCCTGTTAGAAAGAAGCCAAATTTTCTTCAATAAATCTACTTGACCAATCAGCAGACAGATTGTGAAACTCCAACATTAATGCTTTTGCACTACAATGCCTGTTTATTTGCTCACTGTTTAATATCTTTCATTGTCCTCTGCCTCCCTTTCAAGGAACAAATCTGAGGTTCAACCTTAAGACCAGTGCTACTTAAAAAATTAATAGAAGAATGCCCCAGCAGACAGTTTTAACTTTAGTAACAATGAAACACACACAGACTCAGCCCCACACACACACTGGATGTGGCTCAACAGGTTTCTGTACCTGATGCGTTAACATTACATAACCATCTGTGATGGCTGGAGAATTATTTTGGTTTTCTTTAGCCTTTGGCATTTTTATTTAATCTGAAACCTGAATTCTTTCTATACTTAGGAGGTGTTCAGCCAATTGCACCCGACATCCATGTTTTTCACATGGGTCATTTGTATCTCAATTCGCCCTGTCAGGTTACATTTGCTACTTGAGCAGTGATAGTGGTAATTGCAGCCGCAGCTTTAATGAAAACTTCTCTGCACAATAAATCACCGAGCTTCCAAAACATATAAAGAAAACGTTTCCCTTTTAAGATATCCACCATAGATTTGCTGCAGCATATCCTTCATTCAGTCCTACCTCATTACTCAGTCGGTGTACAATGTTCAGGTAGTCCTCAGCGCCGTGTCTCTCTGAGTGGTGGTTGGCAGCATTCGCCATCTGCCCCGACACTTTGCTCTCATGGATGTTTCGAATGCCACCCGGAACCATGGGACTTGCAACAGACACTGTCAGATGAAATATGAAAGGGGTCAGTTTTTAATAATTTTCTATTACTGAGGAGTGTTTCCAGCGTACACTTGTTACAAGAGTGGGCTGCTGACATATATAGACAGCTCCCCAGCAACTGTAATGAACGCTTTTGGTTTAATTGCTTTTGAAGGGATTCAGAGACCAGGAAGAAGTTTTCTAAGACTGTGAAAAATAACGAGGCACTTCCAAGTTTGAGAGCAGTTCGTGTACATGGAACTACACTGATTTTGCAGGTTTCAAATGTATTAGAGGCTTTGTCTCTAACCTGCAAACTTTGACTATTTGCTGCTATTTTTTCAGAGAGCAAATGTCTGATAAAACTCTGCACGGCTGAAATTAACCTGTATCTATTTTTCCTTTTCAGACTTTTTACTGAACTGAGAGTGTAGAATTAATAACAGCAGAGAAGGAACTGTAAAAGCAGAACATCAACACTGAGGCCAAGTACATTTAATTGAAGGAGCCCCATTTCTCAGTTGTTATAAATTCATCCACAAATTTATGTTTTAAGCATTTTCTTTTGCTTAAAATAATGTGAACAATTCATTTAATTTTCTCAAAGACTTTTACTTTTACAGATAACCACATAGGACGCACAGCTTGGATGATTGTGAACTCTCAAAATTTAAAATAATGACTAACATTAAAAAAACAATAGTACACTTCACAATTCAAAAGTTCAATTCAATCAATCATGACACAATGCTCATCAAAAGTCGAGTGCAATGCATTTTCTTTTTACTTTTGCAGCATGGAAAAATGGTTATGATGATTTGTTATTGACTGGCAACGTTTGACCAACTCCAAAGTTATAAATGAAACAGGACTAAAATGCTGGTGACAAGAGGAAACACTGGTCTACATCTTCATTCATATAAGAAGAAGTCCCATTAAACCCACCTGAGAAGCTTACACCTCTGAAACCCTGCTGCATTTCTCCAAACCAATCCTTAGCTTGTATGATCACGACTGAATACACAAATTCGAGAAAAAACACTTTCCACAACTCTTGTTCTGTTTCTTTCTGCACTTGTGTTTTGGAGTGTACTTTTTCCTCTTAGAAAAGTAGAAAGCTGGAATTCAATTCATGACAAAAAAATTCAGGGTGTCGTAACAAAAAGTTCCTTAAAGACCAACATCTGAACCAAATGTGCCCGTGCCAGAATAACATGTTTCTGCAGGTTCCAAAAGATACAACTCAAGCTTCTTACACATTGCTTTTCTGAAACATTGCTAGAACAAGTCCTGCCATCATCAGGCCTTTTAATTCTTACACACTGCACTTTAAACGGAGTAATATTTGTGTCCCAATGTGTGATCTCACAAGGCTGTGTGAGTGAGAGGCGCAGATTGTAAACACATATCAAACATGATACACACAGCACTATTTCATTGCACTGGCTACAACACTACACATTGCTACGATCTTCCCTCCATTCTGCCTCTACTACCACCTCTGAGAGAAGGGATGAGACGCAGAACATCTTTACCCACCATAATGCCTCTGTGCGTCACACATAGAAGGGGAGGAGTAACCGGGCCATGAATATTCTGCCACAACAATCGCAAACTTTTCACGCTATAAGCCTATTCCAGCTGGTCAAAGTTCAGATTGAGAACTGCTCAACAGTCTCTTACACACAAAAATCAAATAGCTCTCATGGGTGTGAGTGAATTAAATAAATACATCATGAACAAAACGCAGGTGCACAAGAAAGTCGACATGTAGCCTCATCAAAGATCTCTGCTGTCTCATGCATGTAAACAAACAACATACAAACACACACACATGGATCCAAGCTCACCTTGCTGTATCTGTTGGTGTTGGTTATAGCTGGGTGGTTGTTGGTGGGAATACTGCTGTATATAACCAGGGGCAGGGCTCTGTGGAGTGTAAGGACTGGGTACTGGGCTGTTCTGTTGACCCATATACCGACTACTCGAACCAGTCTGAGGCGACACAAACCGGCTAGACACGGTCGGGGGAAGAACAGATAGAAAGAAAGTAAGTCATCAAGTAGAAGGAAGTTGCAGACAAATTATTCTGAGTCCAAAACCAGAATACACTCAGAAAGCCTTCCATTTGATTACACAATACTGTTATAAGACTAGGTTATACTTTTCGAAGACGTTAGAAAATATGTAAACTACAAATATAGTGTTTCAGTTTTTCTGTTTTGAAAAGAAGAGTCGGCTCATGTTTCCCAGCAGGACTCACCTCTGTGGATTGGGAGAAATAGCAGCCGGCTGGAAGTTTGCAGGCTGGGCAGGGCTATGCATGGAATTTTGAGTGATTTTGTACGGTGGTACCATTGGCTGCTGCATTACATCTGTTGTAAAAAAAAAAATTAAATCAGTGTTTTTATTCATAGATAGTTCATTTGAAAACTTCTTCAAATGATTGATTGCTCATCAGCGACAGGTATGCAGCTCCATACTTTTCTCCCTGAAGATGCCGGGGTTCCTGGCCAGCATGGTCTGCAGCAGCAGCGGTGCGTCTCCCTCTGGCTCATCGCTACCCAGGTTGTCCTTCAGCTCTCTGATGACACACACAGTTAACAATTGCAGTCACATCAAAATAGAAAATAACAATAACATGCAGAAATAAACAACAATGATTTCTGATGTGATGACAAATCATAATCTGGGTGTATTTGATTGAACATCTGAGCATGTGCATTTGAATGGTCTTAAAGATACCTGGCGTATATTTCAGGGTTGGTAAAGTTAATTCACATTCCCTGTAATGCTTTTTCAACTCTTAATTAGGGATGCTTAAGATCAATAAAATACTGAACTTTTGCAAAATCATCATTTTAGTCTCGCCTCTCTATGTTCAGTGCCAGAAATCAAAAGCTATGGAGTCTGCTTAACTTCTTCGGTGGATAACTACAGGCTTAGAGTAAATGTCCTTGTCAACTTCTGATTAAAAATTGACCTTTTCTATATTCATTCAAAAGAAGAAAAAAAAAATCGGTCCTACTCATAATGATGTGGGCAATAAATTGCCACAGGGATACACAAAATGTCAGACTCACATGTGCTCTGTGGACACCTGGTTGAGGCCATGGGCTAGCTGGGAGGCCAGATTCTCATCCCGACAGCCCAGCAGGCAGGTAACTTCCTCTGCGATTCTTCCATTGTATAGGAGGCTCTTCGTAGTGGTGGCCGGGAGAGGGGAGGGGAGGGGCAGCTGGTTCAACACTGAGAGGATGAAGAAGATGGAGATGAGGCAGAATCAAAATTAAAAAACTATTAAAGAGAGACACAGAGGGCAAGAAACAAGTGTGAGAAACATTGTACATGCAGTCGTTATCAATTACAGAGATGATAACAGACAAATCAAAGGATAAATAATAAAGTCACGTTTGCTGAATTACATCTGTTCAGGCAGAATATTTCAGATTGGTATTTTAAATTTGAAGATTAAAAAAAAAAAAAAAAAGCCAAACATGACACTGTGTCTGTCACTCACAGTCCGTAAGGCTAGCTATCCCAGCAAGAGTGGTAATGGGAACATGAGGCATATCCCCATTCATGCTGAAGGTGGGAGGGGGGGTGTGTGTTGATACACAGGTAGATCAGGGGGTCGATGGACGACACCCGTCCTCACATCTCCTGACACCTATGGTTACAGAAAAAAAAGGGGAAGCAAAAGAGACAGGAAAGACAAAAATGAACAGAGATGCACAAAAGCCAGAACAAAAAATAATCACATTTCTTCACACATGTGGTCAGCAGCACAGGGTATGTACAGACATTTGCTGTGTATACTGCCATGTCAGCCATTGTGCTAATATTATGATTTGTTAGAAAAAAAGATTCCTCCCACATGATCTGTTTGCCTGTTTCTGTTTCAATCAGCAGAAGCAACCATGTTCTTTACTGTGTGTTTATACAGGATCCTTTTTTGCTCGTATTATCTGTATATGACTTTTCACAACTGAATAAATACTTTTGCAGCTCAATCATGCAGGTTTTTTTCTGGTTGATACTTTCACTAGCAATCTGTACATGCTCGTGCTTTCTGCCATGGTCAAAGTTCAACTCCGATGTACTGATCAGTGCTTCCTTTTAGTCATCTGAATGCTGAATTTGATCATAAATAACAGAAATTTCATACACTATGGCAATGAAACAATGGAAACTCATGTTTCTCCCGGATGGACTCTATAATATGAATGATTTGTAAACACAATAAAGACTATCTAGCCATCTGTAAATAAAAACGTTAAATGCACGCAGCTCCTCTCACACTAGTATTTAATTTTGCCCATGTCAGTATAGAATTGATGTGAGTAGTAATCTTGTCAGTACCATGTTCCCATGAATAAACCTTGACACTGCAATTTATCCTTGTAATAGAGAAGATATTTCACCATGAGGGGACATAAAAAAAATCATTCTTCTCCACTTCATGTCTTGTTGTATTTTACTTATCAAATCCACTTTACATAACCAGACTCCTAAACTGGAAAAAAGGGGACTAATGTGAATCTTAGTACTACTACTACCAGGGCTGTCAATTCCCTTTTATTCATTTAAAAGCATCAAGCTCTAAGCTCATTACTTTTTACAGAATTCGGTGCAAATTAACATCCCATGTAGCACATCATTTCTCTTAAGTCCCTTTGCTTGTTAGGTGTCCCTGACCCCTCTAACAACACTGCACATAGGTCAGAGAAATTCACAGCTGCAGCTCACACTTCATGGATAAACTTTATACCTTTAACAAGTCAGAGAAACAAGTGCTGAGCTATAATGTTGTCCGTGTTACTCTCAATAATGCCAAATTATGATGATGTGTGTGTTTAATTCATATAGATGCCAGAGATTACATGCACAAACCCCTCTCAGTAAAGGTTTCACAGTCTAGATTCCCTCTATGAAGGGTTAACTAGATTCAAATAATTAACATTAAAAGGCTTAGATAATGATAAATGACTCAAACCTTTTAGAAGAATTCGGTGCAGTCTCGGGTGGACTCAGTGACATTTCAGGTTAAAGTCCTTCTCCTTAAATCTGTTGAAAGACAATATAACTCAGTATCAGACTGTGGGCACACAACAGTGTCTTCCTTGTCTTTGGGATATTACAGACAAGGTTTAAAGGCAACATAACTACAAGTATCAAAAAAAGTCAGAATTAAGACCATAGACAACATTCACCCTAGGACTGGGCGATTATATGATCGTGATAAATTTCAGCTCAATCACGGTGATCAGCTGTGAGCTTATTTACTTGATCAAACATAACCGAAATGTGCATTACAACAGCCAATCAGAGTCGAGCTTTTCCTGCTCCCTTCTGTAAGTTGCTGGACAAGTAAACAGAGTAACTGAGGGCGGTAAAATAAATGTCAGCCATGACTTTGAGTCATCCTCCAAAGATGTTATTGTCAAGAAGAAAAGTTATTTAATGTCTTATTCAGTATGTATCAATTTATTTTTTTGTTTTAAGTACAGATGCTTTAAAACTGGCATTTAAAGAAAAAAAATCGGGATAATAATCGAGATCAGACAATATGACAAAGTATATCGTGATCATCTTTTTGGCCAAATCGCCCAGGCCTTTCACCCTCAGTTGCAGAAATTAATTCATTCTTTCATGTCAACTTCAAACCACAAATGCAATAGCACAACGCACTGACAACCTTTTATGAAATGTTTATTTTTAATAACCCATAGGGAAATGCAACACCAATTTAGCAACTTCTGCAGAGTACTAGTGACACCATGCAATTCTATGAACGCAATGTTGCAACCAGACCTGAGTGCATAGCCGATCATCAAGATCATCACACAGTCAGTCCGAGCAGCAGATATTGAAATGCTATGAAGGCTCAACAGATGAATATTCCAAACATTACATCAGCTAACTATAATGCATGGTCGGATGCATGGTCTGTGTGCTCTTCCTGCACACGCAGGGGCTTGGCTGACAGCTGTGAGACTGACAGGCAGGAGGCAGCACAAAGGAACAGATGCACTGTGATGGTGGCGGCAGTAGTGGGGGGCTGCATCCTCCGGTAGCAAACAACCACCGTGTGCAGTCTACGAAACTGGCTAACTGTAGCACGAAAACAAACTACATTTACTGTAGTTCAGAGGACAAAAATATTAACGATTCCTACAAACAACAGAGACATGCATAGAAAACTCCGAGAGCGATATTACAGACGATGAAAACACAGCTCGTACTCAGTCAAAACATTTCAAAACACGATAGCAACCAAAACTAACATTACCCCTGCAAAATGAAACACAGCATTACTATTCAAATTAGGCAAACGAATGAAAAACCCACTTTCTGCAAGGGTACTACAAGCACAAGTGTCCATTTGAATGTTTATCTTACTTTACTAAATTGCCAGCTGCAGCCCGCTACTTGCGAAAAATCCAACAGCGTTACACGGCCGAGGAGTAGATGTTCCGAGTCAAACGTGAAGTTAATGCTACCGCTAAATACAGCGTTTATAACCACAAACGCTTCCTACACAACACTCACTAACCATAATTGTCATTTTTAATTGCTAGCTAGTTATGCTAACTAGCTCTAAGTGTTGTTGGTTAGCCTCCTCGTTCAAATAAGAGCACGGTGAATCAAATAATACGAGGAAGCGCTAATCAGGGGTTAATGTCCGTTGGTGAACGTGCGTCGAGTCCAGCGGAAAACCGTTGGGTCAGTCCGTGTGGATATAACGGCAACGGTACACATTCTAATTCTGTGGCAACGGCCCAATCCTCGAGCTCGACAAATGACATCCAGTTGAGGCCGTGCGCCTCGGCGGAGCAAAAACACACCTAGCTAGCCTGGCTGGCTAGTTCGCTAGCTTCCGTTACCTCCCGGTCAACGATTAACGACGCCGTAGGTGGTCTGACTGCAGAAAATGTGTTACGGTTATGTTAAAAATCCCGATTCAAAAAGTTTGATTTGCAAAGAAAGATATGTGATTGTATTTACCTTCGGATGTTGCGTACAAGGGAGGGGAATGTTTTAGCTTGGTTTGTGTCCGTGTCCGTATCTCTAGCTCCCCCTTTCTTCTCTCTCGCAGCTCCTCCAGAAGGAACTCGATTGGCTTGCCAGCTAGCTGCTGAGCTAGCCTGCTAGCTATCAACAATAATCCGGGTCGGACTGATTCGTTCTTCTTCCGTCACACAAGGGTGAATATTTCAGCGTACATTCATGGGGAAACATTCGTTCTTCGGAGTTTCAGTCGGTCTGTGCCGACATAAACAACGCGTGCAGCCAATTTCGACAATAAATGAGAAATATGACGATTGTTGCGATCATCAAGAGGCTCTCCTCTCGTAGAACAAAATGCCGACCGGAAGTTCTGCCGTCTGACTGACCAAAGATCTCAGGAGTGACTCCCTCCATCGGCGCCAAACAAAATGCCATGCAACGGTTCGCGTGAAAGCCGCCAGAGGGCGCTGCAAGACAGGTTTACAATCAGTGTTCCTGCAAGAACCATCAATCAACAAGTAGGGGAGAGTTGATTGGAAATGCTAAATTAGAAATTCATCATGTGACCAAATAGTTAGGAGATGGGCATCAATTAATGGGGTATGTGAGGTTAGAAGCACATGGGTGAAGTGGTTAGACATTTATTTACAAAAAAAAAAAACTTTTTGCACTCTTGAAAGTGAATTTAGTCTGTCATAAGTTTTATTAGAATTGTGTTCAGACCAAAAAGATCATTTTAAATTTGTTTTATACATCAATTGTGGTATCTATGAGTTACAACATGAGGGCAGAAACCTAAAATAAAAGTCCACCATTTTAATTTAGAGGACTAATAAAGTCATTATAATAGTTCTGGGGTAAGTTGAGCCAGTGGTTCACCTGAGAAAGTAAAGGAGTCTGATGAGAGGATCAGAGTTTTAGTTCAGATTGTTGAAATGTTTTACTTTTTCTTTTCAAAAATACAGCTGTGAATGTTCTGAATCACTTAAAGACATTCTCATGTTAAAATGGCTTTTTACAAAACAGCTTTTTTGCAGCTATATTCAATAACAATAAAAAGAATTATTGTACCAGTTGAATAGCGTTTAATAAATACACATGAATGTGAAGAAGTGACTTTATTTAGGGAGAGAGAAGGTGAGGGAGGGCTGGGGTGGAGAGTGGGGGGGTAGTAGGTTTACGGCTCAACTTGCCCTGTTCCTATGGTCAACTTACCCACTTTTTTTGGCATGCTATATTATCAAGATAGTTATGTTTACACTCATTCTGTTGGTTTGCAGGTATGAACAACATCTTGTAATATATGCCGATACACTAGTTAGAGACAAAATTATGATTGACTTGATGTAGTGATCTGAAATATGAAAAATAACTCAAATTACCCCACTCTCTCCTATCTGTCTGTTATATGCTTGGGTCTAGTCCTCAAGAATTCATTAATGTTTGAGGATTATGTTTATAGTATACAGTTTCCTCATGGCATGGCACTGATTGAATGGAACCGATTGAATCTGCCTTTTTGGGTGCAGGGAAGTTTGTCTCTGCACCCACAAAGGCAGATTTATAAACAACGGTTTTGGCATGAGATTTCAAGCCCTTGCATTGATTTTCAGTGCAGAGTCGTAACTGCCTTTAATGCCATGCTGTCTGAGCGGCTGAGGACTACAGCCATCCAGTGTTGGTTTTTGACTCTCTATCTTTTTTGTAGGAAGATTTCACCATGTTCTCAGAATCTTCTAATGGTATTACTGTTGATGGTCTACGCAGTTCTATGCTTGGGAATATCACTCTGTAGTTGATGAAGGATTTCCACACCCAGTCTCTCACAGATTGGTGAATCTATCCAATTTCACTTCTGAGACACTCTGTCTCTTTGGAATTTCCTTTTATACCCAGTCAAGTCACTAACCTTACATATTGCAAAGTAACCCAATTAGTTTTCAGATATTTCTTTTTGCCTATGTAGGCTACCAACTGTTTTGAAATGTCTGGTCGACATCAGATTTAAAATGAGCATAGTTTTCATGCGATAATCAACATTTTTAGTTCAACATTTGAAAAGACAGAGCATTAAATTTCCTCAAATACCTTGTAAATCGAACTGTGCTTTGATGCACAAAGATAGTTTAACACCACTGTTCATATATTTGTGTTGAAGCTGTCAGTGCTGTTGTCAAAAAAGGCTACCCACGATTGTAAAAGGAGGTAAGTATTCAAGTTTTTAAAATGTGTCCAGATTAAAACACCTTCATAAATGAGCTTCACTGTGTGCCATGACTGGAAATCATGACTTTCTTTATTGAAAACAAATGTTGAGGAAGATTAGGTCTTCGTTTGATCTCTAGGTGTCAGCAAATGCATTTGACAAATCCTCCAGTCCTCCAGTAGCATTCATTTTTTAATTCAACTACTCTCTACAAGACAATTAACATCCTCCACCTACACAGTGGGTAAGGTAGCTCTGACTTTATAGATATTTGTTGTCCTTAATTTTTTCCTTGCAAACAGGATGTGCAAACTACCTCAACAATTATTTTAGAGATTCTAATATATCTACATCTTGAAACCTCTGTGAAAAGTTTTAAGCTGGTTTTAAAAAAAGATTGGAGTTTTATGTTTAATCCCTTGAGGATATAAAGCAATTTTTGTTTTTACATTTTCAATGGCAAAGTTTCAACTGAGGTTGCCAAAATCGACAGATCATAAGTTTCTCACAGGAGCCTCAAATGTCTATAATGGCTTGGTTCAGAATGGGCCTCTCGGATGTTCATGTGAAAAAGATGCATACGCCACCTCTGGTTTCATTTTTTATTGAAAAAAAGGCATGCAAGATAAAGAAAAGTACAGCAACTTTCCAGTCATGTGTGTGTGCTGTCATGTCAACTTATGAGAGACAGAAATATCAGATCAGATGAGAACTGCAAAGGCAGCAACTGTAAACAAAAACGATTCATCTTCCTCAAGTGTTCATCATCCAAAAACATTTAGTCCCTTCAATCAGTCAGTTTTGCAGCTTGTAAAAAGAACCAGAGGGATTGTTAGTTAAGACATTAGGTTTAAAAACAGCATGGTTATCACATCTTTACATACACAATCCTCAAGTAACCCTTTACAATTGAAATCTACAATTAATGTACACATTTATCTACATTTCTCTATACAAGTACAGTATATTCAGATAAATCATCTATACAAAGCAACTTCTACGTAATGTTACCTTTATTAAGCATATTGACTTACAAAGCTCAACTCATAAACATCTGCTACAATTTCAGTCTTACTACATTCAAGGACTGGGACTAATTGAAATCATGACTTCACAGCATATATCAAAATTAAACCAAATGAACTAGTGTTAGATTTTATCACCTAAAACTGATATATTGAGAGTAGACAATACTTGCCTATTGTCTAGAAATGTTTCAAAATAATACATTTCCAATTAATTTCTCATGGTTTTAGTTAATGGTGACACAAACTCAGTGTTGCAAATACATTCTAACTTTATACTAATGCAAAAGGGTCAGTGTAAAAAGATTGACTGAAACTTAAAATTATTTTTCTTTTTAAAAAACATACTCATTACTCTGCTACTCTTAAAACAATGTAGCATTACTGTGAGGGTGAGTGATTGATTTATAAATGGGTTGGTAATTTAATACTATTTTAATAAGATTTTGCACAGATCTTTGGATCATATATTTGGTGGCCTATTTTGGTTAGAATACAGTCACTTAAAATTCTAACTCAAATTTATATCTCGGCTGCAAGAAGAAAGCTGAATGCTTTTCACCTGCAGTCTAAATGATTGTTATAATCGACTTAAGGGGGCATTTGTACTGAAACAAAAAATGGCTACATTTCTGATGAAACAACAGCTCTATTTAACTTTTTTTTTTTAATAAACAAGGAGGTAAAAGCTATATGACACTGTCATTACAATCTTCATTCATTTAGTTGAAGTCTGTACACAAAATCATAGAAAAGCCACTGGTATCTATACAGAGGTTTGTAAATTCACTGCCCTTTTTCTTCCAAAGAAGGTAACCTGGTCACCCCAGTGTAAATGCAAAATACTCAACGTATTCTACACAGTGTTTTTGCAGATTTTAACAATGACTACAACTACATTCTCCTCATGTAAAACTAGGCTATGTGAAAGCAACATCTTAAAAGCCGGTGAATGTAGGCTGTTATCGGCCATGCTGTTAAAATCCACAGCAATACTGGCCTCTAGTGGGTAAAATCAGCCATTACAGCTTTGATCAAAGGTCTTCACGCCCTGCAGGCCAAGGATCACCAGGTTCTACAGTTGTTCACTCTTAATGGTAAACAGCTGCCAATCTTTGGCGGATACAAAGAAAACTTTCAGGGAGTATCATAGCTTAAACCCCTTAGGAAAACAATGCATCATCAAATCATTTCAAGTCTGAAGTGAGTCAGGAAGGTCTGCACCAGGACCTTCATCTTGGCTGAAATATTTTCTAGCTGTAGATCAGTTTAATTTGGAAGGTAGTTCCTAATTTGGTGGTAGCCTTATAAATGCATCAACCTGACTCCTACATCTTGGTCTCACTAGCAATAGGCCTCTCATTCTCACACTCATTCTCCTGGTGGATCAGCTGGTATGGCTTCTTGTCAGCTTCCTCCACCACTGAGTTCCAAGCTTCGGGATCTTTTTTCTCCAGTTCATGGCGAGACAGGTGCTCTACTATACCTGCTCCGATGGAGTCTCCCAGGACGTTGGTGGTGGTGCGCAATCGGTCCCTACAGAAAGACAGCAATAAGGTGAAGATGAGAAGGTGGGAGCATTAGAAAAATAAAAAAAATACCAGATAGTTGAAAAGAAAACAAGATAAAATAAAGAGGATATGACAAGATAACAGAATAAAACAAGTGAAGGATAAGAAGACAGGATGAGATAACAGTATGAAATGACATAAGAAAAGAGAAAAAAGACAAGCCAATATAGAGAATAGAAAAGTATGAGAAGCAGGACAAAAAAAGGACCAGGCAGTAGGGAATGATAAAAAAAAAAAAAAAAAAATGTTCCTTTAAGAATTTAAACATTAAACCAAAACGACTTTTCTGTAAATGTGTGTACATAAAAAAAGAGCAAAGCAGAGGCATGGTTTTTATCGCTCCAGGCAATCTTTTACCCACATGAAACAAGCCAGAAGGAGGAAGTCTAGCTTTGCACTGGGATTGGATAGCAACTGAATAAAAACCAGATGGATGGAAAGACCCGGAATGTGAGAGGGACGTCTTTCAAAACTGAGATTTGATCCCTATTAACCCTTTAAACCCACCTCTGCCAGACTTGTATCACAATTAGACCCCCATTCCTCTTTAAAACCTTCATTTTTTCATCTTTATATGAATAGTTTCACATGGCTATACTCACAGGAACCAATCAACAGCGATGATGAGGGTGATGTCATCAGTGGGCAGTCCTACAGATGTTAGCACTATCACCATCGTGACCAAGCCAGCCTGAGGAATTCCAGCTGCTCCAATACTCGCTGCTGTTGCCGTGATGCTAATGGGAGAAAATACATTTTCATAAAAGCAGGTGAAGAGAAGTTGAAATCATCTGCAGATGAACGGTTACTATGCAGCTGTCCCATGATTGACCTCATCATCATTCTTTGGTAACAGCCCAAAGAGGGGTCATAAATTCAGTTCTTTGGCTGAAATTCTACAATCAAACTTTATGGCTGGTGGTTAGAAAACCATTTATAAAGCAGTAACATGCTTTGGGGTTTGGATATGCGTCAGCTAGGTTTGGCAGGATTACAGTCTTGAGTAATCAAAGACACAAGGCCTAATAAAGATGTTCTCTCAGAGCAGGCAAGCTTTACTGAATCATATTTCTTTGGGTTTTCTTAAGTCTTACAAAAAAAGTCTGTATGTTACAATTAATAAATCACAGTTTGAATAAATGTTTGAAGAGGTTAAAGTGAAACTCTGCTCGGCTTACCTGATGGTGAGAATCTGTCCAAAGTTGAGGTCATAGTCATTGACCTGAGCGATGAAGATGGCTGCCAGAGCTTCATAAAGAGCTGTACCATCCATGTTTATAGTGGCGCCGACAGGGAGCACAAAGCGGGTCACACGCTTGTCTACGTTGTTATTTTCCTCCAGGCATTTAAAAGTGATGGGCAAAGTGGCAGAACTGAGGAAAATGCAGAATAAATGAAGGTCATATCCCATAACTTACAGTAATTTTGAAATTCAGTGACTGCTTGAACACTGACCAGTTGTTTCCTGGTCAGTCATAAATCATCCTTATCAACAGTCATCATCTGCAGGATCAGGGAATGTGACTGCATACCAAAGTCTGAAACCATTCAGTCATGCAAGCAGACTTTGATTTGAAGATAAAGCAAAGAAATCTGTACAAATCTGTAGATTTAAGTTTGATCCCAATGAACCATTCCAGGAAATTAATAACACTGTGTGGAGGCTATCCGGTTTGTTGCATTGACTATCCCTCTTACCAGTTTTTGTTTATATTTATTCATTCAAGCTCCTATGAGGATTTTCTGCTGGTTATAAAACAGGCTTAAGTACATACAGAAGAAAGACCATGACAAAAACTGTCGATTTCTTTATTCTAGTGTTTGAATCACTCATTCCTTGAATCTTAACTTGAGATTCATGCATTTGATTACTTAGTCCTCTGTAACAGTATTTTTCATTGTCTTTCATATTTGTTTCTTGATATATTTTATGCATCTTGCTCTGCTTTTCAAATCACCTTGCACACTTAGCTTGTATGGCACAATGAAAGTAAGTTTAACCACCACCTCTGAATTTATTAGGCAACATTTTGACACTCTTAGCAATCCAGTCACATACCTGGATGATGTTCCCAGGGCAGTGACGAGTGCCTGCAGAAGGCCAGCGATAAAAACAAAAGGGTTCTTCCTAGTGATGACAAAGTAGAGTGTCGGCAGGACAAAAATGGCATGGATTAGCAGGCCAGAGATGACGGTCACTGTGTACATTCCCAGCTGACCTCCCATGGATGTGATGTCGTCCATCTCCACTATCTTACCAGCAATCAGGAACAGGATACCAATAGGGGCATACCTGAGGATCAATGTTATTTGATCGTTATTGGAAGATCCGGCACCTCATATATATCCATACATACTGGTACTTACCACATGATGATGGCCACCAGCCTCATGATGGCCTCATTGAGACAGTCGAAGAAGTCTTTAAGAGGCTGACCCTGTTCCCTCATGCTGCCGATGATCAGTCCGAAGCACATGGAGAACACCACCAGGCCTAGAGCGTTGACTCCGTTCACTGACCCCGGCACCGGGATCATCTCCTCCCGGGTTATCTCATGGCTACCATTGACAGCGAATATTGTGTCATTCACTGTCATAGTAACACGGACTACTCTCTTGGCATACTGCGTCTTGAACTGGATTTTAAAAAAGGGGGTTGAATAGGGATTAATACTTGGGACAATAATGTTTTATTAAAACTGCTATGAAAGGAAAAGGGTCCCCAAATGAAAATTTAAGTCACTTCTCCAAAAATAGTTTTTCAGGATGCAGCTATTTGTTTGAAATTGCTTCACTAATATCTGACACTCAGAATTTCACAACCTCACTTCAGTGGAATGAGGAAGTAAAAGAGGCGCTGAGACAAGGGCCTCACTTAACAACTGAACCAACGAAAGCAGTAGAAGCAGCACTTGGTTGTCAGGTGTCCATTGAAAAAGTCCCATATCTGTTTGAAACTATTTCTGTAAAACCCCTTTTTGCTCTTTATACGTTGAAAATATGAGCAAAGGCTGAATAACCCGTTAAACTAAAAAAAGATCTGGTACAGCTTACAGTGAGCAAATTCAGACGAATTATAAAGTTACTGTCAGTGATAGAGATCTCTATTCAATACAGCCAAAGTCCACAATAATGGCAATGTAGATATGAAAATGCATTACATACATCTATATGGGAAAATGTGTCACTTACCTGTTTAGTGCAAGCCTCCACAAGGTTAGGAGGAAACATGTTTCTAGAGTACAAAAAAGATGTACACTTTTGTCAATATAATCAAATGATTCCTAAAATCAGAGATGCATATATAAGATAGAAAAAGCCACATGCAATGTAATTTATTACAGCTCCCTTCCTCAATTTTCAAAAATTACAGATAGCGGTGCTTTTGTGACTGTTTTACACAAACAGGTGCACATGTACCTGATGAGGTCGAGGAAGGCATCCGCGGGGCTGACCTGCTCGACGGTCTGCTTATTGGTGAACTCATCCTTGGATCCTTTCCCAGGGTGAATGATGAGCACCATAACAATGCCAATGAACACAGCAATGACAGTGGTGGTGGTGTAGTAGATCACTGCCCTCATGCCCATTTTTCCAGAAGCACGACTGTCCAGAGCAGCCATACCTGAAAAAGAGAAGAAATGTGAACTAATGAACATCAGCACCATGTGTTTTATACTTATTTTCCAGAAAATAAGATGTGATCCACTGTGAACTGTTTATGTACTTTAATTTGGAAGCGAGGTTGGCTGTTCATGTTACAGAAGTTCAAAAGAGCTCCTGTAGAGGGAGCAGCTATGCTTTTGGCTGCAAAATGGGACATTTGAATGAGTTAACTATGGATATTACCACTCATTCATAGATGAACTGATGTTTTATCAAGTATTTTAACAGTAAAATCTACTGTACTTTTTTAAAAAAAATTCAATGTACATGCAGTAGTAGAGCAGTGTTTTATAGGATTATATAATAGCGTCCAAAAGGCAACTCATATCGTTGAACTACTTCTTTGTCATTCTGTTCTTGTTTTTGTCAAGGAAGAACGAACCCTATCATTTCTCACTAAAGTTGTGGTATGACCTCAGAGTTTACATGGATGTATCACCAAAGTGAATCCCTATGCGTATACTATTAGCCTGGGAAAAGGTGCTGTAATTACAGGTGGAATACACCTGTCTGGATTATCTGACCAAATATCTGTGACAACAAAGAGCAGCAAGAAACACAATCTGACTCTGACCTTTCCAAGTGGAAAAACAACACCTCCTGTAGAACACCAAACGACCAATCCACCATACAGCATGTGTTGACATAATTATACATAGATTATTTCTTCTGCAGAATAAACCTTGAGACTTGTTCTTTTTGCATGTGGTGATCATCCAAAAAGCTTGGGTGTAAAAAAGTAGCTCTGGAATCTTAAAATAACTATTTTATTTGATCATACAACAGCTTTTCACGCCCCCGTGTGTGACATTCGTTTGTTGTGAACACAAAGAGCAGCAGACATGTCAGTTACAGTTGAACAGACTGACTTCAACTGGATATCTGTGTCATGAAGGAGAATGTGTAACGAACATGTATTTTTAAATCTTAGAAAGTGCACAAAGCAACATTTTAAAGCCTCTGAAAGTGAAGCTACAGAGACATACTCCCCCACCTGCTGATAATCCCTGCATTCCTGCAAGGATGGTATTTCTACAAACAATATTTTTTGATGATATTTAAGACATGTAAAATAAAAAAAAGAGGTTGCACAATTGATGAATGTCAGCCTGAGTCTGGGGTTGATCTTTCTTGCACAGTTCTGACAGCATTAAACTTAGAATGGTCAGAGGGAATACAGGCATTAGAAATGAACAAGCTTGAATCAAACAGGCGGCCTCAATAGACCTGACAGAGATGCTGTTTTTTAAAAGTGCCTGCTCCCTTTCTGGCTATTATCTTCATTCATCGCTGTACAAGGCAAAGCAGGCTTTGTGCACATGGAGATGTATGTTCCTTTCATACAAGTGTGCATGTGTGTGCATTTGTGTGTGTGCATGGGCGTACCCACTGCCCCTGCTCTGGCCCTCCTCTTGTCTCAACATGCCCAGGACTGAGGCTTTTATCCGATTCTTTTTGATCCTCCTCATCCTCCCCCTGCATTCTCCCCTCACCTCCTCTCTCCCCTCTATCCAGTACCTCCTGTTTCAGGGTGCACCCCAGTACCCCTCCTTGCTTCTTCTCCTTCTTCTTGCACGCTGATCTTATTGCTGCAATCCTCCTTTCATGGCCACCCTTATCCTCCCAACCATCCAGCCCTCTCCCCCTCCTCCTCTTGCTCTCCTCCTTTTCCTTTTCTGACAGGCCTGGGAAAACTTGTTGACTTAGTCAGCCCCGCACGCACACAATGATCCCTGGACTGTTGTCCGGGCAACAACGGACGCAGCCTCACCAATTCCATCCTTTGAAAAGAAGCGAGAATGAAGGAGAGCAGGAAGAATGACTTTCTTTCTCATAAGGGGAATGTTCATCAAACACAAAAGCAAAGGCCTGTTTGAAGGGGGGGAAAGTTGAAGCTCGGGACATGGTAACCACAAGAGGTCCGTCCAGAGGGCAATTAGCAACCATGGACGACCCCACAGTTTTGACAAGACTTTATTTTAGGGTCCGTAACCAACAGTTTTTACTATGTCAGTCAGTGTTGTTAAGGGTAGGCCGCTTTTACAGAAAATTAATCAATTTAACATTTTCATGAGCTCCAGCCTCTGTGCTGGTACTTTAAGTGTGATTTAATTGAACCAAACAAGGAGAGCCATTTCATCTTGAGCCCCAGGATACTGTGATTCACATTTTTCACTAAGTTTGATATTTCACCAAAGAAGCATCGACTGATCAAGAGAGGTAAACCAATGAAAAAAGTGCAGGTGCAGCCCCACAATAGTTACAGCATTAAGTCTAGCAGATTAATGAGTCTGTAGATACGATATTGTGTAGCTAATCTGCAACATAGAGTATGCTTGGAGTTGAACCGGGTGAAAGGTCTACCAGTCCAGAACTAGTCAAATACATAGTTCTGTTTTTTTGACTATGGTAACACTACCACAAGCATTTAAGTGTTAAACAAGAATTATTTAATCAATTCAGTCAGAACACTTTTTTGAACAGTTTTTAGCCCATGCTAAACTGCTCACAAGCAGCATAGCACTAGAAGGTCTGTCATGAATGTAATCTTGGCGGTCTCTCCATGTCACGACCACTCGATAACCAGTTTCAATCAATTCTATCCAATGGACCTATATGCACCTAGCCATGAAATAGCCAACAATGGTTTACATCGTGTCTCAGTGTTGTAGAGGCTTAAGGAAATATCCACATCTACTGCAGAGGGGAAAATAAAGTCCTTTGTTTGCAGTGGAGGGCAGTAACACTTTTCATTTCAAAAAACTGTTGTTAAAGGTTATTTACAGTGTGTGTGGACTTTTGCATGGTTTGTCAAACAGTACTACTGTACCTGTATGCTGCACCCCTCTGTGGTTAAACACACAACAAAGCAAACGTAGACCAAATGTCACTCAGATCAGGTCGATCATTTAGTGATGGTATTGACGGCTACAGAGAAAAGGTTGACAGTTATCTATCTGGTCATCACCCATGCCCACATCTCAAGTTTGAGCTTTTTGAAACGCAGAAAGATTTCTATCATTTATAACTTTAAAAGTTTGCTCTGTTTACAGTGCACAAGTTTCATCAAAGAATTTGCCGCCACACCTGAGAAAGCATGTCGAGGCGTGTTAGCTTTACATTTGTTTATCTAGGGTAAACATTGTGACCCATTAGTGTGAGCTTGTGGTGACTTAGCTGTCACTTTCATGGATATACTGGTTGGGTACTATTATTGATCTTTTAAATAATAACGTAGCAGAATGTACATCAGTGTATACGTGACTGCACTCGTGCATTACAAAAATTCAACAGTGCTGGAGTAATATTTGACCTGAATCAACACTTTGACTCATTAGCGTTTTAATATCAACTTTTATTTTCTAGCAGCCTTGATCTTTTATGTACTATGTGATGAAAGTTTGCGCCCACTTTCATGAGCGCTAAATTTTCTCGATTATGGCTTTAAATCGGCTCTCCAGGTTAAAGAAAGCATCTCGTTCTTTCATTTTGAGGTCTTGCTATCAGACAACACTTTCACATGTATTGCCACTTACTGGCAGTTTTTCTATAACTAATTATAACTTTCTGTAACTTTATGTTGACTCACAAAGAATCTGCCCAGTTTTTCACTGCACACATGCTTCAGTCGTCTATCAATGGTTTTCCTGTTGTAACTTCTTGTCCTGGTTTTCCCCCGACACCTCCTCCTCCTCCTTCTCCTCCTTCTCATCCTCCTCCTCCCCCTACACTAGACTGAATCTCCCCTTCTTGTGACCTCCTCTGTAATCATCCTCCTTTTCCTCTTTTTACAGCCCACATCCCTTCTCCCTGTCCAGCCCCCCTCTTGGCCTTGTAAAGTACTCTGTGGTGGACTCTTGGCTTGGCCCTCGTAATGAAATTCCTGAATGCAATATGGATTTTGCAGCCAACTAACATTTAGTGGTTCATTTGAAATGTGCTTGTATGAGTAAGGGATATCAGCAGACATATGGTAATGGAGAAAGAGGATCAGTGGACCCTCCGCTACCTGCTCTCCTTCTCACGCTCCTGTTGAACCAGTGTTGTATAACTCTTGAACCCTATTTATTCTCTGTTTCCTACCATCCATGGCCTCTCTGAACTCCGTCCAAGCATACAGATTCAACGTTAAAACCCACATTAAAAGGTTGAATCAGAATATTAAGAGGCTGGTAATTTTGGGGGCAGTCCATGTCATACAGGGGCACATTTCAGCCTTTGGAGGGTGACAGTCAGATTGTACAGGGGCCTTGTGTGTGCAGAAAGAAAGCATTGAAGAGTTTAACTTGTGCTCTTTTCCTCGGAAATGTCAGAGTTTATCTTAGAGCATAAACAAATAGTTCAGAAACAGAGCTTTCGGAATCTGTTTTCAAGAACTTAGGATGTTGGCCCTTAAGAAACAGTTAGTGTATCTAGCAGTGAAATGACCAATGGCTTGTATGGTGAGAACCTGTGTGTGCGCATATGTGTGTGAGTGTGTGATGTGGGAAAGCAGTTGTACTTTCAAAAGCCACAGTCACAAAAAAGTCAATGAAAAGCTTAAGATGTTCTTACAAACTATTCCAGAGAAGATTGTGAATGAGTCTTTGTGGCACTTACTCAAATGCCAGAGGGTCGAAGTATTTGTACAAAAATTACACTCGTATACATTTGTAAAAATTGCCAGAGGACTATCAAATTTAGCTTTTTTTTTTTTTTTCATTTTCGACAACGAGGGAGTTAATCTGCATCAAATGTGCTTACATTCTTTCAGGGTGTAACCAGATCATGTTAACCTAAAAGCACATGCTGTGCTCATTTTACTCTCTAACAGTCTGACATGTTGAGTGATTCAATAACCACAGACATTCTGGAGAAAACAGTTGCACTTTCTGCATATTTTGAAATTGATGGCTCTCGTGTTTTACAAAGTTATTGTCACCTGCATCAGAGAGTTTTGTTCCACGTGCAGAATTTGTTTCCTGAATGCTACTATCGGTTCTGCTCTTACAGGTTAGACATTTTACACCTATCCAAGCTATTATATAAACATCTGTTGGAAAAGTACTGTTATTAAAATGAGGGGATTGTGGTTAATAAAAGCTTTTATTTCTATTTTCTATTTATCAGTAAAAGAAAATGAGTAAATAAACAACAACATCCTAATCACTGTGATGGGGGATTTCTGCTCTCTGGAAGATGTAAAAAGTCAAATTCAAACAAGTCAGCAGCAACGTTTAGTTTGTGTTTGGATCTAACCTCTTGGATGATAACACATAAACATACGCACACACACAAGAAAGCAGCTGGGGATGTGTGACGTTTCCACAGAACAGCCCTCTTTGTTGCTTTCCACATGTTGTAGCAGAAGTCATGTGACATGATGTCAGAGGATCCTGATGTTACGCCCTGCTGCAGCACAAAGCAGGTTATTATCAGACAACATGTCTCTCTCTCTCATCTCCTCAGGAGACTGGCTTCTTGCTCCGTCAGTCACTGCTCAGAGAGTGGACACTTGGTCCCTGTATGTCCCGCCTACAGCCGAGGGTCAGTTCTGACACGTGTATTTTGGAGACTAACATTCTCCTTAACTTTATCCACACTTTTGCTTTGATTGAAAGTAAATGATCTTCTTGCTAAAACACCCCAGGCATTTACTTTTGATAATTGTCTCTATGTATCTGGCTGGATTTATGAACCGTACACAGTGATAAATGAAATCACCATATCCCCGGATTAGAAGTGAAAACCTCAGAGTCATATGTTTTTGTTTTCACTGAAAGTGAGTCCCAAATACACATGAACAGCAGAAGCTACAAACGCCCTGAAACCACAAATAAATCCACAGATCTCAGATCAGTTATTTGGCTTAAACACAAGAATCAACTGATGTGGTCGTGTTGTACTAAGATGCAGACGTGGGTAAGACATGTGATCGAGATCCGTACAGTAAGCTTGAAAACATATCACTCTCTTTTGCTCATGAGGTCATCCCAACCCCTCATCTGCTGGGCCCAAAACTAACAAATGGCACTGGCTGAACAAACAGTCGGCTCACTCTGCCACTCATGAGATACATGTTGTCAAAAGAGCCGCAAATCAACAAACAGCACTGTCACTGGTACAAAGGTTTAACACGAAAGTCACATGTAAACCTGAAAAACAAAACTAAAACCTCAAATAAACAGAATCTGTCGGAGGTGAAAATTTTCATACTCTATGCAAAGCAATATGACTGAGATTCTGGCGAGGACAAAATGAAGTATTAAGGGAAACAGGTCGAGGGTAAACTAGATTTTGTACATTTTTTCTACACTCAGAGTGACGCCAATGTGCGAGGAAAAGATTCGTGTTTTCAGGCATTTTTGTGATTTATGTGAGTGCTGTGTGGTCTGAATCTGTTTGATTTAATTTTAGAATAAAACAACGTCACACAGACAAGTGAGAAGGGTATGCCATGTCTGCTTATTTTAGATATCTGAGGTACATTTGAACCAAAAATAGACAATGACGATCAAACAATCAATTTGCTGTTGTGAAAAAAACCACAAGGCAGTGCTGTGAGTAAGCCATGGGTGTGTGCAGCGTTGTTGTATTCACTTCTAACTATGTAGTGGTGAAGATGATTCATATGAGTAACATTAAAGCTTGTTATCACTGACTGAAAATGCGCTTTTTATGTGATATGATTATGTAACTATGTTTCTGACTAGCAGTTCAAAATATGACACAAAGTTTGTTCATTTGATTAGAGAAGTGTCTGCAGTTACAGCCCAAAGTGGCCTTAGGTTCATACCTGTGATAAGACTGGAAACCAGCAGGGGCAGCACAAGCATCTGCAGCATCCTCATCAGTAGCTCCCCAGGAAAAGAGAAAAACTTCACTTCACGGTAAGACATTTTGTACGGACGCAGAGCAAATCCAAGGATTATGCCTGCAGAGAGGATCACAAGTGGGAGAAAATCCAAGAGAATATCTTTAAAAATGAAGCCCATTATTTAAAATCTGTGGAGTGATATCGCAGTGTTTCTGCAAAGTGCAGGGTGTAACTTCTATGCAACAAAGACATTCACAAGGTCACTGATTTGTTTCAACATGCAAAAAATGAATCTGTAATTAACTTTGAGAAAAGTAGCAATGATTCCTCGCACTTCTACGAAAAAACACTGTTGACTCATGGCTACTTGAGAATGGTGCAGGCGATGTGGGGCTTATCGATAAAGGTGAAAGCATGTGAGCACATGATTTCACTGCAGGAAATATCTGAATTGTGCGATGTTATTAATGGGAAGTGTTACTGTTTGTTGTTAATGCGACTGTTTATGGGAGAGGTGAGGACTGTTTGGCTTTTTCAATTATTGTGCAATGACTGGCCATTGTCTAAACTTGTCCTCTTGTTAAATCCTTACTAATCGTTTCTAGTTTACTCCATCAACAAACTGTTAGTCCGGTGCAGCTCTATTTCATCTCTTAGGCCAGGTGGCTGAGCTCGTGGCTGAAGGTGAAGAGCCCCCTTGAATTATCACTCAAACATGTTCTTCATGGCCCGGTGTAATTCTAGCAGGGCTGCAGATGTGCTAGAGGTGGGTGGGCCTGACTCACTTCCTGCAGAGAAGGACTCAAAGGTTAATGGTGAGATGTCAAAGGTCAGCCAGGAGGTCAGATAAAGGCCCGTCTGTTAAGTTCATCTGAGTTCCCTCTATTCATTCATCCAAAGGGTTTGTTTCAATTCTTCCCTTCTTCCGCTCTGCACCAGGGGTGATGGTCACAATAAAGAAAGAGGTTGATGGGGTGGCTCTGAAAATCTGCTGCCCTCTTTTTAACAGGTATGAATTGGGTGGGGGTAGAAGGGGAAACAAAGGCTCTTCGAATTACCTCCAGTTTTCAGGGGGTACTGCCTAAAGTATGTGTGTGGTGGAAAAATATCGCCATAAAATGCTCTTCCTTACCAATGATGACAGCTGCAACGGTGAAGATCACAAAGGCATTTCTGATGAAGAATCCTTTCACGTCATCTTTGGTGATGTTCTCCACTCTCTTCTTGGCCAGCAGTGATCTGGACTGAATCCCAGCTCGGATCTGTTGGAGTCCACCCCGGCTCCTCGGTGGGTTCTCCCCATTGCTCTGAGTCATATCTGCTGCTGGGGTCCCCAGATGTTTTTTAGATATCTGTGGAACTTGAACTCACTCAGCTGTGATAGCAACACCTCAGAGGTGCCGCTTATTCACTTGTTAACTGTTGCTCTTCCTCTTCACTTTCACACGTCTTCTTTGGTTACAAGTGTCCTGAGCGAGAGGAGAGGACAAAGTCATCAAACTGTTGGTTTTAGATGTTAGAGCACAAAAAGAAAACAGTCATTAAAAGTAGACAATGAGAGTGTCATGCTCTTTGCTCCGATGATAAAGGATTATCACAAGCATTTTTGAGTCTTGAGACGGATGTTTGCCTCGCAACACTCTTTTCAGACTGTCAGCTGACCAATATACCAACTCATACGAGGTGGATTAAAGGTCCATAGTTTTCAGATCTTTAAAAAAATGTACTCAAGTAATCAAAAATGCATAAAATGTAGTAAAATCTCAGTAGTCAGTCAAGGAAATGCAGCGGTGCAGCGTGAGGAACACATGTGTTGCATTGACAGCTCTAATGGCATGCAGACTTCCTCCTGTGTACACTCTAACACACGTGTACAGAGTGAGTCTGATAGTTATGCAGACACTGCTCCACGGTTACGCTTACACACATACAGAAACATACAGAAACAGTATAACTGCTCAAATGTTAAAACATATTTGCAGACACACTGAATGGTGAAATACTAAGATAGAAGTCGTCTCTGTACCTTGAGGCTTGAGCAATAATTTCCTCTGGAGTATGTCTCTGTGTTTGCAGGGGGGAGGCTCTGGCTTAAAGCTTGGTCAGTGTGAGAGGGACAGAGGATCTCTTTGGCTGTGAGCTGGTTGGTGTGAGCAACCAGCAATGAGGGAGCAAGAGGAGAGGAGAGGGGTGGAGAAAAGGAAAGGAGGGACCAAGAGGATGAGGGAATAAAAAAGAGAGGCGGTAAGAGAAAGAAGGCGGTGCTATAGTAGAAGAAAAACTAGTGTTAGTCAGCCACACAGTGCGGGCCTGTGGGGAGGTAAGGCGGGAGCTAAAAAAGTGAAGTAATTTAGAGGAGGGAGGGTGCTTTTCAGACAGAGGGGAGCTTGAGGAATAATGAGCTTTCCAAGCAGGAAAAGGAGAAAGGGCCTTCTTGTTTTCTTCTGTCCCTCTCAGCCTTCCTTTCAAATGGATTTTCACGCTTGATAAGTTCAACCTGATTGGAGATTCCTCTGGAGAGTGAGTCAATGGCGGTTCAAAAGACACCCATCCATCACAAAAATGTATAGAAGTAGATAAGCTGTTCATACGTTTATTTTGGCACATGTCCTGCAAATACACTCATCAATCAATTTCATTTTGCCTCCTTCTGTTGCATTTTAGCACATGAAACATTTACACCATTCAAAGTCCACTTGGTCACTTTTTTCCAAGAAAAAACCTGAGTCTCCAGTTTGTTAGGCTAAATAGAGTGGGTAAATATTTACCAAGTGCCAATGGTACAACTGGTGCTCAGCAGTTTTTGGCTGTGGAAGAAATAATCTGTGTAAACATTGTTGCACATTTTGAATTTTAAAGTGTTTTGGCCAAAGGAGCTGGCTACTGTGCTACACAGGCAGTTAGCCACAAAAGTGCTATAAAAACCCCTTAATGACTACCTTTGACTTGGCACAGGGGGCACAAAGAAGAACAGCTCCTCAACACAAGAGAGCTGATCACCAGGAATTTGGTTTGGCAGGAACTTTGAGGAATTCACCCTTTAGCATGTGTGATGTGTTTGACACTGAGGGTGTGTACGGAAATACGTGTGTGAATCTGGGTTAATGTGCCTGGAAAAAAGAGAGGGAGAGAAAGTGAGAGCAAGGCAGAGCTAAAGGCATCCTTTCTGACTCATACCATGGGAATCCACATTTGGCTGGGATGTTGAGAAATGTTTTAGCAGTCAGTATGTGCTCACACACACACACACACACACACACACGCTACACACCTTTTTAAAAATAAGTTTGGTTGAATTACAAATCCTCTGACCGCACTTGTCTTTTAAATACTACTAGAGAGAAAATAACGTTAAAGAAAATAACTCTCAAGCACATTTTATAGCAAAGTTAGAACGTACTCAACTTGCAGGACTCTGAGGCAAAGTGCAGTCCAGAGGATGATGAAACATTTTCCCTCTTCCTTGTATTTCAAGAATCCATCCACACACTTAGGATTTGCTGAGAGATCTGTCCTAAGAACTGTGACCTTAACGTGGACTCTTTCTTCCCTTTGGTTTTCAATGAGCTGGTGGTAGAAACTTAAATAAAAGGACATTCCTAAATAATGTGTTTGAAAAGAGTTCAGATTTTTCCTAATATATACAATCTTTTAAAACAGAATTTGTTTTTGGATTTGGAAATTGTATTTTTTTTGTTTGGACTGATGTCAACTGCGACTCAATCCAACTACAGACACATAGCTCTGAAACCTTCTTGATTGGTTGAAAGGGGATTAAGTTTTCCTTAGATCTTGTTCATGAGCCAATGAGTGTCAAGAGAAATCACAATATGTTGTTACCTTTTTGACCAAAGTCGCTCCCCAAATGGTGGTTCAAATGGTGGAAATAAAGCATGGTGCAATTTGAGCAAGCTAAAAAGATGGTCCTGGAAGATGTCCTGGTCCTGGTCCTGGATTTATGATGGAAGGGGTACTTGGCACATCTATTATTTAGGACAGGTGTGTTGGAGAGCAAGGTATCTTGCAAATGATTCAAAGGGAAACACCTGCACACTGTCCAGTTTGCAAAGAAGAAAAAATGTACTGGCAACATTTTGGTGCTAGTTTGCCTGGTGAAGGTCTAGTACCGAAACATTGCCAGTAATTTTGACCTTTCTATGCAAGTTGGAAAGTGTGTGGGTGTATCCCTTTGAATCAGGTCCTGGTCCTGGAAAAAGCAGGATCTGGAGAAGATGCTGGAAAGGAATTGTTGATACTCCTTTAGGGTAAACTTTGAAGTTCACTTTAAGTTGTAGAGAACCAAAAATGAACAAATTGCTCATAATGACTCCAAATTTGTGGAGACTAATTTCCAGTCAACCAGGACATAATCAGCATGACTAACTTTATCCCTTATCTCTTGGAGGTCACTGCTTACTGTTACAACGGTCAAAAAAAGTTCATCAACCTCAGTAACTCGCACATACATTGATTAATTTGATTACAGCCAAAGACATAAAGTCCAGACCAAAGTAGACCTCAGAAGTCCACAGGATTGTTGCAGGTAGAAGTACAGCCAAGTAAGCAGTGGTAGATATATGTCAGTGACACTTAGACACAGGCAACAACTGTCAACTCACTCAGGAGACTGACAGGTGGGCTAAACAGAGTTTAAGGCGGAGATGACATTCAGAGTCGTATAACCAGGACTGTTGGGAAAGTCTGAGACCATCTGGTGGACAGGTGGAGAATGACAATGATTGAAAAGTGTCATAGCCATGGGGGGCCTGAGGAAATTGAGACATGACTCGGCAGGTTGTTTAAACAATCCAAAGACAACAGCTGTGACAGATGACTTCAGTGATCCTTGAATTGAGTGTGACATATACTGTTTGAAGTAAGCATGTCAATAATGGTGTGGTTACTTTGAACTCAAATACATACATCACAGGTGAAATGAAATATTTAAAATGTAATCCAGCAAAATCAAAACTAGTGAGATTTCCCTCCATTAATGATCAATGCTAATCAGTAAATCTTAGCATAGCAAAATACTAAACTGAGATGATGAGCATGATGGTAGTATTTCTGGTGTTGGAGGCAATGAGAGAGCTGCTGTTCAACATCATGTCTCTATCTTCTATAAAAAAAAAAAATTCAAACACTTTTCAAAAGAAGTGAAAAATGCTGCCTCATTTAATTTGACAGCCTTGATTTGAAACGCTGCTATTATTTTTTTGTGTCTGGAGAAAGAAATTAGGATAAGAAAGGCAAACACACACACACACACACACACACACACACAAAAACGCACACACACAGAAGCATGTGGGAACGCTGCAGATGTTAGTCACCATACAGCCAATACCTGTTTACATTCAGACTGAAGTCATCATTCAAAGAAAGCACCGACTTGTCATCCCTCTTAGATAACTTTTATCAGCTTTGGACAAAGAGGCAATTACTCACCCTGAATTACAAGGAGGGATGATATAATCTTTGTAATAGTCTGCCTCACTCATCCACTGGACTTGGGAGATAGTGAAAAACATCTATTAATGCTTCAGCCTGAGTTTGAACTGAACTACTGCTACAGAGTGTATCGGCAATACGAAAATAGTATGACTAAAGGTCTGTTGCGATTGTGTTGGTTTGTTTGGAAATCCTATCTACAATTATTGGTGACAGCAAGTTACAACTTTGTTGACTTGACCGCAGAGCATTTTGCGGTACTACTCACTGTGTGACACAAAATAAACTGAGGCAGGTCCATCCATTCTTAAACTCCCTGCTTTGACAACAATGTGTGAATGATTTTTTCTTATCATATGACTGTGCATGTGAGTCACATTTGTGTGGAAGGACTATGAAGATTACTGAGAGTCCAAAGCTAGTTGCTCACTTCATCTCTCATTTGCGGGGTTGTGAGATTAAATCCACAGATGGGGGTTGTGTCTTTAGGTCCTTAGATGCTCCTGCTATCCAGGCAGCATCTTGCACGGAGGAGTAGCTGTATTTCTACAGGTGTTATTGCTGTGTGTATATAAAAAAATATTGACATTATCATTATGGGCCTTTGGTGAAGAAGTGCAATGTCAATTAAAGAGAAAAAGCTTGATGATTAATTACTCCTCTGCTGATTTGCACTAACACTCAGGCAGGAAGTTAATGTTCTTTCCTCAGTGAAGAGAGTTGTTGAAACACAGTTAGAGGCTGGAAAATCTTTTACTAATGCAAAACTGCTGTATGGTTGAAAAAAAAAAGATTTACTGGCCATTTTCCCCTAGGTACAGAATTTAAAGCTAAACTGGCAACAGAGATACCATTAATCTTGAAG